ATATGACTTTTTTAAATTTCAATTTAAAAGATTTTTTTTGTATGGTGACATTATTTGGATGACAGTTAAATTCTCATTTTTACATTTCGTATTACTGTCATGCAAGAAAAATCTCATTCTTATTACAATACTGTATAATAAAAGATATAATAAAAGATCATATTTGTTGTACTAATTTTATGCTGATTTCCATTAAAACATTTTTGTATAGAATCTTTACTAAGTTACTGTATTATGGTAATGAGAATCACCACTGAAAATAAATAAATAAATCGGAATGGTAATCAAAATACAGTAATTTTCTTTATATGATTTCTAATTGATTTCTCTTTTTTTTTTATCTTCAGCAAAATGTGACCTGGCAACCTGATTTAATTAGAAAATATGACTGTTTAATGTGATTTTATATGAATTTGTACGATTTGATTTGTACTGAAACATGATTTTTAGAAAAAAGTATGAAAGTCCACCCCTAAATACAACAAGATCAAGCAAAAATCTACAAAAAACTACTTTGCCGCCATTTGTCAAATCGCAAAACAGTTGAATTGCAATGAGAGTGTGTTGAACCTAAACATATTTTTGTAAACTTCACCCAGTCAGGAGATTCATCAAACATATGCTAAGTGGATCTGTTTCAAGATTATATTTAAAGCAGCTCTTCCTCCATACACTTCAAACGCGATTCCACAACTTTCCACAAAATTACAGGACCACTAAATCTGATGCCAGTAAGCATCTCTCTTGTATTGATGTCTTTTTAACATGCCCTGAGGAACATCAGGCCGACGCATGCATGGGAATCATGATTCGTGGGCTTTCCACTGATTAATGAACAAACCTATCAAATCTGTTACAATTTGGAATTGTGGAATTTCCTCCAAACACACTTTACCTGAAGTTTGCATTGCAGACTCCTTTGTGTGTTCTTCTATAAGACAAAACGGATCCCCTCTGATCTCTGACTGCTTCCATATGTTGTCTAAGAAAAACAGCAATCTTCTCTCTACAGAGATTATGTTGGCCATATTCTCTCTGCATCTCTTCCAAGTGGGTGGAAAAGGGAGTGAGAATGTGCACGAAACCACCTAACACTGTTCTCGTTTGTCTCTCCCAAAATCCCCTGGTGCACACTTTGAAATACATCAGTCAGTTCTTTACCTACAGCCCCGAATCTGCACAGAACCGCAGCAACAGTCAACACACCTCCGAGAAGTTTCTCATCATCGCATCAACAAACCTCAGTATGTGGTGGATGTATGATTGGTGGCTCTGGTCAGTGTGCAGGTGGTGTTTATGTGTTCTCAACAGTTCTTTGTTAAGACAAATGGTTTTGGTTTTGCAGTAAAAGTTTGCTCTGATTTTTCATATGCACGCATGGCTAAATACAGCTCTGTGAAACGTAGGCCTACCCTTTCATTTGAAGGTATAAAATGACATATTTGTTTGTAATACTACTCTGTTTGTTTGCACATATTTAGCTAAGATGAATCTTGTTTATCTATCTGAATGTTCTGGACAAAATTACATAATTGGTTTCCATCTGCATGGATGCTTAAAACAGAAACAACTGGATTGCAAGATGTCATGGAGGTTCATTTGGCAGAACTTGGCGCCACCCAGTGGTAGAGAAAAAAAGTTTGAAATCCCGAGCAAAGTTGAGAACTACTGTGCGTTTGTGCGATTCATGTTCACACACACCGTTTTGTTTTATTCAGAAATGCAGTATGAAATGCAACACCCTCCACCCCCAATGTTTTATTTATTTCTTTTATTTTACTGTATTGGATTTGATCTGGTTCTGACGTGTTAGCCTTCCATCAGTGTCTTGTTTTGTTATATACTGAAATTTGTGCCATTTTGTTGTATTCATAGTTTGTAAGAATATGTTCATTTAATTAGAGACGCAATTTAGCACCCCAAAGTCTAGTTATCACTTGATTTGTAAAATTAACTCCTTTGATAGGCTACATCGTTGCTTATTCTGTTCCAAAAATGAACGGGGATCAATTTGGTGAGTCTCACATTTAACATTTAATTATTTGACATAGGCCTACGCACGTAGCCTACTTAAATGTAGGCCATTTTCGGAGAGGCTAGCAATAGCAAGATCTCACCCTCCTTCAAAGCCTCCAAACTAAGCCACCTTTAAAACGCATGAACACACAACAGGGTGCAAACAACGGCGTCACGAGAGACGGCGTTAAACTACCTTATGTCTCAAAGCACATAACTTTACAATAATAATGAACATAAACAACTCAAAGAGCACTGACATGTATCACCTGACTGCTACAGTTTCATTTCGGCATTGATAGTGCCATTGAAAACCATAAATTAGAGTCACGACCGGTTTCCATCTCTTCCATATAGTAATTGTGGCGTGAAAGTAGCATAAGCTCGTTGTTTTGGTTCAGGAGGAACAGTAGGTGGCTGCTGTTTCGGTTGCGGTGCTCGGTGACTTATGTCTGTCAAATTATGCATAGCATGAGCTGATGTTGTGTGATGTCTCTGCCAGCAAGGTGTGCAGAAGTATGAAAATATATACCTTGACACGCAGGTAGGATATCGTATCATTGCATTCGGTCCGAATGGGACGAACATTTTATGTCCTAAGCCTTCCACAGATGATATATATACATATAAATACATTTAGACCACACTTAACTTCGTGATTGCTATGCGAGACTTTCAACCAGCATGACAAAAAAATGTTTCTGGAACAAATTGCCTACCCTGCATTTAAACTTGCTATGATGTTCTTTCAGAAATAGTTATGTAACCTGCAGTTGTACATTTCCATTAGCCTCACTTGCTATTCTATATTTATATTTTCACATTAATGTAGACTTTCTCTTATGAACCAACGGTTTATATACTTCATTAATTTCATTCATAAGATTTTTTTTCTCATTTGCATATTTTCATATGATCACTAGCTTTTCCAGTGTGAAAGATAATGTAGACAATGCCACCATGTGGACATTCAGTGTGCTGCAGAAAATAAATAGAATAAAAACATCTAAATTATTATCTTGATCTTTTTTATTCATGTCCTCTAGACATCATTTGGCCAATTATAATACACTCTTCCTCCCCAAATACTGTTACAAATATTGTCATGTTTATTGTGTTTTTTTTTCTTATTTATTATTCTAAAACACATGATAAAAACACAGCTGAAACACAATAAATTATACTGTAGTAAAAAGCACTTCAGAGTTTCCACAGCCATCATTAGTGTACAAGCCCATATGAAAATAGCATAGAAAGTGTGCATACAGTTTTAGAAGCCTTTTTCATATTTTATATTCCTCTACAGAAGAATTTCCCTTGGCTGAATGAAAGACAGAAACAGGAGGTGCACCCTTACAACATTCCCCGAATTAATTTCAGTCATTTCTGAAAATTCATCTCTCGATAACAATAATAACAAAAAGCTTGGCTAAATCATTCAACAAATGCCCATGTCTTCATATTAGAGCAAATCAATCTTTTTACATAGGCTACTGTATATGAACAAGTATATATAATATATATATATTTAAAAATAAAAAGACATTAAATAGTCTAGGAAGCTTCTTTTTCTCACTTGGCTTTGAGTTTGAAACTGTTTTGGTGCATCAACTACTCACAACCACGCATGCAAATAAACACAACCACACATGCATTCGCACGTGCACACACACACACACACACACACACACACTGCATAGAAGACTTCTGTGTTATTAGCAATAATTGGAGCTGTTACTGTTGGCTGTGAAATCCCCTGTGTGCCTATCCTTTAAAAGAAGACTCTTTGTTGCCATGGAGACAAAGCCAAGTGCTTAAGTGTTTGGCCAGTAGAGAGATAGAAACCCGAGCTGCTTGCAACTGCCCTTAAACTCACCAACCATCAGATCTCACATTTGTTCTAACACTAAAACATAAGTTGATTATCTAATACTTTTGTTCAAAGACGCTGAGAATAAATTAAAATAAAAAAAAAATGGAGTGGGAGGGAACTCAAAAGTCCCACTATTGCTATTGCACTTACAGTGTGGCTTTATAAATCACGCTCTCAGCAAGTATATGCAATCTTCACTTAAACACAGATAGCAAACACCTAAAACTAAAAGTCAAATGAGAAAAAGAATTCCACCTCCCCCACCCCAAACAATAACCCAACATAATTATAATAAAACCGTACAAAGCTAATAATAACAGTAATGATAACAACAATAAATGATTATATCAAGGACAACCGTTATAATCTGCTGAGTATAAAAAAAGACCTTTGAAAAAAGTGATTGTCATGTAAAGATAGAAAGTGTCAAAAACATTGAAGGCATTAGCGAGGTCACCATTTCAAATTAAAGGAATAGTTTTTCAAAAAGGAAAATCCTAACATCATTTAATCACCCTCGCGTCTTTCCAAAGCCGTATCTGACGGCGAACATTAAAGATGGTGTTAAGCTGAATGTTCATATACACATAGAAAAATATTTATGTGTGTATATATATGTGTATATACATATATGTATACAAACTTTTAAGTTAGATGCGATTAATCGATTTTAAAGTACAGTCTGTTGATGTCATACGATAGATTTGTGATTAAATATTAAAAACAATTTAAGTCATTAATCCCTAAAAATACTCTGCCATAGCTCTTAAATCCCATGTGCGCATTCCCATGTGTTATTCTAGTATTATTTATATTACTATAATATATAGGCCTACTTATTGTATTTAATGTTTTGAATTAGCTATTTTCAGTTTTCTAGTGTTATAATTTAAGTATCAATAGTACTTCAACTTAATCTTATATTATTTCAGTCATTTGCCTATGTTCATTTAAGATTTTCATCTAATACTTATATTTTATTTCAGCTTTATATCAATTGAAGAATATGATTTTGAATAGTTTTATTCTTCGTTAACATTTACAACACTGTCAAGACGAGTCAAGTTTTTCTCACACAAACCTATTGTTTGGCTTCAGAAGACTTAGAATACTTTTTGGAAATTGAAAGCCCTTAAGCAATATTATATGACAAAGAGAAGCATGAACATTCCACTAAACTTTTGTGTTCAACGGATAAAAGAAAGTCATTTAGGTTTGTAACGGCACGAGGGTGAGAAAAACGACAGAATTTTTCATTTCGGAGGAACTATACCTTTAAGATACTGAAAACAGAAAGCCCAAAATTACAGCACTGGAGATCAAGACCAGGCAAACAAGCACAGTTGTGCAAGCGTTTGGCAGTCACGTGGAAGAGAAAGATGCCGTCGTTTTCATTGCCAAAAAGGAGGAAAAGACTAAGCACGCATGCACACTTGCTTTTGTGTCCGTCTACGTCCATAATAGTTCATTTCACCGGAGAGAGTTCTGTGCACAGACACTGGATAGATGTGCTGCGGTCAGATCAGTGTGTGTTGGATGAGTCCGAAAGTGCATTTTATAGACACACACACACGCGCGCGCGCACACACTCACACTGAGATGGCATGGCTTACACTCCCAATAGCCCTATATCTGAACATGAAGCCCCTGAATGCTTCTACAGCATCGGTCTCTGTCCGTCTCATATACACACGTAACACACATACGCACTCACACAAACATTCGACGGGAGTTAGTCCCTGAAACTGTTCTTTCGGGATGGGATTTTGTTGGCTGGTAAAATCTAAATAAATAAGTCTTTTCTCTGCCATACAAAGGAGATTGTTAGCTAGTGCCAGTCTTCATCATCTGCATCCTCCTCTTCCTCCGAGGAGTCGTCGCTGCTGGCTCTCCTGGTTCTGCCCTGATCCCCCATCGCTCCGTTCTGCTGGGCGGCTAACATGGCGGCTGCCGCGCGCTGCTCGGCCTCCCTCTGCCGGAGCGCAGCTGCTTTTTTCTCCGCCTCGGCGTGACTCTTCATGTGGGCACTGCGGCTCTTCACCTTGAAGAAGATCCTGGAGAAAACAGAGTTCAGATCTTTAGGTCAGGGATTTAGACTCGAGAACCGTATCAGTTGGATTCGTGAGTCAATCATTCAGACTGGTTTTGCAAATTGACTCATTGTAAACATCCAACTCAAAAGAATGATTCGCTCATAATTCAGACATTAAGATCATTAAGTTACTGAGTTGAATCCAAGAACTAGATCGGTTGGATTCATTAAATAATCATTCAGACCTTTTTTTTTTTTTTACTGGCTTTACAGATTCATTAAAAACATCTGACTTTAAAGATTAAATTATTCACAAATCAGACCTGACGATTAATGAGTGAATGAATTGAACCTGAGAACTGGATAAGTCAGATTTGTGAACCAATCATTCAAACTGGTTTTGTTACTTGGATCAACCGATACAATGCAAAGGTTTGACTCAAAGAATGATTCACTGAAGGATCTGACATGCAGATCTATGAGTCAGTGATCTGAACCAGAGAAGTGGATCAGTCAGATTTGTGAACACAGCATCATACAGACAGGGTTTAATGATCTAGATAAAAGGACTAAAAAAAAAGATAATTTGCTCATTAATCAGACATGTACTGTATAACAATGAGCTGAACCAGAGAACCAGATCAGTCAGATTCACAAAGCAATCATATAATTAAAAACAATAATAAACAGCAGAATTTAACAAATTTTAATTTCTAAAAAGACATAAAATGTTGCACTGGGACTTCTGTCCAGCAACTGAATCTGTGATTCTTTTTTCTTTTTTTTAAAGCTCCAGTCCGTAACTTTTTTAAGTTAAAAATAATCCAAAATAATTATATTAAAAAAAACTTATTCTGCCAGTGGTCAAAACTATCTGCTTGCCATAGCTAGATTCAAAACGGTTAGCTTGTAATAATGATTTTAATTCCAGTGGTACTGGTGGGTTTCCGCGGGAAATTCGAGCATGTCTTTGAGTCATGACGTCACACCCGTACACATAAAGAAGGAGTTTCGGCTAGCCGGCTATACTGCGCGTGACGAGATGTTTAGATGTATAGGCTTTTCTCGCAGCACTTTACATAATTAAACTTATGGCATCCAGAAAGATCCAAACAACAATCATCAGTGTCAACTGGAGATTCAGCAGTTATAAAACCCAAAAGACTTCGTACTTCGGATTTAAGGTGGCTAGAGAAAGAGAAAGAAACCGTCTCATGCGAACACAAGGATTTAAACGTCGGCGGGGCTTTTGAAAAGTGTGTAAACTCCGTGTTTTGAAGGGGTTCAAAACGGAAGAAGAGACGGCTTTTTTTCTGCTGAACAAGTAAGACATTTCAATAGTTCAATCGTGTATCAGTACGTTTTCTTAATTCACACAGTTATGGAGTTTCCTTGTGCCTTTCTCGTTTTGCTATTATGGAGAATATGAATTCTGAACTACACAGGTAACCATAAAACACATTAAATTTAACATTAGTCACGCAATGCTGATGTTGTTAACATGAACAATTTGAGAACAAAGTAGGCTATAATTTGCACGGTTGCTGTAAATCACGTTGATTAAATCTAACGAAGCTTATCATGTCGAATGCTTTTTCCCCCTTAGTTGGTCAGAACAAAAATGGATTTTACTTACTTGTTCAGAAGACATTTTCTTATGAAAATTCTTATGTTGGTCAAACTTTCAAAAAGTGAATCTGTGATTCTGTATGACAGTATCCACACAGCGCGGTGACTGACAGCACCACTCGCCTCAAAGCACTGTGTTCATCCGCGCTGTTTCATGCCGATTTACAACCCACGTAAAGATAATAATTCCGCGAATCACTGCAGTTACAGATTTCGAACAGAGAGATGGCGACAAAGAGGAAAAGTTCCGGACTGCAGCTTTAAGTTAAGTTAAGTCAAGTCACATTTATTTTTATAGCGCTTTTTACAAAACAGATTGTTTCAAAGCAGCTTTACAGAGATAACAGGAAAATAATGCAACAAAGTTTGTTTTCAGAAGAAAGCATCACAGTCCAGCTTAAGTAAATTCATTGATGTTTCATTTTTGTTGTAAAAAAGTTATTCATGAAGTTAATTTATATATATATGGCCGCTCTGGAGAAAACCGTGACGTCATCGTCCAGCTCAGTTCAGTTCTCATATAATGGTGTCAATGCAGGCAGATCAATATTATTGTTGAATATTAAATTTAATGTCCCCAAATAAGCAAGCCAAAAGCCAAATGGCAACAAAGGTGAAAAAAAATGATGTGATGTATCAGTTTTTAACGGAAACATCTACAGGAACCATTTGATATGAATCAGATTTTCCAATGCTAAATATAGATTCAATACACCTTTGTAAGTGTGTTTGATTATTACCTCAGTTTGCTTGACTGTAAAGCTGAATGCACAATACAATGTAAAAAAAAAACGAAACTAAAATGAGTCACTCAACATGCTACTCTATGGAGAACTAGAGTATTGTTACTACACTATTGTTAAAACACCTGAACAACTGTCACACAAGTGACACAACTGAAAAATGTGGTTAAGTTAGATGTGTCGCAACTCTTACTCCCCAACACTGTAGTTCACACATTGTGATAAACAGAAACATTTAATGGCACAGTACAACAGATAAAATTAAATAAATTCATATTTAAATATTCATTTTAAATGTACCTGATTTATTTATAGATATACTTAATTACATATTTGCTTAATTAAATTGACTGTATTTCATTTATTCAAATAAAATGCATTTAAACGAATTAATTAATAAATAAAAAGGAACATTTAAATAAATTATTTATTTAAATGTACCTCATCTCTTTTTTTTTTTATTCAGTAAATAAATAAAATAAGGTACATTTAAATAAATGTTACACTATTATCATTAGTAAATTGAGTAAATGCGTAAAACTGAGTGTGTATCCCGATAAACTGACCTGCCACACTTCTTGCAGGGAAATTCACCCTCTTGGTTAGTTTGTCCTTTTCCTGTATTGCCAGCCACACTTTTCCGGCCTGTGGTTTCAGAGCGAGGTTTAGATGGTGGTGGTGGTGGTGGAGGAGGATGACTGACCCCCAACGTGGACGGATCCTTAGTGCTGTCCTCCTGACTTCTTAAGACTAAGACGGCAGGAGCCTAACAGGAAACAAATGGTTAGTATAAACAAGCACAGCTGAACGCATACAGATATGAGACACAGGGAACTTCCTCTGTGGTTGTAAGTTCTAACCCATCTATGTGTTCACCATTGTGCCCTTCAGCAAGTTAATTCTGGGTTCCTCCAACAGGACGGCCCCTTATAAATGTACTATAAAGTACATTGGATAAACTTGTAATAAGGTATACCACTAGATGGTGCTATAAAGATCCTACAGTGCTAAACTACACATGACTACTATCTTCCAAACCTCTCTGGCAGACCAGTTTTTTTATTGTCGTTTCAAATAGCCCAGAACTGGGGATGAACACTGGAGAACTAAAACAATTTAATTTTCTGTAGGCACCATGCATTTTTTGCAACCTCATGTAACTTTATGCAAATCTCCCCAAACTCACATTTTCAGTGGCCTGTAGAGTTTGTGTCACCCTGCCCAGGCTGTTTTCTTGTTTCCTGTCACATGACACATCCCACTTCCTGCTCTCCTCGTCTTCTTTCCGTGATTCAAACTTCTGTGAACTCTGATGGAGGAGAAGCATTAAGGTGCTGCACTAGTTAGTACGAAATCAAATCAACCAGATGCACGTACACACACAGCCACAGGAACTCACTTTATTGTCCACTTCCTCCTCTGTTGTGGGTTTAGTTTCTGGTGGTTCTGCTTCTCCATATATGAGCGTTCCATTCCTGCCGATCTTCACCTGCTTTTTATACGTGTAGTAAAACTCCACACACTGAGCCACTGTCTTGGAGCTCACCTTCAAGTCAAACATGAACACAACTCAGCATTAGCATAACTCATAGCTAGAGCTTGCTGCTATCATGCTAGGGTGTCAGTGGTGATTTACATGATCAGCTCTGAAAATACACTAATTTGACTAGAAACACCGGAGACCATGAAGAATAATTCTGCTATTTGCGAGACTTCCGGGTTCAGGAAAAAGTTGGACTGCTAGGATGTTCTAAGTGGTTATAGTTTATAACCATGTGGTTGTTTGAATGTTGTAGTTGGTTGCTAATGTTTTACTAGGATGTTCTGGGTTGATGTTAGGATGTAGGTTCACGTTACCAAACTTATGACTTCGATACGATACCCAACTGAAATATCGTGATACCAATACTGAATTTATACCATGGCAAAAAACTAAAACACCAGTAAAAGTAATTTAATAATATGACAGAACTTTAAATTGAATGTTTTATACATTTATTTAAAAAAAAAAAAACATTATCAATCACATTCGCTAACCTTTCACAATTCTGAACAGGTTGGGATAGCGGCCGGTCGGGACTGTGATATGACCAAAATATTATTTCATGATATGAGTAATTTAATATATTTAATATTTTTTTAATGTAATTTTATATCACAATATAGTTCTTTTATTTTATCTTAAAATATATTTAAAATTATTTTATCTTTTATCTTTAAAATAAGCAAAGATGCAAATTACAATGACAAATACAATATAAGAAAGATACAAATGAAATAAACAGTGCTATAAAATTTTCAGGTAGGGTACAGTAGGTCTGTTTAACAGTAGCATTAAGAAATTAAATAAATGTAAAAAAAAACTTCACTCTATGATTTACCTTAACACTGATTCTTAATAAATAGATTAAAGTTATTCAGTCAAACAGTGGGTGATTTTCTCTTTTCTTTTTTTCTTTGATTAGCATTAATTACACAGACAGCAGCAGGTTTATTAGGCTGCTGTCACTTTAAGATCTGACACATGGATCCAATACATTGGAACACACACGATTTCTTTCTTAACCGTTTACGTTCACTGAACACATACCCGACTGTGTTTGCGTTGATACTCGCCAGGATGTGCATTTTGACATATTTTTGACCATTCGAGAGCAATAATCTGTAAAAGAGAACTGCATTCGCGATCGCATGCTGTCTGAAAGGCGGCTTTCTGAGCGCCTATGAGCTCTTTTTCAAGGCTTATTGATCTTATTAACATGTCCGACGCTTTATTTTCTCATGTGCTGTGTGGAAATATTTTAGTCCCTGCATCACGATACCTTTCTAGTACCAGTGTATTATGCAACACTATTAGGATGGCAACAATGTTTTAAGTGCTTTTAATCTGTTAATATGTGGTTGATTGAATGTTCTAGATAGTTGCTAGTGTTACTAGGATGTTTGAGGTGGATGTTAGGGTGTTGCTAGGATGTTTGAGGTGGATGTTAGGGTGTTGCTAGGATGTTCTAAGTGTTTTAATGCATTGTTATGTGGTTGCTTGGGTGTTGTAGTTGGTTGTTAGTGTGTTGCTAAGATGATCTGGGTGGTTACTAGATGGTTACTTACTAGCTATAGTCAAGTCTCTATAATAAACATGTCCCTATGTATGTCTCACCTTCAACACAGAGACTTTTTGGAAAAGTAATAGCACACATCCTCAAGCTGCATTATATGATTTGTGTGGGTGATTGATACTTCTTGTTAGGGGTTTGTTCAAACCTGTACATACCATTTTCTGAACCATGAAGAAGTCCTTCTTGTAGGCAGCGATGCCTTTGTTGAAGATCCGTCGTTCCTCTGGCGTCCAGCTATCAGAGCCTGTGTGGTACAGACAAACGGTCCACACAATCAGATACCATGTAGCTGCTTCTAGACCACCCCCACCCGCTAACACAAATACATTCACGCACAAAGGACAGAGAGAGGGCAAACAGCCAGCACACACATGTCCAGACAAACAATGATGCCGCTGTCTTCACCCAGGATTTAACAACATGCCACAGACACACTCCCCCTCCTTTCCTCTCACCCACTCCCATACTCTACCCAGCAACCCACTCTGTCAACCCATCTCTCAGCCGAACCCCTCCCCTCCGCTGAACTCCACTCCTCAGCTGCTTTTGTTTATAACGGAGACAGGGAGCATGGTTTGGAATGCCAGCGCAGGGGGTGACGGGGTACCGGGACCGCATGCCATACGGATTAACTCACGTCACCCCGGCAAAAAAAAAAAGGTGAAAGAAAAGGAAAGTGTGTTTGACGGTGAGAGGGACTTACCAGAGTAGTGGTAGTCAGCCAAGGGGTGCGCTTTGGGAAAGGTGGGTTTTTTTAACAACAGACAGGCAAGTGCTCCCTATGAAAATAAAAAAGAAAGTAAAATTAGCATGGTTGAGGAAACGAAACTGGCTGCGGTGTGATATAAAGACAGGGTCACAAGTGGGAGAATCACAGGGCATGTTATGTCCCAGAGTTGATATGAACAGATTAATGAGTGCAGGAGAGATGCAATTCTGCTAGACCATCGCTATATCCTTAATAACATATGTAAAAGGCTTTTTGCTGCAGGCGTTTATCCCAGCTGTGCAAGTCGCTGGATGATCCCTTTTGTTCTCTCTGCATCGTTCCTCCATACAGTTTCTAAGGGTGCGATAAATCGAGGACACTATCTTTTTCTGGGTCAACAAGCTCTAACGTGTGCTTTTTTCTTATTTACGGCCTTTTTGCCACTTTTATTGATGTGTAAAGAGAGTTGTACAGAGAACAAGGCAAGTGACGAGCAATATAGATATTTGCTCCTGAGGGAAAGATGTAGAAACCAGACGGTTAATTGTGGTTTTAAACTACTCTGTATCGTCAGAACATGACAAACACTTCGTGAACATTTCTCAAATCTGAGGTAGAAAATTCAAAACATTTATAATAAAGTATTTTTTCTACATCAAAATATGCATAAGTTAACTAAAGAAAAATCATTTTCCAGTCTTGTTTCCCTAGCAAAAGAAATATCTTAATATAAAATTTAATTTCTTAGTTTCTGCATGTTCTGACGGAAGATAGTTTGTGTTGCCTGACTTTGATGACATATACCTTCGGCACAGTTTGCAGTGCAGGCTGCAATTTTAATAATATTATGTTTTTCTCTTGGAAATGCACATTTGACAGAATGAAGCTTGAGTTGGGATGCAGATGTAATTTTATGTTCATTAACAAAAACGGTAACATCTGTATATATTTAAACAACCTCATAGAGTGAAATTTAAATATTCTGTTTCAGTTAGCACTCTACTTTTATTAAAAATTAAGCATTGGTCATCCATAGTATCCTACATTTAGATCATGATAACCACAGGTAAAACCACGCAAGCATATAGCATCTCACTACCATGGTAAAATGTTACTATATGGCTTTTGGTTGTCCTGAGGTTGTCAGAGACATTACACCCCAGTTTAACAGACAAGGTTTAGTCCCAGACTAAAATGCATGTTTGAGCTATTTTAACTGTTTTTAATATATTAAAATATGTCAGTTGCCATTGTTTTGTCTCAAGATGCACACCAGTATTTTTTTTTCTAATGCAGGTTTATAAAAGCTACTTATATGTCCTAATTGAACTAAGGCCTAATCCTGGCTTAATCTAAGCCCTATCTGTGAAACCAGGCCTAAATGTCCTCACAACACGCAGGAAAATGCATCTAGTCAGCTTTCAGAGATTTGTTGTTTAAACTCATGCTTTTAAAACCATTCCAACTTAACAAAATGTATTTGTAGATTTCTAATAGAGATGCAATAATTCCAAAAGCCAACTGAAAAATCATATTGGCGGGAAGCAGGGTGATGTCAACTTCTGAGTTGGCATTAACAACCATAATAAACTTTAACATGACATGACAGATCATTGGATTGCAGGACAAACCGTTTGGAATTAAACATTTGTGTTAAACATTAAACATCCATGTTCTTGTATGTGTTTTTATGTTATCTGAGCAGGTCTTGTCAAAGACAAATTTCTGTCAATTGTGACAGACAATAAAGTTTTCTTATCTTATCTTATCTTATTGCTGAAGGCCATTACTGTCTTATGTACCTATTAATCTGTCAAAATATCTACATCTAAACCATGTTTGCAAGCTGCACAATACAAATTACTAATTTGCATGAAACACAAACTGAGGTCTAGCAACTTGGCATTACAAAACCTAAGATGCAACAAGATAAAACTATTTAAACCAATGGCAATGAAACCATTTTCAGTACATCTCGCTTATCACTGAAACTCAGAAAACACCAAAAACCTTACAGACACCACTCAGAGAGTCGAGCTGACTTTCATTTTCTGCTGTAGTTGTTTACATGTGTGACATGAACCACAAAGCAACAAACAGCATGTTGTGTAACAAATGCATGACTAAAATTTGGTTTAGAAATGCAACGCACATAATTCAGTCATCTTCAGCGTGTCGTTCTGGACACAAGCCTGTGATTGACAGGTGGTTGCTATGGCGGCAGTGTGACAGCTCAGCAGTAAGCGGCTGGCTGTTGTGTTGTTGCAGCTGCTGGCTCAACTGAGCGAACGTTGAAAAGAATTACCAAAGCACACGCACTGTTTGTGTTTTCATATAACAAGGGTCATCAATTAGCAGAATGCAGTTGCATTGGTTTCGCCTCGACTGCCAATCAGCTGTCATAAATGAATAAGCTAGGGGTATTAAACAAATAGATATTTGTTTACACAATATGCTATTTAAGCAATCAAATTATTCACAATTAATTGTATATATCAATATTAAATGTAATTCAATTATCATATCACATGAAAAGATGCATTTCACAATGTACTTGCACAGGAATTATAAATAAGTACAGTTTATTTGTCGCTTGTTGATTCTCAATATAGCGAAAAGATAAAAGATAACTAACTATAATGAATACTACATTAGCAGTGTAACATGAGTGTAATAGATGCACTTTTAGGGTTGGGGGTTGCTACAAAAAAAAAAACCCTGAGGCAACAGTGGAAAAGTAGTCCCAATTCCGCGGGAAAACCACAGACTTTGCAACACTGATTAAGAGCGAATGAACAACTTTATTTTGAAGAGTTACCAAAAATGTACAATGAATTTTTACAGAAATGTATATTCAACATTAATTTGAGATTGTTCAGATCTTAGCTGGAAAGGAAATTTAGAGCCTGGACTTTAAATTTAAAGCTTTGTCACATGCATGTTTGTGTGTGAATGGCCACAAGTAAAACGCTGTTCAAGGAAACAATGCGGACCATGTCATTTACTTTCACTTTCCATGTGCAAGTAATGTGTTTGCACGCATTAGTCACATAAACACTCTCTTTTAAGGCTTTGTAATCCATAATTCCAAAAAATAATTCTGCATAATTTAATCTTCCACTCATGTGACAAACCCTTCATGCATTGCTCTGAATAATCAGCAGTTTGAGAAGCAGCCAAGTGTAAACAGGTTTGATTGGTACACAATACAGGAGGAAGTTCAATTAAGCTATCCCAATGTGCTATGCAGTATATGATACTCACCATGATTTCACCCTTGGATTCATACAAGCAGTGCAAAGCCAGTTCCTGATTGGTCCCTCCTCCGTACAACGCACTCGAGCACGCCAGGTGCATGAGGTCATCCACTGATGGGACACACAGAATATCCAGGAAAAGACTGAATTAAACATACAGTCATGCAGATTTAGTTATAAATAAATAAGGCAAGCTGTAAAAAAAAAAAAAAAAATCCTGCAACTTCCTTTCATTCATTTAATTGTTTCAAGTTGTGTAAGTTGTAAACCTCTTTGCTGTTCCTGAGTATTGGCCTCCAGGTCAGGCAGTGGCGCCCACACCAGTTCAGCCTTGTGTAGGTCGTGCTGCGCTGCCAAGCGCTCTCTCAGCTCTGGGACCTCCGCCTGATACCGCAATCCAATGTTTATCCGACTGAAAAAGAGAGAGTGAATATAAACAGGCTGCTGTAGCAATCCAAACAAAATGAATATGATTTGTTCAAAATAACGGGGAACAAACGCATGAGGAATAGAACAATAAACATGAAGTTTGAGCAAAGCCTGATTAGCATGATTTGAGAATGTAAGAAACTATAAAGAAAGATAATGAATCTTCAAAAGCTTTTGTTGCCAGGGATTGGAAGCTAAACATGAGGCACGACTTCTATAAAATGAGAAATTCCTGAAAACAAATCACATTCCACTCCAGTTCATTCCACAGGTAGTTTGTGTCGTTTCTAAACGAGTCTGGGCCACTAGTGACAAATTGAATCGGAATCATTCAGAGACTATCAAAGATTTTCAGACTGTTGTTTGAATTACTTTATTGCTCATCTCAGTCGGCTCTTTTTTTTCTTTCTTTTTTTGAGAAATCAAGCATTCATGAGAGTAGACTCTGACCATGGGTATTTGCATAAAATTAACACCCGATGATTTCCAAAGCCAAATGTTCTAGTATCTGACTGCCAAGGTCTGGGTAGAAGGCAAGACAGATTGTGCTTTATTATTTTGTTCCAGGATGTGCTTTCGTGGTGCATTGGCCAACTCCAAAATGAAGGGTTCTGCAGCCATTCACAGAGAGTTTGAGTAAGAGAGAAACAATTTCAACCGAACACTGTTCTGACCATTAGATAAACCAGCTGGTACCAGTCGGAGATGATATCCCATAATTCTATCTGCTCAGCTACCATCCCCCCCTACTCTGTTCTTAAAAAGAGCTCTGAAATTTCCCATGTATGATCCAAGAAACCCATTCAGATGTCATTTCCCTTTAACACACTAACAGAGAGACTTGCGCATGACAGAACAGCTCCCCAACCAGCTCCACTGTAACCATGAATTTTGCATCAGCCGACTACAGATTACCACTTACAATAAAGTAATGCCAACATATCTGCACAGTAAGGCCCGTTTACACCACATGCATTAGCAGTGTGTAAGCAAAGCAGCAGCATAAATGCAACAGCAGGCTTGAGTTGTGCTTTTATGCTGTGTAAAGCTGCAGCTCTGTAGAAAATAATTGAAAGTCATTTCTGGGCTACTATTTTGAGTAATAACTGCCATCCAAACAGTAAGAGGAAACAGCCAGCTAACTAGACCACTGACTTTCAGTCACCTGAATGGAATCTAGTATAAAGCTAGTATAAAATTTTAAAAAAAGAAAAGAAAAAAAAGCATTGGCTAGAAAGTTATTATATGGCTAGAAGCGTAAGCTAATTATGGAAACTTATGAAGCGCAATGTGTGGGGGTGTTATTTGAATAGCGTGTGTACTTACGGCTCAATGCTGACAGGTGTAGCCTCACTCATAGCAGTGAGAACTGGAGGAGTTATATCACTGCTGTCTGAACATATACAAACAAAAAGACTGTGCTTAGACTCAAAGTAAACACTGTTTCTTATTATATGTCCTCCTAATCATGATATGCATAACAATTGTTTAACTGCACATATCCTAGCTTTTTGTAACATATATACTAAGTCTGTTCCAGAACCTAATGAGGTGCCTACTTAGACAGCGTTTTAAATTTTTACAAAAAGTAAGCAGCTCATTTTAAGATACCTCATTTTGCTCAATATTTTGAGTATCTAATTACAAGGTATCTAATGCATTCTGGGGTTGCCTAATCAGACGGTGGACTGATTCCAGATCACTTTATCGACTGCAAAAATCTCATATATATAATATATATATATATAAACGATATATATATAATCGTTTTTTTCCAGCTAAATAAAAAATGGACTATTTTGCGGAGTTATTAGAATATCAAGTTGTTATCTTAGCAACATATGCTAATCACACTGGAAGCAACTATTCATCAAGTCAGTCAGTCAAGCGCCTCGCCTGGGCAGTGCTATTTGTGTGATGCACATGAGTGACTGTTTAGAAATCTGTTCAGTCCCTTATAAGATTGTAATACGGTTAGAACACTGCATTAGAGGTTGCACTTTAGGTTGCATTTGGTTGTTAACTTCAAATCATTTAATTCTAAACTGACTACCTGAACTCATTTAAAGTAGTACTTAACAAATTTTATCTGTGTACTTTGCAGAGACAGTAAAGGGAACTCACTGGAGCGCAGGAGGCTGCGGGTGGCAGATTTGGGAGTGGCAGGTGGAGGCAGCCCTTGATTATTTGCTGCAGCAGCAGCAGCAGCGGCCGACAGGAAGGTGGAAAAGTAAAGACCCGAACCCTCTCGAACCGGGCTGAGGATGGGCGGGGGAGTGTAAGGCGGCATGTTGAGGGGGTTGTCAGGCAATCGGACAGGTGAACGTAAGTGACTCTGGTAAGGTGTGATGCTGGAGTAGATCGGTGGAGCGATGAAAGTGCCAAGTTTGGGTGGGGGAATAAAGAGCGGTTCTGGACGAGGCCGTCGTTTGGCTTTGGCTGATTTGGCGTCAGCTTCACTTCCACTCTCTGTTCCACCATTCTGTAGAAGAAATTAGATGTTGGTAAGCTGGATAGTGTGGAAAAAATACATACACCATATACAATCTGTGTGATCTTGGTGAGTCTTGTCAGAAATCATAAATCTGGTAGTGAAATGGGGTGGGGGAAGGTTGGATTAGGGTGAAGAGAATGGACAGGGGGGTCGGGAGGAATTTGTGGATTAATGGGGGGTTTTAATCCAGGGTTTAACAGAGGGAAATGGAATAGATCAGAGGGCAAAAAGAGGCATCGTCATGGGCATAGAAAGGTGCCATTGATGTTTTGATAAATTAGATCAGTTTGTGAACTCACCTGGCCTGAGCTCTCAGACAGAGAGTTCCGCAGTGAACGTCGTCGTGTAACAATCACAGAGGTTTTGTAATCGGAGAAGCTCATGTCATGGGCGCCCAAAGGCCGTGATGGCCAACTAGCTGAAAGGGAAGCCTGCTCGTGATCCGGGGATGAGGAATCAGTCTGCCTCACTGGCACAGATACTGGAATGACCAACGGCATGAGGCTGTCATCTCTGGGCCGCTTGGCACTCATCTGCTCCACCTCAGCTGCCCCTCGACCTGGACCTGTCGGGGCAACAGGGGGGCTCCAGGGCCTGTGTGGCTCTTGCTGTCAACACACGATTAACACAGTCAAATTAATGGTTAAACAAAATACCTAAATCTCAGTAGAGTGCATCCTTCCTCTGCTCTGTAGATACAAATGATATGCATGTGAAATGAGAAATTAGAGAGTGCTTAAAAGCTGATCAGATATATCAGCACAGGAAATGAGGTTAACTGAAGTCTATTTTCAAAAACAACTTATTGAATCAACTGTGACCTCATTTCTGCGCCAGGATATAACATCTTGCCCTGCAGACCAGCAACAGATTGCACGTGGATGTATAGATCGGTGTCACAAGTGAATAACATATTGGCATGCCGCCACAGGAGAAAACCTCAGGTTCAATATAACCAGACATTCTCCAGTAGGTATGTTAACGATTACAGAAGGGAATCCTTCTATGTTAGGTTTATTGAACTGCATCCAAACTTTTACACAAAACAGGAACTTAAAAAGAATCATCCAAAAATGGCACTCTTAGCAATTTCACAATGCCTGCCAATTTCAAAACCCCAAAAACACAATGTTCACATCAGAAAAAAAGCATTCTGGGAGGAGCAATTCCTGTTTTTTCCTAATTGCTAGCTTTAAGTAAGGCGTTAAAGAAAAAGAAATATGCTTAAACTTCATTGGCATGTTGTGTAAAAATGCTATGAAATATGCGTCACAAGTACAGTGTAACTAACTTGAAGTTGCGTGAAAATCTAGAAATCCCTGAGGATGTGGCCGGTCTTATCTAAACTCCGGCCTTGCTGGCACCACTGAGGTATTCAGCTTAGTACATGAAGCCCTTGCAGCTCACTCACCCTTGAGCAAGAGCTTTTTTTCAGCCTGTGTTTGGAGTAGGGAAGGTTTAACTGACACCCGTCGTCACCAGGAGACCAAAAAAACCTCACTGACTAATGCACCTACTCCTTTCGAGGAGCTGGAATCAGCTGACATGAGATTTGTAGCCTCTTTACTGGACTGCACCTTGTGTTCTGTGCATTATCTGCCCCACAGATCAGCAGTATATGTACACACACCCTTTCTTTGTTATCCTCGGCTGGATGTCTTAAGGGAGTGCTGCTGTCCTTTTCAAAGGAAGTATACGTAACGAGGAAAAGCAGACTGAACTAAATAGTGTGGCCCAGAAACCCTTAGATCCCCTCGTTAAACTTGATTGCTAATTGCGCTAATTCTCTGTCCGCAATAAAATGAACAAACCAAGCAATTAACACTAGTCCATGGAAGCAATAGGATGAAATCTCTTTATAATCTTCCATTCCAAAGCAAGTATTAACCCAGTGACACTACAAATTTAAAATTAGTAATGGACAGAGGTGTGCTTTTGGATTTCGACAAAAGGAAATACAGCTCTATATGTACATCAATGTGCAGGAGGGTGAGTGGGCTGAGGGTGGGGTGCACTTGCTGGTATTTGTATGAGAAGTCCGTCAGGAGATAGAGGTTGCAGATGTGTGGAAAAGCTTTTGTTTGGTTCATTGGATCATGTGACCTGATGACGACAGTCAGTGTCTGTCCTTTACTAATTTTACACTCCTTTATCAACTGAGAAACCTGTAGAACTTGTACGCATTTGAAACAGGTAGTGCATCCTCACTGTACAATGTTAAGCAGATAATAACGTCAACTTCCCTCGGCTAAGGGTAATTTGTGATTAAGGGAGTGGCAATTCACACTTGGCATGTTTGGTTCGATAAAACGAACTCTGGTGCGATTGCTCTGTTAGCGCAGTTCATTTGAACGTGTGAACGCTGCCATCCGAACCCTGGTGAGCACCAAGCAAGCGGACCGAGACTGCTGAAAAGATGGGTCTCGATCCGCTTCCAACAATCTCAGGTGCGGTTCGTATGAAATATGAACGCAACATGGATCACCATACATGTAAACAAATCAAAAACAGGAATTCTCGTCATAGTTGCGAGTTTGCCCACCGCAGTTCAGTACAGGCATCAGAACCGCGTCTCCTTGCAGCAGATCATTTGTGTGTGACGGAGGGATTCCTGCCACTGTTTTGACTCCTTTACACATTTTATAAGCTCTTCACTAGTTCTCAGCTGGTCAAAATACCATCATATGCAGGCTACGCACATACAAAGAGTGCATTTATCCTAGCACACAGCATTGTTTTGGATGTTCGATAAGTTCTGTCTCGAAATAGGCAATACGTCATAAAAGCCAACCAATAAGGTTGTGAACATATCCCTATGCTTTTAGGTTCAGTGATAAAAATGTCAATCTGAACGCTAATTGGACCAGGACTAAATGTTTTTTTTTTGGTCCGGACCAAACGAACTAAGCGAACCGAACAAGTGTAAACTTGTGAACTAAGTCACAGACCAACCTTTCATCTTGACTATTTAACAATGAATTGTCAAAAACACAATTTTAATTTCTCCCTTATTCTTGACTGAAAAACAGCCAGTTGTCTTACCTTGACATTCCGCGAGGGAAGAGATTCCCTTTCCGAAGCCTTCTGAGCCAAGGTCTCCAGGTTGACCTCTTGCGACACCCTCCTCTTACGGCGTGTGCTCTGGATTACACCTGTCGGAGCGGCCCGGATGTCTTGCACCGCAATGGTCTCAGAAGCCCCGTTCTGAGAGCCTTGGGCATGAAGATCAGTCGGCATGACAAATGGGTTATCTGAGGCAGGGCCTCCACCCTCTTTTGAAAGCCGACGTGATCTCCGGGGCCCAGGCTGTTGGCTCTCAGTGGATTGCTGGGGAACATTTGCAGGAGGCTGAGGAACAGAGTCCTTAGTCTGTGTTGATGGGGGATTAGTGGTCTCTTGGGACTGTCCTGGTAATGAGGGGGGATGCTGATCAAGTGAAGGGGCACGTGGCTGCTGTCCATCAGAGTAATTTTCCAATACATGCTGGTTTTGATGAGGTTGCTCAGATATTTTTTGCCGCTGCGCCAAGTCAAGTTGCAGTTGAATCTGTTGCATATGCTGTTGTGGTTGCTGTTGCTGAGTCTTATTTAGTTGCTGTGCTTGTTGCTGTAACTGTGATTGGGATATTTGTCGTGACTGTTTTTGATGCTGAAGTACCTGTTGCTGTTGCGTCTGCTGTCGTATCTGCTGTTCCAGCTGTTGCTGCCGTTGATGGTGCATCATCTGTCGCTGCATCTGCAGCTTTTGCTGTTGCTCCTGTTCCTGTAGTTGCTGAAGATGATGCTGAGAATTCGTCTGTGTACTGTAATTCAAATTTGGCAAGGTCCGATTGCCCTGAACTACCTGATAGTAACCTGCTACCAAGTTCTGCTTGGGCTGTCCAAAAGCTAACTGAAAGGGTTGCAGCACCGAATTTCCAGTGGTGGACTGTCCATGCTGCTGTGGATTTAACATTCCAGGCTTTTGAGTCTGCTGAAAAGCTTGCTGCTGTTCCCAGTCCATGCCCCGGCCAGGTTTGGTCGTGTCCCTGAAGGTATCTCCACTTATGTTAGCGCCTTGTTTTTCAGTTGCCCTAATAGTCGATGGCTCGGGCTGCTGCTGTTGTACTGACATGCCTTCATGCATCTGCTTTGCAAATACAGTCTGAGCCCCCAGGTAAGGGGCATAGTTCTGGGACCATGCTGTTATACCCTGTGACCAACTGTTTGGTCGCTGTTGGGGCTGCAAAGACGGGTCTTGATGTGACCACTTCATGGGCACAGTCTGTTGGTAGTGCCCACGACTTTGATCACCCTTCTCTGGGCTGAAAATGACAGAATTGAGGTACATATGTGGTGCTTCTGCATTCGAGCCTTCCACACCTCCACTGTCATTATGGCCAGGCCCTGAGGGAGGGATGCCATAGTAGGCCTCTGTATGCTGAGAGGCCTCTTTCATTGCCACACCCTGATCGTTGAAGAAAGTGATGCGTTTGCCCGTTCTCTTTGCGTTTGGTTTCGGTTGAGGTTGCAAACTCATGACTTTCATGAATATAGATTCTGTGGAGTGGTGGAGTGGGTGGTTATGGAGACAAGAGTTCAAATCCCCAAACCACACTAAGCTTTCTCTGGTTTAATCAAAAGTCTTAGAGTATCGCCCTTGACAAAGAACCCTAGTTTTATCCAGTATTTTGGCAGTCAATGGTCATCCAAACCTACTCAACATAGTAGAAATGCAAATAAGCTTTAAAATACAAAACTGCAGCATCTCCTGTGCAGAAATAGTAGTTTCAGTATGGTGTAGCTCAAACATGTCTATTTGCTTTTATTCTTCACTGCCAAATTTTCAGGTCCTGGGATGCCAAGCTGGGTTGAGAAGTCTTTAGGTTAACTTGTTGCTTATTCATGGGAGACAACCTGAGAAGAAAGTGGTCACAAATATTATGGTTAGCCTTCAGAGTCAGTACTTTGGGCTTAGTGGGGGTTCATTGAAATAGCCGTTTCAGCAACTTCATGAATAGGGCCCTAGAGAAAGGATTTAAAAGGGAAAGGTGGAATTGTTAAGGGTTGGGGGAGCTGTGCCATTAGCAGCTTAGTGCACATTTTAAAACTATGTTGAACAAACTGAATTCAAGCCAGTAAATAAGCTCAGTATGCACAGAAAGTTAACAAACTTTTCTTAGCAACCAACAAACTAATAGGACACATATGTATGCTAACTGTGAGTGGGGGGAGCTGCATGTTACTGCAAATAATTGTTTCTAGATCGTGTGCAGTGAAAGTGAGTAAGATGATGAGAGATGTACAGTTGCACACATAATCCCACAGAGAGTGTGAAAATGTACTAGCCTAGTTTCACAATGAGAATGTTTAAAGTAATGCACTCCATAGTTCACATTAGCATCCACATATTAACTTAAAAATCAATAAAAGTGTACCATTAACCTGAAATGGAGGGCTTGAGTTGTTATGTATGCATATATGAAGCAACCAAATAAATAATGTCAAATGTCTGCATAAAAAAAAACATTTTTTAAATGAGATACATATCTGTAATATGCAAACAAATTATAAACTACACTAATTATAAGCACTCTACCAGATGATTTAACATTATTCTTTTGTGATCTATATTCATTAGGAATCCTGTCTATGGTGTTCATTCATAGAATTGTATTTGTTCATCTCTGCTTTTATCAACACCGATTACCTGTGGTAAAATCACTGTGGTGCACATCTCCCATGGGTTTTTGTTTTATAACAATGACCAATACAAATGTTCTCTACACTTAGGGCTGTGCCGGTGAGCGTGACAACCGCACCAGCACCACCATGGTGGCATGCAAAAAAATAAATAAAAATTATTTGCACATGATGGTTACGTTTTATGTAGATATGGGAAACAAGTTAAGTACAAAGCTATGTTTACAAAAGAAATAGGCCTAACAGTTTAGAAACTATGATATTATATTGATATGATCGCAACACTTGAATTTTGGGCGAATGAGGGGTACGCCCGCGAGCCCATAAATTTGGATTAAGCCATATGTCGGCTTTATATTCTGTCTTGCGATCTGGCTATACAATAGTTTATTAGCTTCAGAAACATTTAATTGTTTTTCAAACTTCATCTCTTCTCATTTTCAATTTAACACAGTTTGTAATCACTAGGGAAGTTATGGAACTGAAGTTTATTTGTATAGCGCATTTCACACAAGCCGGTAATTCCGTTTCACTTTCCCATGCAATGCAACATAAAATATAAATGTCAAGTTGATAAGAAGCTTCTATGCTCCTGTATGTTTGTGTCCGGGCGCAGCACGATCTCCGATCTTGTTGTGTGTGCTTCAATGAAGGCAGCGCATCAATATAGCAACAATAATTACCTGTGCAGTTAAGTGTTTGAACAATAACTTTATTTAACCCACAAAACCCCCACACCACCGGCTGGCCCTGTCACAGCCTTATCTACACTTAGGCTATTATTAGGGATACACCGAATTAAAAATTCTAGGCCGAAACCGAAAATTCTAAATGTACTTGGCCAAAAACCGAAAATGCTTATTACAAATTATCCATTTCTTATTTTAAATGAGCTTTTTGTATAATTGTATTTAATATTATACTTTAATGAAATTCCATAATGATACTGAATAAAAATATATATACAAGCCAATAAAATAAAACAACCAATTTTTTATTGAAAGTAACACACTAAAATTGGATAGAAAATATATATTAATAATTAAAATCAATATGTTATTCGTTATTCAGTTCTATGAAAGAGAATCAGATTCAACAGATTTATTTTTTGAACAATTATCTAAATAATGTAGCCTATAGTGCTATGCTGTGTGATCTCATATGAGTGAAAGGTTGCCCCGCCCTCACGCCAGTAAACACGTAATCAATGAAGAGAAGAGATGTCACTGCAAGTGGGAGGGGACGTTATTTTTATTTAAGGATTACGATGGCATATTAATAAAAAAAATAATAATAATGATGTGCACAGATAAATCATTTTCATTTATAATAAATACTGCAACATTCCATTACAAAACAAGAATTGTCGATTTAATGGTTACCTGTTGCTGTTGAGTAAATCTACAGCACTGAGAATTCTACAAAGTACCCTAATGTTACAAAAGTAACATTCAGTCGTGTTTATTTACATTACATTTTGGCCAAATCATCTAGTAGGAAAAAAGTATCGTTAAGGTCAACATGGTAAAGTGTATCAATACTGCGTTCTCAAAGCACTCATTTAAAGCTGCAGTATTTTCAGGGGTGGCGCAACGCAATGAAAAACAGTGCGGGGATGTAAACAACAATTGCATAAACCAAACCAACGTCCATTTAAAGTGATAAGACCTGTAGGTCAATTTCACCTAACACGTTTTCAGTGAATTACAATATCTATTGGATAAATCCAGCGCATGGCGTTCTGTTCTTGCACTGAAAGCACACGAAAGTCATAACATTAGCAAAACAACAGACACAGCGACGCACGGTTACACAAGCCAAGGTTTTAACAGTTGACAAGACAACGCGTTTAATAAGCTTGTAACTTAAAGTAGGCTACGGTTACCTAATCGAACCTACTTCTTAATTTAAACCGCGAACGAATGCCGAACAGACTCGAGTGCTGCTGAGGCATGAGCGAATTCCCATCAGAGAGAGTGGTTGTGGATCAAAACCTAGTGAGCTGCCTAACTAGACAGCATTCTAGGGGGCGTAGACACAGGACGGGGTCTCGAGGCGCCTTTTACAATTTATACTTTTAAAAGAATAAATCAATATTCTGTCATCCTTTACTCCGCCTCGTGTTGTTCCAAACTGAATGACTGTCATTCTTCTGTGGAAAATGAGATGTTATGCAGAACGAGAGTGAGAGTCCCATTCACTTTCATTTTGTGGAAAAAAGACGGGTGAATAGAGGAGGTTGTCATTCTGCATAACATTTGATTTTGTGTTCCACAAAGCAAGTCACACGGGTTCGGAACAAGACGAGGCGGAGTAAATGATGACAGATCTCTCATTTTGTGCGCGTACCATTAACACACTGCTTTAAAAACGCAACGTTCATGGCGCGGCGCGGCGCGGCGCGGCGCGTTCGAATAGCCCCTCAAAAAGCTGTCTGGGTAAACAGCTCAAGGTTTTGGTACACAGACAGTGCGTTTGCATACTACATGGGTGCCCTTCCCGGACCCCCCTTCTCAATGAAGCCAGCTCAGCTCTATTTACCAGAAGTCCTTTGTTGCAGAAAAGGGATTATCCAGTCACTAATTCCGTGTCACACTGCAACAAAGTCAGACAACAATGTAAATATGAAGCATGCTTGAGCAGCAAAATAATAAAAGTGGTAAATGACAAGCCCCTGTCCTGTCTGTTAGTTGTCAACTCTGGTGAATGTAATTTGTGAGTTAGTTTTTGCTTTCAGTATTACAAGAGCCACGCGTTAGCGCACGCTCGGATGCGAATAATATTTTGCAACAACTTGCTAAGGATTGTCAATTGCATGGTTTCGATTTGCTAAACATGTACGTCTTAAGCATTAAATAACACATTTTAAAAAATAATCCTTACCATAGTTATTTTCTGCGCTTCATGTCGCCCTAAGTAAGAACAAATGCAAGCCAAGGTCCAATGCAACAGTACAGAAATGACTGCATGCTTATCCACGATTGAGTCATGCAATGCTGACCTCACTCCAGTAATATTCAAGTCAAGAGGTAGATCCTTGTGCAAATGAAACCACCGAGAAATGGAGGGCTTCTTTGACAAAATGGCGTGGCGTTTTCCAAAACAATTGCACTCGATTTCGTTATGATTGCACGCACATGCGAATCAAATCGCCCAAAAACAATCTAGTTCACTCGTCCACGGAGTATGGAACAACACATTCTCTTTCAGATGAAGTCTTGTGATCCCTTACTGTCCTGTTGGCCACACCCACTTCCGTTACCATATAAGGTATTTCCCCTTCCATGCGGGGCGCTGTAAGTTACAGCAAATGCACAGGCCATGCGGGAAATTCCGTCACTGGGAAACGTTCTTCAAAACATGGCTTGTACTAAACATCCCCATCCATACCTGAATCGAGTCAATGATTTACGATGTGGTCAATGAGCAAAAGACAAGACACACTTGGTTGAAACTAGTGGAAAACCAGCAAATGAGAGAAATTTAAGATGGTTTTAATAACAAACAAACTGGTTGTTTGGATTGGGGTGACCAGGGAGTGTGTTGCAACACAAGACAACCGTTTAACCAATAAGAAATAAGATACATGGGAAATCACCCATGACCACCACCACCCCCCTGAGGTGAATATACTGTAACAGGATTTAGGACAGAAAAAAATACTATAATTATTAATTAATTATAATTATTATAAAAAAAATACAGAAAAAAAAATGTAATATTGTGAAATATTATTACAATTTAAAATAATGGGTTTCTTTAATATACATTAAAATATTATTTATTTCTGTGATGCAAAGCTGAATTTTCATCAGCTATTACTCCAGTCTTAAGTGTCACATGATCCTTCAGAAATCATGGTTCTGTATTTTTGATCAAATAAATGCAGGCTTGATGATCATAAGAGACTTCTATCAAATAAATTAGAAATAGTAATGTTTCCAAACTTCTGACCGGTACTATATATATATATATATATATATATATAAACATGTGCACCTCCACCCTGGTTACAACTATGGCAATCACTGTTGCATGTTGTTACAGCACTTTTTACACAGGGGATAAATTGTGGATCTGTGAATATTTTTATATCACAATCTAAGAAACTTTAGAAAGAAAAAAGCACTGAGTTACAGTTACATTTCCCTACTGAATGTAACTTACACCAACAGAATTCGCACAGACAATCCATTATCACTGATTCGATTGTTATCAATATAAAAGGGGAACATTGTGAACATGATTATGTTGGAGCAAGCAGAGTGTCAAGGCAAGACAGACAGCCTTTTACAGTGGTTGTGAAAGTTCTGAATCTGGATTCTGTAACGCCAATCCCGCCTATGACTCGAAGCATTTCTGCATTCGTGCAGAGGTTCAGCAGCACGGACATGATCAAGCATGTGCTGCCGTGAGTAAGGAGACACCCATAGGCCTCATCGTGTCAGTGTTTGTGGTCTCGGTCTCCCTCTCTCTCTCGGTCTCCCTCTCTCTCGGCCCCTCTCTCGCTCTCTCTCTCTCGGTCTCCCTCTCTCTCGGCCCCTCTCTCGCTCTCTCTCTCTCGGTCTCCCTCTCTCTCTCGGTCTCCCTCTCTCTCTCGGTCTCTCTCTCTCTCTCTCTCGGTCTCTCTCTCTCTCTCTCTCTCTCTCTCTCTCTCTCTCTCTCTCTCTCTCTCTCTGCTGTGCCTTAAAATAAAGTGCAAAGCCATCAGACATGCGGGCCAGCCATTCACCGGGTATGGCATGTGCAAAGTGTACCAGCTTTAATAAAATAAAAAAAATCTGATCGGGTGCGTAAAACATTATTCTCATACATTACTGGATGAAATACAATGCTCAAAATACTTATGCATGCAGACTGCATGCTTACTCGTAAAATGCAGATGGGCGCGTGACTGCGTCCTATTTAATAGCTACAATGCATGCATGATTGATTCCAAGATCTCAAACTGCAAGTACATAAACAATTACATTTTGTCCTAGGTGAAAACGACTGCACTCAGTCAGTAAACGTTGCGATGGCTCTTAGGGGGGAGGCTGACACAAGTTTACATGACACAGTTGTTGCAACACCACCAAATGTTGCACAACAGTAACATGATCCATCATAATGCAGGACAGGTACATATCTGATATACGCACTGTTGACACCATCACCGATTTAAAGGAAACGCATGCATTTTAGATAAACAAATCGTTAGACATTTGTTCCAACAACACTGTTCTAACGATAATCACTTTCTGTTGCCGCTCATATGTGTAGTTGCAATGCTTGCTGCTCTCGTGCAAAAAAGGTGTTTTTATGAAACAGTTCGCCACTCGTAACAATGACTAAAAGCGCATCTAATTGTTTCTGTCAAAAGTATGGAACCACCCAATCGAATTCATGCTCCCGAGCAAGGTCTTCTTTCGACGTCCTGCAGAAACTCATCAAATAAACGTTTTACGAGAGGAAATACATGCGAACTGAATCTAGTTGGAATGACTTATTGAGCATTACATTACCTGTAAAAACATCTGCGACGTTTCTCCAGCGATCCAGATCTTTTTCGTGTTGCTTTCAAGAAAAAAAGGGGAAAAAAAAACTTTAAGCCTTGACTGTAGCGTCACTTCCTCGTTTGTAACAAGAGCGCCACCCGCTGCAAATTGCACAGTGATGTCATTTTTCTCTTGCACCTTCTACAGAAAACACCTTTAGTAAAATTGTGGCATATTTACGATCACATATGATTGTATGATATGATTGAATCAATGTAAACTCCTAATCCGTCATGTTTACTTTAAAACAATTACTGTAAGAAAATAGTCCTTAAACGACCCCATAAGGAATCGAATGTTAAAGATTTGCACTAGTGCTCTAAGTAAACACCCTATGGTAAACACCCGCGATGTCCGAATTGTAAACGAATCATTCTTTTGAGTCGGATCGTTTTTGATTCTGTTGAACCTGCAGAACCGTCTGAACGATTCGTTTACGAATCGGACTGAATCGGTCCAAGTGGTTCTCGACTCTGACTCGTTGAACTCAGAGACAAGTAGACCTACCGGTAAGCTGCTAATAATATAAAACGTTTGAGTCAAAACATAGCTGTATTTTAGTATTGTTTAATGTAAATTCAAGTTGGGTTGTAAATTACTTTATGTTTTTGTCAAAGCTGCAACAAACTAACATGAACACAGTGTTCACAGACAAGGCTTAGCTAGTCCCAGACTAAAATGCATGTTTGAGCTGTTTTAACTGAAAGCTATCTTAAAAAAAATATCTTAAAATATGTCAGCGCCATATTTGTCTCACGATACACACACCAGTAATGTTTTTAAGGCACGTTTAAAAAAATAGTCCTAATTGAACTAAGGCCTAATCCTGGTTTAGTGTAAACCCTATCTGTGAAACCAGGCCATAAAGTCACAAAAAGAACCGGTTCTTTGAAACGAACTGTTTGAAAGAACCGATTCGCGAGTCTGATTTCCCATCATTACAGCACATGCGACCAGTCCTTTAACTATCTTGCAGCCAATCAGACGAGCGCCTGGGCATCATGTGATTATTTCAGGAAGAAAACCAGTCGCTGCGAGCAAGAATTTTAAGTGGCATTATAAGTTCTGACTATAGGAAAGCCTTAAAAAACGTTGGGTAATAAAATAAAAAAGAAGGAAAATGTTAAATATAAAAAGAGTTGTGTTGGGTTCTCGACCAGGTAAACCATGTTGATGATTTGCTTAGTTTACACAAAATTAACAATAACATGTAGTCCACTAATCATGATGTAACTGTGCTGCAAGGGTTCCAGTTCATTGGTTTTCCTTGTATGATCAGGAAAACATGGTCATCCGGTTCCAGGGAATTTTCGTGTTGAAGAGATTGTGAAATCCACCGAGTTGAAAGAAGGGCAAGTGTTAGTTCGGACATTCTTTCTCTCAGTTGACCCTTACATGGTGAGATGACCTTCCTTCCTTCATTCATTCTTTTTTCTTCTTCTTATCTTTTATGTGGTTTGAGTTTTCATGAAGTAGCCCTACCACTTTATTCCATTCTCTGTTAATTCTATTGCATATGTATATAGCACACCTGTACATACAAATGTTTCTATTTTGTTTATATATTATATACTATATATCACTACAAATATCAAACTGAAATAATTAATTATCAAGCATTAACTTATTCACTAATTTATGAAACAATACAATACCAAACTCAATTCAGCGCTGTCGCATGAACAATGATACTGGAGCGGACTACCTGTTGCCATGGAGATTAGATGAGTGTGTGGATGGAGGTGGAGTTGGTGTAGTCGAGGCCAGCAAGAACAAGGCATTATCTGTGGGCAATATCGTCACCTCCTTCAACTGGCATTGGCAAACCTACGATGTGATGGATGGCAGCCTTTTACAAAAGGTGTAATGTTTATTTGAGCAAGTTTGATCTAATAGACCTCTGATGTAAATGGATATGAGGCTTTATAATGTGTGGTGTACTCGTTCTTGCAGGTTGACCCAGAGATGGTAGATGGACACCTGTCATATGTCCTAGGAGCGGTAGGCATGCCTGGCCTCACTGCTCTGTTAGGTGTGAGAGAGAAGGGTCATGTGACTGCAGGAACTCACCAGACAATGGTCATCAGTGGAGCAGCTGGAGCTTGTGGGTCAGTTGCTGGACAGGTAATGTGTGACTGACTGTATATACGAAACTGGCCTGTTCTCAACTAAAAGATAGAGATTTAGTTATAAAAACTTAATTCATAATAATCCTATTTCATACTATTTAGTGGTGCTTGCTAAGGCAGACTGGCCAGTGACGCTCATTTTTTGTTTGGAGCTCTTCATTTATAAAAAACTAAATGTGTATATGCAGGTGAAACTCGAAAAATTAGAATATTTTGCTGATTGCATACATGCCACGCCGCATTAAGGCAGTAATTCATGCAAAACGGGCCCAAACCAAGTACTGAGTGAGTACATATGCATGATTATTCTTTTCAGAGGCCCGACATTTCTGTATTTGAAGTCCTTTTTTTATTGATTTCATGTAATATTCTAATTTTGGATATGGGGTTTTCATAAGCTGTAAGCCATAATCATCAAAATTATAACAAATAAAGGCTTGAAATATCTCACTTTGCATGTAATGAGTCTACTAATATATTAGTTTCACCTTTTAAGTTGAATTACTGAAATAAATTAACTTTTGCACAATATTCAAATTTTTCGAGTTTCACCTGTGTATATATATACGTATATATATATATATATATATATATATATATAAAAAGGTATACACGGGTCTAAGGGTACGTTTACACAACAACAATGTACTTTTTTCCTTTGCATGTCGTTTTGCATACAGACGTTGTCAAAACGATCCCGTTCACAAGGATCCGTGAAACGAATAAAAACAGTGTAAAAGCACTATATAAAAGAAGATGACTTGACTTGTATTCTGCTGCCAGGCCAGTAGTCAGCGATGTCACTTTGTAAAGTAACACATACGCGCCTAAAGACTGAACACGTAATACGTCACCGTTTTCACAAATTCGTGTTTTGTTGGTGTACACGAGGGACGATAAGGTATCGTTTTTAAAAACGTGCACTTTGAAACCCCTTTTCAAAAGTTTGCATTTTCAGGCCCCCAAATCACCGTCAATGCATAAAGAGTTTTCCGTATTTAGTTTGCACATCATTTGGTATCATATAGAGTTCTAGAAGTCACACTATGTGCTTCATGCATAATACATTCTTAACTTAAATCATTTTTGCTCTGTCCTTGCCATGTTATTTTAATTCTCCCCTCTGTTGTTTAAGATTGCCAAATTGGATGGTTGTGAGAGAGTCGTGGGCATTTGCGGTTCCGACCAGAAATGCCAAACCTTGGTAACAAAGCTGGGCTTTACAGCAGGGATAAACTACAGAAATGGAGATATCAGCTCAGCGCTGAGAGAGCAGTGCCCCAGAGGCATTGATATATACTTTGACAATGTAGGCGGTCCCATCAGTGATGCTGTTATATCACAGGTACAGTCCTCACTGTATGTGCTGCCTTCAAAAAAAAAAAAACAGGTTTTTTTTGGTCAATTTCGGAGAGTCGTTTTTGTGTTAAAGTGCAATACTCATGCTGTGTAGATGAATCCCGGTGGTCATGTGATCCTGTGCGGCCAAATCTCACAGTACAATAAGGATGTACCTTACCCACCTCCTCTAAGTGAGCATACCCAAGATGCTTTGCGTCGCAACAACATTACAAGGTATTAGAGAGAAATTAGTAGGACCTAGTTTGTTGGCTAATACATTTGTATGTTTGTGGCTTTCTTTATATAATTTGATGTATGAATTTCTGTTGTGCTGTCAATCTATTACAAAAAAAAACAAATTTTTCTGTAATTAATTGTGATTTATCCATTTTTTTTCTCAATTTCTGGGAATGAAATGAGTAATTCTAGGCATTCATCATTACAGTATAATTGAAAGATTATCCTTTTTTTAATTTAATTTTTTACCTTTTTGACCCAGATAACATTGCATTTTTATAAATAATAATAATGAGACCAACCCTTTACATACCAGTGAAATAATTCTCAGTTACAATTTTCAATTTCACAACAAAAACTATTAGCCTAACTAATATATAAAGTTCAAACATCAGACAAGTAAACAGTCTATAATAAAATAAGAACAAATAAACACATTACAAGTGATGGCACACATTAATACAATATAATAAAGATACAAATGAAATAAACACTGCTTTAAGATTGTCTGGTAGGTCTAACGGTAATATTCAGGTAAGAAATAGTGCAGAAAATGGATAAAGTAATCAAATGTAAAATAACACTGCACAGTCTTCACTGTATTGAATATACACTATTTCTACAAAAGTTATCCAATCAAGAGCAGTGAGTGATTTTCTCTTGTTCTTTTGAAATGACTGTTTTATTTTTGACAGTTATATCATTTTTATATTCCCAACTTGTACCCACTATATGTTCACAGGGAGAGATTTGTTGTATTGAACTACTTGGAGAAACATGAAGAAGGTCTTATGCAGCTCAGTCACTGGGTAAAGATGGGCCAGATAAAGGTAAGTCTACCACAGTCATGTTTCCTCACATGGAAAACATAACAAACCTTTGGTACACTATATTCCTCCTTTTCATTTTACAGGTGTTGGAAACTGTTGTAACTGGTATAGAAAACATGGGAGGTGAGAGTGTGTTATTGTCATTAATTTCTCATGTGTTGAAGTTGAAGTGTACTCTGCATACATATTGTATGAACCGTCCTTGTTTATTATATTAATACTATACTTGCATATTTCAGAAGCGTTCTGCTCCATGATGACCGGAGGCAACGTAGGTAAACAAGTTGTCAAAATTTCAGACTGACTCAAACATCTGCATCTGGAGGCCTTGTGGGAGTTTTGCGGTGTTATTATGAATCTGGGCTGGTAACTCAAAGGTTACTAAGAAGCACTCTATTGAAAAGACATTTGATGTTGCTTCAGTGGGGCTGTCCCTTTAAGTGTGCTGGAAGTCACTATAGATAAAGGCATCAGATAAATGACAAGTTTAAAATCAAATTAATTTCAATTAAAATTGGCCTTGTGCTAAATGTCCATTTTAAACTAATTTTAATGTCGGTTTTCAGTAACATATCAAAAGTTTGATTAAAAGACTGCTTGAGGTTTGCCACTGAAAATGTATATAATTTGTTCATAAAAATAATGTAACGGAATGTCTCAGTCAGTCTCACCAAGGCTGCATTTATTTGATCAAAAATACAGTAAAAACAGCAATATTGTGAAATATTATTACAATTTAAAGTAACCATTTTCTGTTTTTATATATTTTAAAATGTAATATATTTATGTGATGACAAAGCTGAATTTTCAGCATCATTACTCCAGTCTTCAGAAAGTTTTGGTGCTCAAGAAATATTTATTATTTTTAATGTGGAAAACAGTGCTGCTTAATATAATGTGGAAACTGTGATACAATTTTTTCAGGATTTGTTTTGGATGACTGTTTACTGTTACTTTTGATCAATTTAATGCATCCTTGCTGAGTAAAAGTATTAATTTCTTTTTTTAAATTCTTACTGACCACAAACGTTTTAACAATTTATGTGCCAGATATCAAGATGGTGGAGAGTTTGAAAATGGTTCTATTTGATTAGCTTTATCTCTTACAAGTACATTAATTTTATTAAATATATATATTTTTAAGACTCTTTGATACCTTTACACGAAAAAGACGCCAGAAAATATGAAAATCACAATATGAAACCCCTTTACTTTGTTGTACAGTACATGAATACATCCAGATAAATCAATTCCAATGCAAGATGATTCCAAGGTGCAGAAATGTGACATAAATTGAGGTCATTTTCATGTGGAAAAGCAACCATGTCAGCTGTAAAACTGAATAAAGAGTCTATTTATTTGGACATGTTTTGCGGTGACCAATTTTTAAAAGTAAATTCTGAATAATAAGTAAATATGTATTAATCTTTCACTGAAAATATATATATTTTTTTGTATATTTGCGAACAGCACTTTCCAACATCAGTGAAACTACAAAAATCACATGATCACAGAAACAGAGAATGCCCATAAAAACAGTGCAGAACAACTGGAAGAAATATACATTACAATATCAATGTGGATGCATACATTAAAATAAGTTCAATACAGTAATTAAAACCAAATCACATATAAGCAGATATTTCATCATCAGACATTCAAAGTCCAATTGGTTCACCACAAATCTAGCTTTACATATACTGAGTAAATGTGGAATCTTCAAAAAATGTTAATTCTCACAATAATGTGCCTTAAAACTGCAACAAAACTCTTTCAAAATAACATTCAGGTCATTGAAAGACAAACTAGAGCAGCCTATTGTTCAAGTCTTTACTTTCCTGAGAGAGAACAGAGACCTTGAGTGACCTGACAAAACAGTGAATCCACCAGAAACTCTTGTCACAGCTCTTTCTGTCACCTGTCAAGTGGATTATGGGGGCAAAATACCTCAATGACAACACAAAAATGGCCATTGTCCTTAGGTCGTTTGTGTGGTTTGCAACTGTGCAAAACCAACTATAAAAGAGCTGCTCAACAACATTTCTCTAATAAACACGTAACAGAATTGTGCACATTTGATTGTTTCCATGTGTTCAGTGTTTTATTCTATACGCTACATTGGCACGTGCCCTTTGGCAGGCCAAAATGTCTGGCATGTGTTTAGATGTGTATTATTAAGTGGCCCTTAATGTATTAATTATTAACTGTGACTACGAACCATTGTGCGTTGTATGAAAATGTTCTACATTCATGCTCATCTATAGTGGTTTCTTCCTTTTGAGAGAACAGGCTTTTTTGGAATATGCATTGAATGTTTAATAGGTTTGAGTAAATTGTAGATAAAAATCGAGATCTTCCACTGCAGATGGTGGATTATATTTTGGCAGTGAAGAGGCTTACTTTGAGTTACATACCAAAACTTATTACACGGCTCAGAAATTTCAATTCTGTCATCAATTCCTCACCCTCATGTCGCTCCAAACCCACAAGACTTTTGTTTATCATTGAAACACAAAAGAAGATATTTGTAATGATTACTGAAAGATTTCTGTCCCTCCATTCAAAGGCCATTCCACGAAAACCTTCATGCTCTAAAAGGTACAAAAAGGACATTTTACAAGAAATCCATATGAATCACCATCCCTTGATGTGAACAGATGTCATTTAGGCTTGTATTCACATATAAACATTGATCAACGTACATCAAATATGGACAACGGAAGCTCAAACTGAGAACCAATGAGGTTTGCTCTTGTACGTTTAGTATTGTTGAGCTTCTGTAAAAACATCATCTTTTGTGTTTCGAAGATAAACAAAGGTCTTACAGGTTTGGAACAATATAAGGGGGAGTAATTGATAGAAATTTCATTTTTGGGTGAACTAACCCTATAATTCTGACACCTTCTGGTCAATGTTGGCATTCTATGTCAAATATTTTTGTATAATGACCACTAAACTATACAATTTAGCATTAGTCCATGCAATTTCATGTCCCTCATGTGACGGTACAGTTTATCCTAGCATTAAAATAAGTGGGTATTTTGGTAAGTAGCCATGTAATAAGTGGGGATAATGCTGGTCATTATAGTTCTGATTGGCTGAACAGTGTCCCATTATGCTCACATACACAGTTCCGATCTGTTTGTTGCTTGGCGACATGCAAACCTTGACGCTTCGTCTTCTTTTGAAATTAATTTCATTGGTGGAGTGGTGTGTGATTCTGTCTGAAACAATTTGCGATAATGGCCAGCTTCGTCATATAAATTAACCATTAAATATTGTGTACAGGTGTAAGAAAATTGAGAAAGAGATATCTTCCCCTCTTTAGTGTGATATATGCTTTAAAAACATTTGAGAAGATCCATATTAAATGACCTCTCTGTGTACTGGCAGTTTCGTGCAGAATCATTAAGAATATCAGGCAGTCTTATTCCTTTCTTGATTGCTCCTCACACATAAAAACAAACATAATTTGACAAGAACATAATGTGCAGATTATCAAAGTAATAGGTATGCTTAACCACACACATCTGTTAGGACTTCAACACTGCTTGGGTTCACAATGGAGGGAACTGGCTATGAAGACTACCACAGTGTCCGAGTGTCAAAGGTTTTAAACGGCTCCATCATCCACGTGTGATGATGACGATATCATCGCTCCATACAACGGATTTGTATATTAACTAAAGGTTTTTTTTTTTCCTATTCTAACATGTAATGGGAATGATTGGCAATTTGATGACCGTAAAGACAGCGGTGAACGGAGGGAAGAGCTTGGCACAAAACAATGTCTGTCATAATGATACAGGTGAAGGCCCCTCTGCAACTGTCAGCGTCACAATGGCCGGTTGGTCTTGCTGCCATCGGAGAAACGAGGAGGAGTTCCCCACCATGCTCTGTACACCAACAGCAGGCCCATGAGAAAGGCCCAGGTACGCACGGGAGACAGGAAGAAGGCCAGTGGCCCGTAGGTCTCCAGCAGGAAGTAGCAAGAATAGGCTTGCCAGATCATGAGGACCAGCATGCCGAAGTGCATGGCCAGAGTCCTCCAGCGGCAGCCCGGCCGGCAGATTTGTGAGCGGAAGTTGGTGCCACGACACCTGTGGTGAAGACTCCAGCAGAGGTAATAAGTGAGAGGCATATTGAAGAAAAGCACCTGTGGATGACAGACAGCATGTTATGACTCACCCGTTATAGTTAGGGTTGGGAATTGTAAGAAAGTTTCTGGTTGAAGTTAGGAAAACGAACGTTTTTCTCATGCTGAAAGTTAAAGGGTTAGTCTACCCAAAAGTTTTTATTCTGTCATTATTTACTCGCCCTCATGGTGTTCCAAACCTGTAAGACTTTCATTCATCAGTCCCTCCAGGATTTCACGATTTTTTTTATGTGATTTTTGCGATCAAAATGACTGATTTTGTGGTGGTAATTTCCAGAAATTTGTGAAAAAAATTGCGATTTTTATATTTTATAATTAGGACATCACATTTACCATAATAGTATTATGTCAGATGCACAATAGGCACAAATGACACAAATCACAAACAAAATGCATAAAGCTTGTTTATTTGGTCTAATCAAATTCTTTTTTTTAAATTGTGCTATTGTGTAGCCTATTGTTGTTGCTTGATTAACATTAACAACAGCAGGTAAATTAGGTTACTGTCACTTTAAGACCTACTACAGTAATGACAAACGTCCCAATCAGTTATTACTGATTGTTTTACGTAAATACTTGCCAAGATTAATATTTTGAAGTAATTGTAGCTATGTGTATTTGTTCAAGCGCTATAAAGAGAATTCAATATTCTAACTAGGCCGACAGGCGGTGACACGCAGTCAGTCTGGTCAGTCAGTCACACACACACACACACACACACACACACACACACACACACACACACACACACACACACTCTTGCAGTCAGAGACAGACTGTCACTCGACTGGCTGAAATTAGTTCTCTTTCACGGTATACTGCGCTTTTAATTATTCTTTTTAGTACGAGCATATCATACTTTTTGTCATGTCATTCAATCATGTTAAACGCGTTGATAAGTTTGCCGTACTGCCCAATGAAAACCTGGGCGCTTATGTGAGAGGGCAGGAGAGACGCTTTTTCTTTCGCCATGTTTCTGACAGACCGCTCACAGACATCACGCGTGCGCAACATCTATTCTGTACCCACGTAAAAATGCATTCAAACTTTAACTAGAGATATTTCAATTGGGTGAATATAATTTAATGTTTTGTGAGGACTTTTTTTTAATTTTTGTGATTATTTTGCGGTTAAATTAGGAATTATGCAGGATCGCAAAAAAATGCGACATTTTGTTGATTTTGCGTTGTATTCAGCGATCGCAGAATCGCGAAAAACTAGAGGGACTGATTCATCTTTAAAACACAAATGAAAATCTTTTTGATGAAATCTGAGAGCTTTCTGTCCCTCCATTGACAGCTACGCAACTAACCACTTTGACTCTTCAAAAAGTTCATAAAGAGATCGTAAAATTAATTCATATGAATTAAGCGGTTTAGTCCAAATTTTCTGAAGAGACACGATCGCTGTATATGATGAACATTAAATTTAGGCTTTTATTCACATATAAACATTCATCAACTCACACATCAGTTGTGGTAAACAGAAGCTCAAGCATGTTCGCTTGATGTGCGAGAACCAATGAGGTTCATTCTCGTGTTACACAGCACGTTTGAGCTTCTGCAAGAACCAATGAGGTTCATTCTCGTGTTACGCAGCACGTTTGAGCTTCTGCAAGAACCAATGAGGTTCATTCTCGTGTTACGCAGCACGTTTGAGCTTCTGCAAGAACCAATGAGGTTCATTCTCGTGTTACGCAGCACGTTTGAGCTTCTGCAAGAACCAATGAGGTTCATTCTCGTGTTACGCAGCACGTTTGAGCTTCTGCAAGAACCAATGAGGTTCATTCTTGTTACGCTGCACGTTTGAGCTTCAGCAAGAACCAATGAGGTTCATTCTCGTGTTACGCAGCACGTTTGAGCTTCTGCAAGAACCAATGAGGTTCATTCTCGTGTTACGCAGCACGTTTGAGCTTCTGCAAGAACCAATGAGGTTCATTCTCGTGTTACGCAGCACGTTTGAGCTTCAGCATGAGGTTTGTTCTCACACGTCAAGCTCGCTTGAGCTTGTTTATGTTCTCTGATCAATTTTTATATGGGAATAAAAGCCTAAATCAAATCTGTTCATCATATAAAGTGATCTTGTCTCTTTAAAATATTATTTTTATGATCTCTTTATGAGCTTTTTGAAGCGTCAAAGTGGTAGTTGCGTAGCTTTCAATGAAGGGACAGAAAGCTCTCAGATTTCATCAAAAAGATCTTCATTTGTGTTCTGAAGATGAACAAAAATCTTACGGGTTCAGAACGACATGAGAGTAATTAATGACTTAATTTTCATTTTTTGGTGAACTAACCCTTTAAGCATATGTATGTGTGTGGAAATATATATTGTGTTAAAAAATAAAGGTTTTATTTGAGGTCTATTAGATGAGGCATTACATCTAGGAACATTCTCTTGCCGTTTACTGTCATTGTCAGGGACTATTTTTCGGGTTGAAGGATGGAATTTAATGATTTTGCTTCAAAAAGAGCAACATATTAATACATATATTTTCAGCTTCCATATTTGTATTTTGTGGTAATCTTTTTTTAAAAGCAATAAGGTACTTTGCGTTGTGCCTAACAATGCCCTTCAGCTGTGATTGTATTCACAATACAGCATGGCCTCTCATTCATTTTATCAAATAAAATGGTGAAAAGCTAGTTAAGTTTATGTTAATGTAAACATGTCCTCGTATAGTGAGACAGCAGACACTGAAAACACAACAAACTTGAGTATGTATAGTAGATGAAACTGTGCTGTTCATTCTCACAGAGACACGTAGAAAATGCAGGCATCACATTGAAGTAGCAGTCTTTTAGTATTTTTTTTTCCATATATTAATTATATAGGACATTCAGCATTATACAGTCAATTCTATTTCTAATTTTGTACGGTTCCGGTTATTTCAGAAAAGAACAGGTTCTTGGTTCCTAACCCTAAATCCTGAATTACCTGCATGACTCCCACGACATATGACAGACTGCCTTGAAGGAAATGCCCATCCACAAACACACCAAAAGAAAAGCAGGCTCCATTGTGTCCATCTATGACTTCCCCAATGAACCATGGACCTGAAAAACCAGCAGACAAAGCACAACGTTCCTTCTTCACAGTAATTGCAAGGACATGTTGCAACTGAGTTCATCCTGACACGTCTTCATTGAACTCTTTAGCAAACCAAGTAGGGCTACATAATTATATTTAGCATGATTATTCATTTCAGGTCACTTCCTTTAAAGTGTGAGGTTTCTTCAGAATTCACAACAAAAGTGACACCTGAAAAACCCATCTGTGGATCTGACTGCTCAAAAGAATAGTCTGCCCCAAAATGTAAATTCTGTCTTCATTTACTCACCCTCATATCTTTTAAACCCTTTATGACCTATTGTCCTCTGTGGAACAAGATATTTTGAAGAAAAACACATTTGTGTTTTTTTTTTTGTCAATGGGGCTTGAAGGTTTTTTGGACCCCACTGACTTTCATTGTATAGGCAAAAAACAAACACTTTTGTTTTTATAAAAACAATATCTAATGTTGTGTTCCAAAGATGAAATACTCATACAAATTTAGAATAACACAAGGATGAGTAAATTATGACAGAAGTTTCATTTTTGATTTGTGAACTTTTTAAAAAATTACACCCGTTATGTTTTGGGTCAAAAATGACCAGTCTAGATTTCAATTTAACTTATCTAATTTAAATGTACAGTTCTATTGATTTTGTAAGCCCTCATTTTAAACAATGGTTACAGGAATTGTCCATTTCTGATCCAAAATAGATCCAAATAGTCCATTTTCTGTGTAACCTGGTTTAACATCCATCACATGTCATGATGGTATTATTGTACCAATGTTTTGACATGTATGTATATATTTTCTTTACTTTTCTTTAGTGTTGATTTTTTTCAAAAAACAAAATGTATATATAAATATTTTGTTGAAACAGGAGTTGACATGAATGGAATGCTGTAATTGCCACTTGCACAATTTTATTAGATTTCTATTTTTAGTTCATTAATTTATTTATGCAGGTCAAGGGTTAGTTAAAGGCATTTATGAAATTAAGAGAGGCAGTTATCTATAACATAACAATTATGCCATTATTTATAATTCATTCTCTCTTCTGAATGGTTGAATGAAAAAAATACTTCTCTCTTTCTGTGTAATAATGATTCTACACTGGTAGTTTAAATCATTATGTTCCATCAATGTGCAAAACTGTAAAAGTGGTGCCACGCAATGACTTACCTAATGCTGTACACAGGTTGAAGAGCAGCAGAGAGTAGTAGAACACGTTGCTCTTACTGACAAGATGCAGGGAGATCCACGCTTGAGAAGACAGCCCTGATAAATTAGAAGAGTTTATAGTGTGAAATGTCAATTATGCTTTGGCACTATGAAGACAGGACAGAAGATTTGTTATACGTTAAAGCAACCGAAATACCTCTTGTTGAAGATACAGGCATAAATCTGAAGAGTACAAGTCCACCAAGGTTTAGTAATATTATTGCCACAAAGGCAATCCGTGCCTGTGAGAACACAGAGATACATTTAATATTCATTAACAGTAACTTTTATTGTTGTACTCTTGTCCCAGATCCAGACTTTCTAACATAAACTATGAAAATCCATCATACAAATGTGAATTATGATATGTTTAAAGCTTTGATCAAAAAAAAAAAAAAAAAAAAAGCCTAGTGAAATAAAGTGAAATAAACACTCATTTGTCTATGGTGTGATTAATTTTTCAGCACCACACCATGACTTTGTTGCAGTTTCCTACCAGTATGTAGTGGTCTGTGAGGAGGATGAAGGACTGCATGAAGCCAAAGCTGGGGGTGAGGTCCTCCTCCAGGGTGAAGTGCTGCTCTCGCACTTTTGAGCGATCTGCCGAGTCCTGGAACAGGGAGACAGAGAAGAGGTGAGAAAAGCTCACACTGGGCCATTCTCTTAAAATACCAGCAGTTCCACATTTAACCCTTTCACACGTAAGTTTTAAACATTCTAGCTGACCCCCCCAGCGTCAGTTTTTTAAGGCAGCCATTATTTTAGAACGTATCAGCTTATTATAATTATAAACCTTTATTTGCGGTTGCTAGGGTGTTCTTGTTGGTTGCCAGGGCGTTGCTATATGGCTGATAAGGTTTTGAATGGTTTAATTGCTAAAGTGTACTGGGTTGTTGCCAGGGCATTGCTATATGGTTGCTTAGGTTCTGAGTGGTTTAAGCATGTTGCTTTAGGTTGCTAGGGTGTTCTTGTTGGTTGCCAGGGCATTTCTATGCGGTTGCTAAGGTTTTAAGTGGTTTAAGCATGTTGCTTTGCAGTTGCTGGGGTGTTCAGGGTTATTGCCAGGGCACTGCTATGTGGTTGCTAAGGTTGGAATGGTTTAAGCATATTGCTTTGCAGTTTCTGGGATATTTTGGGTGGTTGCCACGGCGTTGCTATGCGTTTGCTAGTGGTTTAAGCATGTTGCTTTGCAGTTACTGGGATATTTTGGGTGGTTGCCACGGCGTTGCTATGCGGTTGCTAATGTTTTAAGTGGTTTAAGCATGTTGCTTTGCAGTTGCTGGGGTGTTCAGGGTTGTTGCCAGGGCATTGCTATGTGGATGCTAAGGTCAGAATGGTTTAAGTATATTGCTTTGCATGTTGCTATTCTGTGTTTTCTAAGTGGTTGCTTAAGTCTACCTGTATGATATTCTGTCTTCAGATATTCCTCCCTTACAAAGTCTATGGGAATTTTTGCTCAATTTATCATCAACCAGACAGAATTTGATTGTCCATTTGTTAAGAAAAATAATACCACGCCTTTCCTCAAGTCGCGTGTTGATTACCTAATCATTACCTACCTCCACTTTTACTCTGATAGTGTGCAGTCCCGTAGCGTAGAGTGTTGGATCCCAGAGCAGCACATATAAAGGACCCCCAGCGCTGACCGCTTTTCCCAGTGAAACTCCATCCACACTCACATACACAGCTGTGATCGGAGATTCAGAAAAAGCCAGGACCCTACATAACCCGACACACGGCACATTCAGCAACAATAAGTGCAACTTCAAAATGTGGCATTCTTAGTATGACGGGACAAGACAGTGTGAGGTTTAGATGAGAGACAATAATGCTTCATAAGTTTAGAGCTGCATGATTAACCGTTAAAAGATCGTAATCTCGATTCGAACACCTACGCAATCTCATAATGACAACAATTCGCCTGTGTCTAATAAACCTTTGACCAAATCACACTGGAACATTCAAAAGTAAGTAACTTGAAAGTAACTTGGCGATTCAAATAGCAATAGGCATTATGCCGAGCGTCACGTGACCAAACCGGAAAACGGGTTTCATTGCATCCGCTTGTCAGAGAAAGTGTTAACGGCCGTAAGAACTAACTATGATATCTATGGATTTTTAAGGTAATCAGCTAACCTACTGAGTTCACTTTGTTATTGGTGTTTTATGCTATTTAAATATCTAAACGTTAGTGTGAAGAAGAAAAATTAAAAAACTTTTAAATATCAATCTGCACATGTGAGGGACATTGGTTATGCTCATTTTTGCTTGCTCCTTTTAAGCTATCTTGAGTAAAACCGCAAAAAAATTCATGAAGCACATACAAAAGACCTGAATCGGAAGCGATGTGATCTGTTTTCCGGCTTGGTCACGTGACGCTCGGCATAAAGCCTATTGTATCAATTAAATTGTTACGGCAGTAGGTGGCGACAAGTGACTGTTAAAAAACATATTTGTTATTGAATCATTCATTCACGAGATTAGTTAAAAAAAACAGATTCATCCAGAAATGAAACAAGTGAAGTCTTTAAGAGTGAGCCATTGAATCATTCATTCAAACTTGCGTAGCTGTCTATGGAGGGACAGAAAGCTCTCAGATTTCATCAAAAAGGTCTTCATTTGTATTCTGAAGATGAACGAAAGTCTTACGGGTTTGAAACAACATGAGAGTAATTATTGACAAAATGTAAATTTTTGGGTGAACTAACCCTTTAACACTTAACATTAAACATGGGAGAAATTGTGATTCTCATTTTATCGGGCAGCTCTAATCAACATTTGGTGAAGGTTCTTGAAGGTTCAAGAGGACACACACAGAGACACCTGATGTGCGTGGAACTGCGGATGCGACCCAGAGGCTCCACTCCTGGGTGAAGGTACTGTGCGTCTTTGGGATTGGTGATCAGCACAGCTGGCCAGTCCTCAAACGTCAAATCAGAGAAACTAAGCAGGTCATGGTCGAAAGCCAATATCCTGTACCTGAACCAAGAGAGAACTGCATGTGACTCCTTTTTTTATTTTTATATAAGAGTTAGGGCACAACAAAATAGCTTCCTCATATATCAGCTGTTGTTCTTGTACTTGTTCACACAGTCAGCTATATTTACATCGTGTGGCATTCCCTTGAGTGTGGGCCTCGTTCTTTGTGAACTTACCTGCGGTTCTCCATCCAGTCTCCCAGCTCTAGCTCCATCGTGCCTCCTTGATGTCGACTGTGCAGTACTGGCATGAAGCCTCCTAGTGTGTGTAGGTGCCCACACAAATACGCTACGGCTGTACTGTAAAAAACACAACGGATGAAATTCCAAGGTTTAACAGAATGCGATGTGTTTGCACTGAAATGAATAAGAGTTATAGGCTGAAATTATCCTGCAACCCATTTCCTTGCATTTACTTAAGACAATGTGTACTGTGTACACAATAATGCCTAGCCAAGACTGTGGCTGCTGAAAATTCAGCTTTACCATCACAGGAAAAAATTACATTTAAAGCTGCAGTCCGTAACTTTTGGTGCTCTAGTGGTTAATGAACAGAACTGCATGCGTCTTGCGGAAGAACGGTGTAGCCGGAGCTACTTCTCTCCGTTTATGTCTATGACGAGTCACGCAGGTACTGGGCTTCTCCGCACTGGTACGACCTGGACCAGTCTAAAATAGTCAGAATATAAACACTTATTATAGGTGTACCGTAGTGATTCAGGATAAGACAAAAACACGGTTTGGAAAATGGATTCATGATGTACTCGCTTATTAGATCATTTTTTTGGGGGGGTTGGGGGAGTTACAGACTGCAGCTTTAATATTACAATGTTTACTGTAAACTGTAATCATATTTGACAACCTTATGCTGTTTAGTCAACGCTTTGGCTAAGCAAAAATACCCAAATCATATTTAAGTCATATATATATCAAACATTTTTGCTATTTATAAGCATACTACAACATAAGTATATATGATTTGTGCCAGATATCAGTGGGGGGAAAAAAAATCGAATTGGATGATAGAGTTACTGTGAGATTTCTCCAAACCTCATGAGCTCTCGGATTCCTGGGAAGGGGGAGATGACAGTAGATGTGGTATAATGTCCAAACCAGATGGACTTGTTACTGCTCAAGCTCTCCTCTCTAAATGTCGCCAACATGTCCATCTGAGTCTATGGGGAACATTCATATTTCAGTCCAAAGAGAAAGTTGTCATCACGTTTACATAGAGCTGCACGATTCTGGATAAATCACGATTTTTTTGCCGATTCTGAGTAGACGACTGAACAAAATAATGTAATGTAGTGTCCGACAAAATGTTAATTACTGCAGTCTATTTAAAATGTTTAATTAATATGTATGAATTTTTTTTTTTTTAAACGGTATGAATGATTCAATGACTCACTCATACATTCATTACGCACTCATTTCATTACTGGATAATGATTCAAAAAGTGATGCTCTATTTTGACCACTTGATTCACTTCCATAGACATCATTGTTTATATCAGAACTAAAAACTTTTATCCCAGTAATTCTGTGATAATATGAATATTTGTAACAGAAATAATGATACTGTGTGGTTAAAAAGACTGTTTGTGAAGCGGTTTCATACCAATACTGCTCTCTCTGGCTCAGAGGCAGATATTTGCTGTGATCGTACTTGTCAAATGTTTAATAGACATAGCCGAATCACTGTCATTTAGGAATAAGATTGCGTGGGTGTTTAAATCGGGATCGCAAACTTTTAACGATTAATCGTGCAGCTCTACATTTACATAAGCAAAGCTAAAATGAACATTTCTCCTACTTGATCGATAATCCCAAAGAAGTTATAGGGCCGTTTGGGTCCAGGGGTCAGAGTGGCATCGGCACAAATGAACGAGTAGTTCCCAAAGGGGGTTCTGTGTATGTAGTGGAAGGATCCAACTTTCTGATTGGCAGAGTACTTTCTAAGTATTCAGGAAAGGATATAATAAAACGGTTGATAAGTCAGTGTAAAACTTGTATAACTGGTCTGACTGGAGAAGTCATTTTCACAAGACTATTAGACGTGCATTAAAAAAGTAAAGGATTTTTTATGTCGACTTTAATATCTGAACCTTCGTGTAGCTTTATAGCCATTATGTTCTGCATCTGTCATATTTTGTACAGACCTGTAATAATTGTTCACGCTCTCCAGAGAAATAATATTAAAGGCATCTGAGGAGACAAGAAGAGAATATTAGTCAAGATTTCCTGGAAATGGAAGAAGAGTGGGGACAAAATAACTGATAATGGAGCTCTTATTACATGCCTGGCAGCTTTCGTAATGTAACACCAGTTACAGGACCTTTAGGGAAATGGGATCATGGGAATAGGGGCAAAAATGATATGTGAGCTATGCGAGTTCATTAGAGATGTTCATTAGCCTCCACTAAAGCTGATGCCATTTTTGTACCTTAATATTTATATACTTATACTAGATGAAACATTAACTGTATATTAAACATGTATTTTGATTGGCTGTGATTCTGCTGTGCTGCATAGCATTTTCTGTTTTAGTATTGACTTGTCTTTGCAAACTTAACGTGTCACATCTGGTTGGTTGTAAAAAGAGGATATATGTCAGTAGAACTATGGCGAAATATAATTCTTACAGTATAATGACTTAAATTTCTGTCTGTTGCTCACGCAAAGTAATCAAATGGCTTCTGAAGTTTTGGAATGCAGTGTATGAGTATTTTATCGTATATTTTTGCTTTATTCAGAATCGGCAATCAGTTTTATGGAAAAGTGCAGCATGAATATTCATCTTGTTTTTATTGTTAATTAAAACTAAACCTATAAACCCCCAAAAAATCATTTTCGATTAATTGAAATAAAGCAAAAATAAAATATGAAACAAAAAAATGAAAAAATATAAAAACAAAAGTGAACCCAAAATATGAATATATACTAAAACAAGGCTGTCTGAATGATGACAGAATTTTCATTTTTGACTAAACTATCCCTTTAAATCAAGATAGGAAACTAGAGTAATGATAAGATGATAAGCAGCCTCATGATGGCAAAGTTGTCATTAATCCACTGAAGTTTGTTCTTGTGTCACAACAAGCAGGCAATATCCTGTTTAATAGAGCTGGGCTTCATTTCAAGTCATTAGTGCGACATAATAGTGTCCAGCTGTCTTTGCTTTAATTGTTTTATTGCCAACAGACACTGGGACAAAGATGGACAATTATTGTCCCTGACCAACAGTGACGTGCAAAGAGGAAACTTAATTCTGATCTTTATTTAGATCTCCCACCCAAACCTACAGACACGTCTACGATGAAATCTGGACACAACTGACAATAGAAAACAAAGCTAAAGTGGGTCATTTTTGCAATGTTAAAATATTTTTCCTATCCCACTGAAATATGCAACTGTATGTATTAAAGCTCCATTCTGGTACGTCTATATTAAAGGGATAGTTCATAAAAAATAAAAATAAAAATAACCCTCAAGTTGGTTCAAACCTGTATGAATTTCTTTGTCCTGCTGAACACAAAACAAGATATTTTAAAGAATGTTGGTAACTAGACAGTTGATGGCACCGATTGACTTCCATAGTAGGAAAAAAAAAAACATGGTTCAACAGAAGACAAACTCATACAGGTTTGGAACAACATGAGGGTGAGTAAATGATAACAACATTTTTTGGGTGAACTATCCCTTTAATCTGGATACGTTTGAAAATGGCATTTTCATTTCAAAATGCTCTCCATCCACACTAGCGTTTTCCAAAAGTTTCATGTCCACACTGAAACATCTGAAAACACTTAAAACACCTTACTGTGCATGCATAAAACATAATAAAAGCTCCCTAGGTGATACTGAGAGAGCAGACATAGAGGTCTCGCGCTATTCTTCTGTCACAATCATTTTATTAGCAAAATATCCCACCACTCACTGTTGAGTCCAGGTCGCACTCAAAATGGCCATTCCATCTACGGTCTAAAACAGACGACAATAAAGTCAAAACGATCCCCGTTCACATGGATCCGCGAAAATGACTAAAAACGCTGTATTCTGCTGCCAGGCCAGTAGTTGGCGATGTCAGTTTGTAAAGAAACACTACGCCCCTATAGACTGAACACGTAATTTGCATGCGCACGATGTCACCGTACTCACAAATTTGAGTTTTTATAGTTTACATGGAGACGATAACGGTATCGTTTACAAAAACATGCACTTTGAAACCCGTTTTCAAAAGCTTACGTTTTCAGGCCGCCAAAATGCCGTTGTCGCATAATAAGTTTTCCATTTTTAGTTGAAATCAGTGTCGTGTAAACGGACCCTCAGTGTGGACAGAAGGCCAAAATGGAGAGAAAAAGATGCGTTTTCAATCGAAAACTTATTAGTGTGGGCAAGGCCTTTGTTGCTGTGGCTCCAGCTGTGATTTTGGGGCAGAACTATTATTGAGTATTCAACACAATCTCATGGCAATTCCTAACTATTTTACATTTTGTCGAATTGGTAGCTAATTCGAATGAATTATTTTTTTGTCTGATCTGCTTAAACACCAGTGAGGGTTGTGTTTAGGGGTGGACTTTCATGCTTACTTTTCTTCTAAAAACCATATGATGTGAAATGAACTGTACAAATTCATACAAAATCGGTGCCTTGTAAAATAGTTACGTTGTTGGGTCATAGATCAGGTTGGAGTGTTAGGGGAAACCTGTTCGTCAACAATCGATATTTTCACAACTTCATCCTTAATCATAAATCATAAAAGATAATCACCATGGTTTCCCCGAATGTCGATCCATTTAGTGCGTTCCAGCACTCGTGATCTTTTAAGGACGTTGTGGTAGGCCTGCCACTCCACTTCATGTTGAAGCGAGCCCATTTTACTCTCAGTCTTTGCATCTGTTAAGTCCCCTGTTAAATAGTCAAAGTAAAAGACACATGTGCGTTTATGTGTTTTATGTTGCATATAATATCTAATTCTATGTATAAATAACATATTTTAGCTCACCTGTGGCCAGCACAAGATCAGGTTTTATCACATCAATAGTGTCACTACAGAACCTCTCGAAGTCTGGAATGCGCCTCGGATCGTGGAAACGACTGATATGGATGTCGGACACCTACACAGAGAAATCAGCAGGGTTGGAAAACAGTTCATAATGAGTTTCATGCAGGCCTGTGTGTAGTTAACAGCGAGTGTTGGAAATCTCACACATAAAACTTGCCTATTTATAGAACAAGTGTCACTGGCATATTAGAGGAGGCACCTCTTATGTGCGAGTTAGTACACAGCTGAAGGTTTTATGTTTTACCATACAAACTATAATAAAAGGGCTTTATATGTACACTGTACATACTACATACACATCAGACTGACATGCTTTTTGTTTCCAGGATGTCATACATATAGTAGATACAAAATGCCAAATGGTCTCTCTCTTTCTCTTTCTCTCGTATAAATTAATATACTATTTTATTATGACACAAAAAAAAATGGCAAAATGAAATGTTTTAAAATATAGTTTAGTTTCATCAAAATACACACCAACAAAATGTTTTTTTGTTTTTTTTTTAGTATGGTGTTGTGGAGTGTGAAGGACACACAGTAATTAAGCCTTCTATTTCATTTGATTAAATTGTTCTTATAAAAATAACTATTCCAAGAGTCAAATCTTACTCATCTTTGAAGAACCAATTATGAACTATACTCTTTTCTATGTCAAGGTACAACGGGCCAAAAGGACCTAAATATGTGAAAGACATAAACTAACATTGTAGCTCTAACCGTTTGTTAACAAAGGAATAATACAGTTATTCTAAAAGAAATATATAACAAATTTACTATAAATTACATATTATAAAGTTGTGTCCCAGCATTAACATATTTTTTTTACTGAAATTGTGTAATTCTATAACAATAAAAATACTGAATGTATAATGTAATAAAAAAAATTCAAGCAAAAAATCATTTAAATATGTCATTTGGGTGATCAAAGATGAGTTTTAAGAGAAACAATAATATTGACTACAGGGGGACTTGAAGAGTCTATGATTGGACCATTTGCAGTGATTATTATGTTTCTAGCATGTTATATGTTTGGCAACAGTTCTTCTGACCCTAATTGATGTAGGAAGACACATCATGGTCATAATCCAGGATGACAATGTCAAGATTCTTCAGTTTCAAATTATGAAAGAACAGTTGGGATCACAACGTTTATTTCCATCAAGAGGTGCATCAATTTCAAGATCTCGTATTGGCAATGGAAGAATAGCACTCTGTAAAGACTACTCCAGCACATCCCAAAGACTAATCTGGAGCAATTTTTTTTTTGTTATTAAAAAAATGTAAATCCTCTAAATTTTCATTAGAGGAAAATCTTAAGACTAGAGCTGTAGGCCTACCCAATATGTCTTATGACAATAGAAAAGTTACATATTAATATTAAATCAGTATACTAAATCAAAGTATTGATTACACTGAAATTGTGCGATATGTGTCTTTTGTTCATTTAATTTTTGTAACACCTATAAACCAAATAACATGTATTGTCTTGATCATAACTATGCAAGAACTTTACTGATTCAAGTGCATAAACAATACAGCTACTATTTGCTTTCGATGTCATGCTACACATTAATCCTCTTAATTGAACGAGGAATACATTATTATGGCAGAGCACAAAATAAAAGCCATCCCCCAATTGATTACATGATCAGCTCATTGACAGCCTAATGTGACACGTTATCATGGCCTCTCTCATTCACTGCTTAGTGCTTAACAGTTTACCTGCACAAACCAAAATATATTGTCCCGCTGCCCGCTGGGAAACGGTGGGCCGATCTTCTTGGACTGGTGTAAACTGCGCTTCGGGTGCCAGGCGGTGTCATAGCTGTCAAACAGCCAGGTAGTGAAGCAGGCGAGCAGAAGCCCAACAATCATCAGCGCCGCGAACAGCCTGAGCATCCTGATGAAATCACACTGCCTCGCCTCACCTCACGCGCTTCTCTTCTTCATGTTGAGGAGCCGAATGGGGAACTCAGACAGCCTCACGTCCTCGGTTCACTGAACAGAGACGCAATGCAATGGACGAGCAAATCATCGCGCTGTAATTGCCAACATCATCCACGGGGAAACTTCCGGGTGGCAGGAATCCCAGGAAACTGATGGAAGAGACATCATGGCCGAGGGGGGCGGAGCTAAGATAATACTTCTCGGCCCGGAAGTTGCTTCTAGTCAGTGTAAATATTTTATTTTATTAAAAATAAGGAGAGTTACATATGAATAATGAATTAAATCAGTTTACTACATAAAAAGCTTGGTTAAACTAAATAAATAAATTTAAATTAATATAGAAAACGTAAAATATTTTATTGCTCCAAAATTTTGATTATAGGCACTGACTAGGTCTAACCTGGCAAGAACTAAATGACAGGTGCTAAATTTCATATCTTTCATAAATCAATCCTTGTTTCTCTCTTTTTATATGAACACCTTCATAGGAGTCAAAACAGCTTTGGAGGTCAATGTAGGTTATATAAATGTGTGAATATTGTAGTAATAGCCTATTGTACATTAATAATACATTAACGTTGTTGTAAAGTGCTATATACTTAGCGAAAGCTTTAAAATAATGTTAAAAAATGTAAAAACTGAGAGAGTTTTTAAAGACAAAGACAGTGTTGTTACGGTTAACTAAAACTATAGTAAAAAATATATATATATTTTTTTTGTTAATTGAAATAAAGATGAATTAAAGTATGAATTTTCGAGTTTTGAAATCTGAAAATTAGAAATGTTGCCTTGGCAAATTATCAAAATAAAACAATTTGAACTACTAGAATTACTAAAACTAAAATTTAAAAATAAAAACCAATATTAAAATATTAATAGTATATAGATAACTAAAATAACACTGGCCAATAAATATTTATTTGGTAAGTAGCATTTATGTATTATTTAGAATGTATTTGATTGATCCACCAAGCGCCCCCATAGGAGATTCAGTTTTCTCTCCATAAGAAAAAGCTATTAATAGCCCATCAATAACAATGACCTTTCTACTCAATTTAGCTCATTGCATTTAGGAAAGTCTATAGGAAAGATGTTTCTGGTGTTTCTTTTTCTCTCCGTTGTTTGTGCAGATTACAGACACGTGCTGCTGATCCCAGGTGAACCCCCAATTGTTACGTTCCTAATTCATAGTCCAGGGGTAAACTAGAAACGAACAATAACAGTTAGGGGAGACGTTGATGTACCCGTCTCCAGACCCAGAGTCAATAAAAACACCATAAATCACAGAAGACTTTAACATTTCATTTAATTCATTGACAATTTTTTTTTCTGAGGCCACTTTCTATGTCCAGAGAGAGAGAGAGTTTGAGTATAAGTACCGAAGCTCGCTGAAATGAAAAATTATTTTACAGACAAGTGCTTTTGGACTATACATTAGGGTTTTTCTTTTGACACCCAGGCTGTAATGGAACGTGCCTGATGTCTCTGCCTGTACATTTTATTTGTACACAACCATTAGAAAACAATTTCACCTAAAGAGTTCATTAATATACAAACAAAACCCCAAAACTAAATAGTTTAATTTAGTTGAAGGCTATCACTTGGCCAAAGTCTACCTGAATATTAGTCATGTACATGGCATCTTACGGGGGGGAAATGATTATTTCCTTGACAAGGAACAAAAAAGGCCCTTGATATTCTGAACTCTTGCTTTAAGTGCACAATCGATCGCTTGTTTTTCATGTAAATCTCTGAAAATTCTATGAAGTCATAATGGCACATGACGGCTTAAGTCACTTGTGGAATTTCTTGCTTGGATCCTTGGCGTGATCAAGCAGCAGCTGACAAGGAGTAAACTGGTTCCCATAGACATCCTCAAACCTTCTCATCTTCTCCACAAGTTTGTCTGCACCAAAGCAGTCCACAAACCTGAAGGGCCCTGCATTGACAATTCACATAATGAAAGGACTGAATATGCTGATATGCTTTAAAGGTGCAGTAGGTAATATTGACAGCTAGTGGTTAAAATGGGTACTGCAGTCCAAATTCAAAATATTGGAGTCATTTTCCCCACCATGTCCTCCTCAGACTCGACGCTCACGCTGGTTGCCGGATTGAGGAAACGCAACAGGAACAGGCACAATTGGCAATGTTAGGCAACGAGTTAATGAGTTGATTTATACGAGTTTTAATATGCCTCTGGTCATAGAGCTTTTTAGATGGGTGCCGAGGCTTTTTAGGTAGGGCAGAATCTACGATCTCTGACCAAGTTCGTTTGCTGGCTTCCATGGTTTTCCGCCAACTCGCTACCCGGGGTGTCGAAGTACTATAGAGTGCAACTGTTGGGTTACGGAAGTTAAAACTCTATTCATTTTCTCTATAATGAAATCGATTTTGAAGGATAACTTATAAACATTTAGACGAGACAGACCTACTGTTCGGTTGTTAACCCATGGTATTTGCTTCTGCTGAAGCCGTCAGCCCACATTATTTCAGCTTATTTTTTTTAAATAATCGTGTTTAACAGTGGCATCCGAACCCATGATGCTCTACAGAAATAGCTCTTTAGCTCCGCACACTCCCATGAAGCACACTGCGAATAAAGTAATCGAGTCGATCTACATATGCTCTCAAAATACTGAAATACTTATATATATAAATATGCATATTTTACCATAAACTTTAAATATACTGTTTTCATACATATAATCAACGTTCGTAAATGAGTAGTTTTTTATTTTTTATTTTTTTTATTCAATTATTCTGTTCGCAATGCTTAATGGGATTGTAGTTCTTTCCCTTACTAAAGCCGTTAAGTACACAGTCTTGTACCTTTGTTTTCTTTTGTTAGATTTTCAAAAACTTTTTTGCTTCAAATCAAAGTTTGTAATGTTGGGATTCATCTCGTAGCTGATTGACTTGGCTCATGGCTTATAACTCTCTAACGAAGACTATTTTAAAATCCCTATGGGAAAAAAAAATTCAAAAAAAAACTTTTGGAACCAGCACCACTGAAAAAGGGGGCGGGCACTGTTGCACTCTATTGGGTAAATTGGTGGTGGGCGGGGTCACACGGTCCAAAACAAAAACAGACATTCCGACACAGAATAACTGGCTGTAGCATTGTTTTTCATAGAAACAAGTATGTGAACTTAGAATGTTTCCTAAATATCTGCAAACATGGTATGTTTATGCTTTAGTAAAGTCAAAACAAATACATACAGTATAGCACCTTTAATCTGAAAATGAAAGTTTTTAAAGGAAAAGTTAAAGAAAAAATCCAAAGAGTAAATCAAGATATTAGAATCTTACCTCCAAGGCAGGGTGGAAAGCCAAGACCGAACACTGCCCCAATGTCACCCTCCACTGGATTGGCAAGGATGCCCTCTTGTAGACACAGAACAGCCTCATTCACAAAACGAGACACCAGCCTGTACTGTATATCTGAGTCTGAAGATCTGGGTAGAGCGACAGAAGGAAGCAGTAACACTGTTTACTGGATGATAAACTAAGCATTATCCTACTACAAAACAATAACACCGCATTTGTCCTGATGAGAAGTCATTTTACGAATTAAACTACATCTAACCTTAACAACAGTCGGAGCAACTTACACTGCAGCATTTTGCGCCAGCTTGAATGTTTCCAAAATCTCCAGAACTTCTGGGTTCACATCTCTGCTTTTAAGTCCTGGCTGGTAGATGTAGCAGCCCTTGCCCGACTTCCGGCCTAAATTGTGATAATTGAGAAGAAATATTATAATTATACTGAACATGTTAATGTCAATAAACCCAAAGAACAGAATTAATCAGGGTAGACGCCATACTGAATTGTCAGAGATCATGTAGTTTTTTTGTCTACTGAAAGATGTTTTGTCAGCTGAACATTTGGTGTTTTGTTAAACAACAGTACAATTCAATTGAACATATTGGTTTTCATTCCTGCAGGGTTCCTGCACATTTTCCATTTCAAAATCGATTTTTGTAGATCTGTAGATTTTTCTGACCATATTTAACATAAATGGTTCATACAACATTAATTTCAGCATTTTATTTGGTATAGAGTACAGTCATCTGTATATACTATATAGGATAGTCATTAAATATATTTAATTTTCTTTTTTTTTTCTAAGTCCATGTCGCTTTCTTATTCACACGAATTACACCACAGTTCCAGTGCAGCTGAACTCAGACCACCTCGGGTTCGGTTCCCCAGCTTTCACATTGCCAATTTTTAATGCAACCCGTGCCTCGGTTCTAACTAAACTGCCAGTGTGAAAGCACACTTACAAGTCAAGAATGAAACTTTTCATGCTTGCTATCAAATAGTGTCTACTTTGAAAGGCTATGCATTCGGCTGTACACATACGCGTCGAAGCTGAAGTGTGCTTTTGGGGGTGAAACACTCAGTTTCAGTCAATCTCATGTTAATCTTGAGTACCTATAGAGTAATATTGCATCCATCATATCTCCAAAAAGTCTTTAGTTTTATTATATTTATAAAAGAAAGATAGGCTGTACCGAGTCTTTCCGGAAAAAGCCGAGCGGGTGGAGGCGTGCCGTGTGGGCGGAGCTAAATAATCACGAGCGCGCAAAGTTTTAGAACATTTGTGTGTGTCTACTCGTGGTTTATGAAGACATGATTTGGTTTTACAATAAACAAACAGACACCTACAGTAGCCACCTAAACAAATGTATTTAAACAAACACACAACATACATCGCATGCTCCATAGATACATTAACTATTCGTGATCATGTTGTTTAGCCTACTTGCTGTGCTTAAGTTACACACCGATAGACACACACAGATATTTGAAGCAGTTCTACTCACCGCCTGCGGTTCCAACGCAAGACCGTTAACCTTTAGTGTTGGGACTGCTCCATCCTTGAGAACTAAACAATTAGCAAATCCGGCTTCGAACTGGGCCTTGTTTATAAAAAAATCATCCTCGAAATGCATGGAACAAACAAGAACACTTGCACAACTGTGTTGATGATGTTCTGGAAAAACAAACTCCATCCACTGGTCCCTTAACGCTTGATTCTTTGGGAATCTGTGCAGTGTTGTCTTGCCTTGGCAACCGAAAACACACTTCTTTGGTGACATATTCGAGCGCAGCCGATGCACAGCGCTTTGATGGGCATAGGTTACGGCTATCGCTCTACAGCTGCGCGTGCCCTTCCGAGAGAAGTGCCCTTATAAGGAAATTCCGGCGCATCTGACGTCATACACGCCCATACTCAAAAAAAACTTTCCGAAACTTGTGACAACCAGGAAGGAGTATTTTGAGAACAGAAATACTCAAACGTACAACTTAATTTTTGAAACTTTGTCCATGTTCAGCATGGGAATTCAACTCTTTAACAGTGTAAAAAACTCACTATGCATGAAATAGCATTTCACCCCCCCTTTAAGCTAAAGAATGTACCTTTGAATCCTTTTTCCACCATGGTCTTCAAGACCTCAATATTTCCCCCTCCAAATCTGGAGCCGAAGGCCTTGCCGAGGTCTTCGGCCACATGAGCTGCCACATCAATGCCCACTTCATCGGCCAGGGTAGCAGCACCCACAGGGAAGCCAAAACCTGTGGTCAGGGAGTCCAGCTTCTTGGGGTCAACACATTCCTGTATGTAGAGAACAAAACCATGATCTGTATATCAGGTGTGTTTCTATGAACGTCACCATAGCCTGATTTTTGCACATTACACTTTTACAACAGATGGGAATAAATGAATAATTCAAATGGAAACACACAAACCTGCAATACACGCACTGCCTCAGCTAACATGGGACCTAAACATCTGGTTGTGTAGAATCCTGGTCCGTCCTGAAGACAAACATTGCAATTAGCCACTCCATCCCATTTATTTGAATGGATTGTAGATCTGTAAACCGTGTATTCTGGATTGTTGTTGTCTCACCCCAACGACGATAATAACTTTGCCTTGCCTCAGGCCGACCGCCACCGCTGAGGCTGTTGTGTCCTTGGAGGTTTTATCAGTGGTGATGATTTCCAGTAGCTGCATCTTGTCAACTGGAGAAAAGTAGTGCATTCCAATTACCTGAAACAAAACAACAACAAATTTGAGATAATCTCAAACTCTCCAACATGCTGGTCAAGAAGTCATTAAAGGTTTCTTACCTTATCAGGTCGCTTGCTCACAGCTGCAATATCTTTGATTGGTAAAGCAGATGTGTTGGTGGCAAATATACAATGTGGAGGAATCACCTGCAATGACAAAATATGTTATCATCAAAAGTTTTTTATTTATTTAGGAGAGTTTGAAATCTCGATCTTGTTTAATATTAACTTACTGCTTCAACTTCTTTTAGGACTTTGTGTTTGATGCTCAGATCCTCAAAAACGGCTTCAATGACCATGTCGGCTTTATCAAAGCCATTGTAGTCTAGCTGTCCCGTTAGGTTGGACAGAATACTGTCCCTTTCGAATGATGTTATGCTCTTCTTCTTAGTTTTGTCATTTAGCCTAAAATAAAATACAAAAATAGAATTATTATTTTTTTAAATACAATACATAAAAATAAATAATATGGGGAAAAACATCAAAGCAGCTTTAACTTTGGTTACGGTTTGGTCTATTTGTCATTTTTAATCTATTATTTCAGGGCACGTTCACATGACAATGATGTACTAAAAATGGAAACGACATCTTTGTCAAAATGATCCCCGATCACACGGATCCACAAAAACGCTGTATTCTGTATCGATGTCACTTATCGATGTGCCTATAGACTGAACATGTAATTCGCATATGCATGACGTCACCATTTTCACAAATTTGCGTTTTTATAGTTTTAACGGTCCCGTTTTTGAAAACTTGCACTTTGAAACCCGTTTTCTGAAGTTTGCGTTTTCATGCCCTCAAAACGCCATTGTTGTATAAATGAACAGCCAAAACGCATAAAAAGTTTCCCAATTTTAGTTGAAAACAGTGTCGTGTAAACGGTCCCTCAGATAGAGCTGCGTGATTCTGGATAAATTGAGAATCACAATGTTTCTGTTTAAAATAGAGATCACGATTCTGCCACAATTCTGAATAGACAGCAACACAAAATAACATGTAATTTATTTTACTAGAGGTTCTGACAAAATGTTAATTGCTGCAGTCTATTTAAAAATGTTTAATTAATTTGAGTGAATAAATAAAAATAAATAATAAAACTGTTTGACTGAATGATTCAATGACTCAAAAAGAATACACTTGTATTATTACTAGATGAATCAGCATTTTTGAACAAATCTCTTGAATGAATGATTCAATTACAAATATTTTTAACAGTCACTTACTGGTGTAATTGATACAATCTTTATTTGAAGTATCAATTTACTTTCAAAAGGTGAATTACTCTATTTTGATTGATTGCTACTGAATCATTGTCACACAACTCTAGTTTCAGTATATTTAATACTCACCCTTTATAGACCTGCTGCTCTCCACGACTGAGTCCCTCCAGTGTGGTGTCCTTAAGAATAATGTGAGCGCCTTTATCGACAGACACTTGAGCAACGCCAGCACCCATCAAACCTGCTCCCAAGACAGCAAGTGTTCTAAAAATAGAAAATCAATATGCAAGAAAAATGATTTACAATTCTACAGGAAATAAATGTAACACTTAAGCTGCTGCTTATAAATTGCAGTAACCGTAAATTTCCCTCATAAACTTACATATAGTAATAGACAAAGAAAATACATACTTTACTTCCTTTTCAGGGGTTCCGAATCGATTCTTTTTGCATGCGACCTGACCGTAGTAAAGGCCAATAAGTGCTTTACTCTCGGAGGTCATAGCTAACTTGCCAAAATTCTGTAATGGAAATAAAAAGTGCATAATTAGATTATTATGCTACACGCATAACATTATCTTTCGCAGTTACCAAATATTATTAAATGAATATTAGCAGATAATTCAAAATGCTTTCTTTTTAAAAAGTTTAAGTTCTAATTCCCCTGCAAAAATTCACAAGATCAGAGATGCAAGTGAAGATTTTAATAGAAAAACAAGAGATTCCAAGTGTACTTAAATGGAATAATTCAGAATTAGATTGAGTGTTCAAAGGCTGCCCCCTAATAGTCGACCAAACGTTAGTCGATGAGAAGAGCCTTGGGGGCCGTATACATAACGGAAATCCGACAAATCTGCGTAATGCTATAATGTCAATATGGACCAAAAGGAATTTTGAGGAATGTTTCCAGCACCTTGATGAATCTACGCTACGAAGAATTAAGGCAGTTCTGAAGGCAAAAGGGGTTCCAACCCGGTACTAGCAAGGTGAGCCTAATAAAGTGGCCGGTAAGTGTATATTTAAGTGATTAAATTAATATCATAAACGTGCAACTAGTTGACTAATGGCTTAAATGATCGACTACAGGTCTAGCCCTAGTGGGCATGATTGTGTCTTATTGTACGATAATACAGTTTACACATTTTCACAGCACCTGTGACTCAGCCAGGTAACCTGCAGTCAGACCCTGTTCAACACCAGCCTTCACACTCTGAAAGACAAAACAAACAGGTATCAACTCAATACAAGCTATTTCTACTATGATTTATGATAACTCCATTGAGCACAGAATCAAACCTCGATTATTTTCAGTGGTGCAGGGTACAGTCCCTTAGTCTGTTTCATGACCTTCTTCTCAACTGTATTGTAGATCTGTTGTCTCACAAACGGATAACTCATGATGTAGTCTTGAATTTCTGCAGGGAAAAAAATTGTATATACCAATTAAAAAAATAAAGCAAAAAGTACGCTATGTATATGCAACACTGATTAAGATGATCAATATAAATCTTGTAAAAGCCTAAATAACTTGTGTATAAATCATTTTGAATCTAAAACCGTCTAGTAGTCGACCATTGCAAATACTCACTCTGCATTAAGCCCTTTTCTTTGGTAAGTGAGATTTTCTTGTTAGCAAGGCCTCTGGCAGCCTCCACAGCTACTTCCTCCAAGTATTCGATAGTCCTCTCCTCTGGACTCTTCAATCCAGGTCCTGTTTTTAAATTAATACTTTTATTCAGCAAGGATGCAATACATTTTTTAAAAGTGACAAGTCTTTTATGTTGTTACAAAAAATATATATTTCAAATACATAATGTTCTTTTGAACCCTTCTATTCATCAAAGAATCCTGAATTTTGTTTATTCTATTTTTTACATATATACACACAAATGCAATAACACAGAAAACGTTTTACCAAGAGTATCCACCAGCCGGTCAACCAGTCCCATTTTCTTGGCTTTATCTGGACGGATGTTTCTTCCTGTTAGCATCATATCAAAAGCACTGGGAAGACCAAGCTACATAAAAGCAAAGGTGTAAAAACAACCACGCTTGAGATGTGAAGATTCAATTAAAAGAATAATTATTAAACGTGTCTGTGGCATATTACGGACCATTTTGGGCAGTCTCTGTGTTCCTCCAGCTCCAGGCAGAAGGCCAAGCATGACCTCAGGTACACCCAGGACTGTCTTCTTACTCTTGGTGGCTATTCTGTACTGACAGGCAATGGCAAACTACAAACACATAAAATACAATATCAATTTTGTATTGTCTGTAAAACTTAAAATGCACAATTTTTGTGTTGTATTTAGACAAATGTATTGTTTAATTTATTGCATAGGTTATTGTTTGTATCATTCATAATAGTTTATAATAATCAGATATTTGTCTATATACAAAGTAACAAAACGAATGCAAACACTTTCTTAAAGAGCATATTGCAGGTAAAAAAAAATCTAAATTAATAAATAACCTTGTATGAAAATACCATATGAAAAGTTAATGCAGGATTTAAAATGTTTTAAAACGACATAAGGGCACTAATTTAGTAGATAAAGTGAGCGTTTCTTTGACTGCTCGTGAAAACGGCTTTTTTTTTCAACATCGCGTCATTTTACGTCACGCCAGGGAGCCTCAGCCTCGGCTCAGTGCAGAGTAGGCTGGTATTCAGTGAGAGCGGCCGTGAGTCAGTGTGTTTTCGGTAGTTTTTGTATTTCAATTTATCATCGTCATGGTAAATGATTGTGTTTGTGGAGGTTGCAAAAACTCCGGCCTGTCAGGACATCGAGTCCACAGGTTTCCATAACAAGAAAAAGGACGGTGCTGTATATCTTTCGTGCCTGGTGCGGTGTGTGCAGGTGAAGAGACGGATTTCTCTTCCGCATCGGCTTCGAAAAACGCGGTCATGTGTAGCGTTCACTTCAGATCGGAGTTCAACATGGGATGCCGAAGCAAAAATATTGATCGTCCTATACTATACCAATGGCATCAAATAGTGTGATATAGGTAGTCATGCCCTAAATAGAGGCAACTTGTAATTGAAAAACAAAATTACTCCGATTGTTTAAATATTCAAATCTTTAAATTTCTGTTTATGTTATAACCAAGGTGAAAAATATGTATTAAAAATGTACTTGAGTATGTTTTTAGTACAATACAAATATACTCAAGTATAGTTTTTATACATTTAATAGTATCTACCCTAAACATACTAATGTCTGCTGGCCTGATATACGATGGTAATAATCTGTACAATATTGTGAGCACAGTGTATATCGTTAGCGAACGTGTATCCATCTATAAGCTAACACTGGTCTCTCTCACCAAGACACCTGTCCTCCACTGATTCTCCTCACACCACAACTCAATTTGTCTCTGACCGTTCTGTCTAACATTAATCCTGGCCTGTCCCTGCTCTCTTAGCAGGCTCATAACTGTATTGCTGTGGTCCATCATACCAGTAAGTATTTCCTCAGCGTCCGAAATGTCATTGCGATCCATTGTTTTCCTGTTGTTTGAAATCGAATCGTGAAAATCTAGTTCCTACATTATTTTTCTATACATTGACTCGTTGGGTCCTCTAACCTGCAATATGCCCTTTAAAGTGTGGTGTGTTAAATAGCTGTTTGTGAATGTAAAAGGTCTGCAAAGTTTCAAAGATCAAAATGGATCGATTCTGAACTGCCTGAAATGAGTCGTCAGTAATTCCAGTCTTTTTTTCTGCATGAACTTATGTAGGTTTATAACGAATTTTTATAATGTCAGCCTATGGTCTTCTTCGGCTGCCCGAGAACAACGTTTACTTTGACATGCCCTCAAACACTGTAGTTGTAGCTGAGGCCTGGAAGAGTTTGGTTGGTATTGTCGACATTTCAGCTGTTTTGTGTGCGGCGAAAGCAAATCCACTTTGCATACACTTCCAAAGGATGAGGACTCGGGCTTGAATTGGTATGGTAAAACCGACGCTATCGTTACTGTTCGTATCACTGTTTATCAATTGCTGAGGATGCTTCCAGAGCAGAAATTTAGATATGGTAATTGGCGCTTGGTTTCCGACACACGCTGTAAGCGGTCGACCAATCACAACAGACTGGGCCGTCTGACCAATCAGAGCAAAGTAGACTGGCGGAAAGGAGGGGTTTAAAAAAAGACTGTACCTTTATCATGTCGTTTCAGACACTGTGAGAAAAAAAGTAATGCTGCAAATTAATATTATGAGAAAATTAAAGTGATTTTTGACCTTGGATATATGTAAACCTATTGCAGGAGACCTTCAAAAACAAAATTAGGAGCCTTTAAAATAGCATAATAGGGGAACTTAAATCACATCAGAAATGTTACAGTAATCCTATGCTTGCCCTGTGGGTGGAAAAAAATTGTGACATATGAACATGAATGCAGTACCTCTAAGCCTCCACCAAGACACGACCCATTAATGGCAGCGACAATGGGCTTAGGAGATTTCTCAATCTTCTCAAACATCCTCTGGCCCTCCTGAGAAAGGCCAGTGACCTCCTCTGCAGTCTTACAGGCCTGAATCATGCTAAATACATGGTACAGACAATAACAGGTAAGATATCAGCACTGTATTTGATAATGATCACCATAACCACCAATAATAAACACATTATGAATTCTGGGTCACACTTTAGTTTAGGGTCAAACTCTCACTTTTAACTAATTATTAACTATGACTTTTGCCTCAAACTCCTAATTACTGCTTATTAATAGTTAGTAAGGTAGTTTTTAAGTTTAGGTATTGAGTGGATTAAGGGATATAAAATATGGTCATGCAGAATAAGGCATTATTATGTACTTTATAAGTACTAATAAACTACCAGTATCCTAGTAATATGCATGGCATGCTAATAAGCAACTAGTTAATAATGAGAATTGGACCCTAAAATAAAGTGCTACCGAATTCGGATACTGACTTAATGTCTGCCCCTGCGATGAAGCTGCCGGGTTTGGATGAGATGAGAACAACACCATGGACAGCATTGTTTCCCAAAATCTCATCCATAACTTCTGTCATCTCCCTTTGCATTTGAATAGACAGTGTGTTGACCTAGACATTGCAAAAAACACATTATGACATATTATGATATCATTTGAATGCATTAACGTGGCTGCAGAGACAACCATTACCTTTGCATTGGGATCATTCACACGGATCACAGCTACATCTCCCTTGACCTCATAGTTTACGTGTGTACGAGCTGAGGAAATATTGAAAAGACATGAAAATTAAAAAGCATGCAATACATTAAATAATTAATTTGAGATCATAAAAAACATCACTATATATATATATATATATATAAAAATACTTTACCCATCATACAAGCAGCAACTTTAAAGGTCCGCCTGCTGACACCTTTATTGGGTAAAAAAATGAATAGTGATGTGAAGGTACAATCACAGAAATGGACTCAAGTGAAGTCATAGGCTAATACCTCATATAAAACGATCTCAAACCAGTGAGGGTCATATTAGGCTAAGTTGGAAGACAGTGAAGATATATTACACACAGCAGAATGTAGACAGGCCTGTAGAGGACATGACTCCAGTAGTACAGCCACAGATGAACTTTAACCTAGTTTCCTCTTAAACTACACTACAACCATAATGATAATGTCATAGACCTCACAATAATGATGAAAACATAATGAACTGAATACAAAGCCTCTCTGTAAACAAATCGGACATATTAGCCATAATTTAACAAAAATCCTTATAGATGCAGATGTATTACCAGATATCATTAAACTAACCTCGATTAAACCAGTTTTCAACAGCAGAGACAACAGCTATGCGTCAACTAACAATTATTAAAAACGTTAAAAATTATTCTATACACCAAATATTTATTTTAAAAAAATATCTTCATACATTATAAGATAATGGCCAGCATTAGCTATGCTTATTGAATGGGAACAACATGTCACTGCGATAACTCTACTATTAAATAAAATTAATTAAATTAAAACAGCATTGATAGACGTGCGCGTTTCGTTGCACACGCAGTAAAGTAAACTGCGCGCGCGTGAAACTTAAAACAGTCACAAAACATTGATCACTAGACCTTGAGTTAATTAGCAGGTGAGCTAAGCTACTTCAGTGAAGTGTGACTGGTGACTCTCCACAGTAGTTTATTTACGCAAGTGTTAAAGCGAAATGCAATAGGGATGTAGAGTCATTTAAGGAAAGATTGTAGAGGTGTGAAGTACCTGGAAAGAGGGTATATCTTCTGGTTGTGAGTCTGGAGAGGGAACCGAGGGCTCGTACGCCGGCCATGTTTGGAGGTCAATGTGTGTAATGACAGACAGCAGGCGGAAGACTGGAGGAGGAGGAGTATTTCACTTCTATACTGCCAGAAACCTGCTGAACACATCCAATCCAAGACCGCACCAGATAATAAATCATTATATTATGGGTTTTTTGTTGTTGTTGTGGGTTTGAATAATAAAAAAAAAACTTAAACCTATAACCTCTGTTGTAATGTTTTTCAGTTAAACCTAGAAATAAGCAGAAGAATAAAAAAATGTATTTGTATTAATTACATAAATTAGGCTATTTATAAAGGAAGAGTGGTTTGGGAATGGGTGCTATATTTCTAAAATTTATATATTTCTCTAAAATTGCATATAGGCCTATTCCAAGCTTCTCAAATCATGCTGGATAACGGTAAAAGAGACATACTAACATATTTAGAAGTGTATGTACATTTTCCATTGAACTATTTTACTGAATTTGTTATGCTAAAAATATAATTTTGCATCAAATTAGACAAACTCGGCAACTCAAGCATTTTGGACCCTTTTACATGTCCTACCATCTTGGTTGCACTGCATTTTTTATTACTTATTGATTTTAAAATGCTTATATGTTAATTCATTATTACTTTTCGTTTTCATTTTAGTTTATTTTTCAAGTTAAAACATGAAAATAAGACATTAAATAACTAAAAAGAAACTAAAATAAGTTTACATTTTTTTATATCTTATTTTATTTCAGTTAGCCTAACTTTTATTTTATTTGAAGTCAAATAAATTAACCATGATATGCAATCAGTTGCAATGTATGGTTGCAATTCTATAAACATCACCACAGTTTGCAAACCTGCAATGTGACATGCATCCACAAGATGGCAAACACGTTTGCATTAAAGGGACAGTTCACCCAAAAATGAAAATTCTATCATTAATTACTCACCCTCATGTCGTAACCCGTAAGACTTTCGTTCATCTTCAGAACACAAATGAAGATCTTTTTGATGAAATCTGAGAGCTTTCTGTCCCTCCATTGACAACTACGCAACTACCACTTTGACGCTTCAAAAAGTCCATAAAGAGATCGTAAAACTAATATGAATCGAGCGGTTGGTTTAGTCCAAATTTTCTAAAGAGACTCGATCACTTATGATGAAGAAATTTAGGCTTTTACCACTAAATTCACAGACTGTATCCACACACACACACACACACAAAAATCACAGCAGAATTAAAAGCGCACCTCGACTCTCATGTTTCCACAAGTCAATATTCATGGTCGGGCTGCTATAGCCAAACCTTTGGTCACTCATGCCAATGCCAAATGTCAGTTTCATTGGCGCCAACTGTGCAAATCTTGGCCCGTGGAAACATGTGAAACATGTATTGTTCCCTGATGACGTGATGAGTCCACCTTCAGTGTCTTTCGCATGGGAGTTACGGTGTGGTGAAGCCCCAAAGAGGCTTCCAGAGTGAAGCACGGGGTGGATCAATAATGGTTTGGGCTGCGATATCATTCCCTATAGGGACTACCGAACTATTCTGGAGGACCATGTGCACCAATGGTTTAAACATTGTACCCTGAATGTAGCAATACACACAACAAAACTTGTGACAGAATGGTTTGATGAACACGAAAGTGAAGTTGAACATCTCCTATGGCCTGCACATTCAACAGATCTAAATATTTTTGAGCCACTTCAGGGTACTTTGGAGGAGCAAGTCAGGAAATGTTTTCCTCCACCAGCATCACATTGTGACCTGGCCATTATTGTTCTGGAAGAGGTATAGCTCAAAATCCCTCTGGACACTATGATGAGGGACTTGTATCTGTCATGTAAGACAAATTCTGTACACCACACTAATAAATTACCAGTATTGTGGTCTAAAACCAAGTGTTTCAGTTTCATTTTCCAACCCCTGTATGTTGACAATAAGTTAATTCATATAAACAAAATATGACCAGCTTGTATGTTGTGTGTTAACTGGGAAGCAATATAAATAATGATACATTAGTGAACTATGTTCTGTCAGATTTTCATCTTTATATTTTGTTCTTGTGTGTTACAGTGGTCTCATTGTAAGGCTTGTACTTTCCTTGTACGTTCCATCTGAACTCGGGACCATTCTCACATGATAAGCTCTGTCATCCCCAGCCCCTTCATCATACTCTCAGTTCAACAGCCAATGGGTTTAACTGAACTTTTCCACATTTAACCTACTTAAAAAGCAAAAAACTCCTTACGGATTTACAGCAATACAAACAGCACAAGACTACTAAATTTGTGATTGCTCAATAACTGTCAATAACGGTCAATCAATTATTAATTGTTACAATAGTAGACACGCATCAGGTCTCTTATCCTATAGAGAATTGATTTGAAGACTGTGCAATGACTGAATAAGAACCATTCTCCATTGTTTTGAAACAGGGCCCCATACACTGCTTTACTGATTGCATCACACTGTCCTCATTAAGTGCTCCCCCCTTATCCCAATACTGTTCTTTCACAACAAACATCCCCTGATCCATCATATGGCCATACAAGTGTAGAAATCTATTTAAAGAATTCAACATAGTCACTAAATACTTATCACAGTGATTGTGTGCTCATGTGCGAGTAAGTTCCAAGGTCCATTCAAGACATGATCTGTTTGTACAGCTGTGCAAGGAACAAGCTGCCATTTTGTGTGAGGACAGCACTGACTGCTGCATCTGTTTAAAGTCACCATGAAATCAAAATTGACTTTTTTTAATGGAATATTGCATGATTTATCTGTGAACATCATAATGTTTTTTAATTCATGTGCCCTCGTAATTTTTTAATCAAAATAACCTCCCCTCCCTCTTGCAGCAGAATCTCTTCTCTGATGACGTGTTTACTGGTGTGAGGGCGGGGCAACCTCTCACTGGCATGAGATCGACCAATAGGAAACCACAACGATCCAACCATCCAATCAATTTCTGACTGACAAAATCAAGTCTTTTTTTCTAATTTTTTTCTTGTTCGAGAAGCCGTTTCATTTGGATATATATGTAGGCTATAAGCACGTTACAAAGGGAAGAAATTACGCAACTTCCGTTTAATGACGACTTTACATCCAACCAAATAATAGATTAGGTTCCTTTTGCAACATGACCTATAATATTCATGTATATTTTAATAATAATCATGAGGAGTTTAATAGTCTTGACGAATTTAATAATTTTCTTGAGGAGAAGATACAAGCAGAAAATAAAATAAGTTTAAAAATATAATACAGCATTATATATTTATGTGGATAATTTATTTAAAAAATATTCCACAAATATGTTTCAAAATGTTTACATAAGACAGATTAAAATCGAACTTAAATATTTTATTGTCATTTTACCATGTACAGTAGTGGCCAAAAGTGATGTCCGGCCTAGAAAAATTGACCTTCACTTTTTACTTAATTTATAAAAAGTTTTCTTAAGATTTTGTAAGCGTATTGCGTAGTTGTGCTTGAAGTCAATTGTGTTATTTGTGATAACGCAATGAAACATGCCAAATAAGGGCATTCTTTTTTTCCAGGCTGTCATATAAAGCAATTATGAACACATGCAAAAACAAGAGAGAACCAACCAAAATATTAATAACTGATATGTTGTAGTTAATGGATGCTTTTTCCTGTGAGCTTTTTGCTTTTCTATGCATAGAAAAAAATCCCTAGTTGTAGCTTACCCCTTTTTTTGTCAAATAATTTAGTCTTAATCTTAATCAAGTTTAGACTCATACTCATATTTAAAATATAAAATATTTTCCTCATATATTGATGGTTTAATCAAACTTGTAAAATCATTAAAAATAAATCCCCAAACCAATCCCCTCCGGACATCACTTTTGCCAACTATACACCTCTATTGGCTGGCAAAAGTGTATGATCATTATAATAGATTATAGTGTAATACATATGAAAAATAAATATCTGCTATTAATATGCATCAATGTCTTTATTTGTAAATACATTATGTACCCTTTAATATATATCTTGCAAGCAATAAGAACCAACAAACATAATATGAAAAAATTGTATTCTGTTTTTTATATATATATATCATGTTTATATACAGAACACAGCATGGAATCTAATGTTGTTGGGTTCAACAAAACCAACACTCTGAGACATACTTATGCAATAAGAAGATTTTAAATAATCCAGACAATTGCCCTAATCTCCCACATTTCCTGCGACTGTGAGCAAGTGGTCATGTGCAACTCATGCAATATAATGTCCTTCTTGACCTAAACTGTTGATTCCATCTCTGTACTATGTACAGTTTCCTCCACTTCCTTCTGATCAGCCCATCCGACAGCATGCCTGCAGTTCTTTCCTTTAATCTTGGTCAGCTCCGACTCTGGCTTAGCCCTTTTAGTCGGATTACAACATAGTTTGGGTTTGCATCGACTTTGACAGGAAAGCTCACACCGGGAGTCACCAGATCCTTCAGAAATGGAAGAAAACTCTGGCTGGACAGTAGTAGCATGGATGTCTTCATCATGGAAAATGTCTTTAATGCGTTTGGCTATGTCCATGTAAGTAGCTGGATCTGCGCATTTGATGTGAGCGGTTGCAATAATGCGAGACCCAGCCAGCTGCCAGATGTGCAGTTCATGAACGGCTATAACACCATCCAGGCTCCGTAGTTTCCCATTCAGCTTGTGCAGATCGATCTGTTTGGGTACCGTTTGTAGGAGGATCAGAGCCGACTCCTTTAGGAGAGGAAAAGTTGTGTAGAGCAAAATACACACCATTATTAGACATAGCATTGGGTCCAGATAAAGCACCCAACATGGTCCAGCTACAGATACGGTTCTTGGGCTCCTGTCGTGCGGTTTGGATATGCTCAGCAGGACTGTGGTATTAACATGTTGATGTTCAGTCAAGTGGGTGCTACGGCAGGGGTTGAAACAGATTTCGTCGCTTTGGCATGGCGTCCACACAAAAGTGAAAATCAAGGCGTTGACTACCACAATGACGGAACCTAATGCATCGCCAAGCACGTGCAGAAACACTCCACGCATGTTCAACTGGGAGTCAGAACTGTGATCCAGGTCCTCCAATGAGCCGTTGGCCGGGATTCTGATGTTCAGGCTGTCTAAAAAAGGCAGACCGCAAAGTGATCATAAAAATAAAGACGAAGAGGAAAATATGTGCATAAATATAATTGATATGCTTATCATAATTTTTTAACAATACATTTCTTTTTTCGAAAAAAAAAAATTAAGAATAAGAATTTTATAGAAATTGCACTCAAAAGAGGCAACAACTACAAAAACAACAAAAAATATTCAATATCATTGGAAATGGCATGACTTTTACATCAGGGTTCCCACACTTTCTTAATTTCCATGTTTGTCCCATTACTTTTCCAGTCGTGTGTGATGTCTGGATACAGATTTAACTACAAAATAGCTACACAAATTTATGTTTACTATAAACATTTCAATAAGCTTTTTAAGATATTGTACATTTTGATGACTCTTCCAGGCCTTGAAATCATACTTTTGATATTTAAAGAAAAAAATTCCCAATATTTCCAGGTTTTCCAAGACTGTGAGAACCCTAATTTTACATGTATGTGTTATATTACACTGCCCTGCCCCAAAAAAAAGTAAGAAAAAAAAGTCACTGTTTGGATTTAAATTCTTAAGAGGTTATGATTAGATAATTATTGCAGTGATTATTATGTTTCTAGCATTTTGGCAACAGTTTTTTAACATTAATTGATGAAGTGTGTAGATTTTTATTTTTTTAAACAACCATAGGAAGACACATCATGGCCATATTCCAAGATGACAAAGCCAAGATTCATCAGGCTAAAATTGTGAAAGAATGGTTGGGAGGGAGCATGAATAATCATTTCCACACATGAATTGACACCTCTGAGTCCAGACCCAAATTCATTCCAAGTCTTTAGGATGTGCTGGACGAGACTTTACAGAGTGCTGGACTCTTGCATCGTCAATACAAGATCTTGACCAAAAATTGATACACCTCTTTATGGAAATAAACTTGTGATGTTACTTCCATCAAGAGCTGATTTGCAATGATGTTGATTAAGAAATGAAACACTCCATCAGTTAGGGATAGAAGAACTGTTGCCAAACATATAACATGCTAGAAACATAATAATCACTGCAATAATGATCCAATCATAGACTCTTAAGTATTTGCCTATATAAAAACTTTTTTCTTTCTTTTTTTTTGGCTGGGCAGTGTATAATACAATTATAATGAAAAAGCATATAGGCTATATTTAATATAAATATATATAGCCTATGTTTTTTTTTTTTTTTACAAAAGTTAATTTTATTTTAACACCTACCTGATTTCAGATCTGAAGTTTGATCTCCTTGAGAACTGCTGCTGTTTATCATAAGATTGTGTTCCTCTTTATGCGCCTTTGGTTTTTCATAATGTCTGCTTTTTGTGTTGTGACCATGAGAGTGTCCGTGTCCCCGATGAGAGTGACCACCATGAGAGTGCCCGTGCCCTCCAAACCCTGCGTGTCCGTGGAACAGAAAAAGACCAAGTACATTGACCAGTAGACCAGCAACGCCAACCCAAATGACCACTCGTGGATTCTCGATCTCATGAGGCAGCGTGCAGCGCTCGACGGCTTCCAACAGAATAGTGAAGCAGAGGGCCGTCAAAAACACGGCGTTCACTAAAGCTCCCATCACTTCTGCGCGGATCCATCCAAACGTGTTTTTACTTGTGGTTTGAGTTGTCTCCGCAAAACTCACGGCAATCAAAGCCACTATCAAGGCTATTACATCCGACAGCATATGAAAAGAGTCTGACAGCATTGCGAGAGATGCTGTTATCCTGCTTACCACAACTTCAACAATGAAAAACACAAGCGTTAAAGACAGCATGCACAGCAAACGCACACGGTTCTGTCCCAAACCCATTTTTTGTCTTCAACGGCAAATAAAATTATATTTATATTCGCGAATAGTCTTGTATAATAACACACAGAGACGGTTTTAGATGTCTATGGAATGAACGTTTGTCATAAACAAGAGATTAATGTTGAAAATAAACGCGTAAATGCTGTTGCTATTGGCAACTCGCGAAATATCAGTTGCGCGACGCACTAAAGAATTCAGCGCAGCGAAACATTCATTCATACTTATTAGAGAGAAACACCGGCCGCCATAGACTGGGGATGGAATAAAAGACGCTCGTGAATCTCCAGGAGAAGTTAAACGAAACTTGAGACTTTGCACCCGGACCGGTAAACTTCTCCACACGGTCTGAGCGGGGACGCGCAGTGCCCATGCGTCCCCATTGGCCGAATATAACTGTGTGCTGGAGTCGGAGTCACATGGTCAGCGAGAACACATTCTGCTGTCGGTTAGACAATGCAAATCATAGCAATCAGTGCAAATGAATGAAAATTACTCCAAGGTGTGCATACATTATTTACAAAAGAGATAAAGTAATAGGCCTAAAGAAAGATTAGCATTAGACAAACTTAAGTGTTGTAATTCTGAATCACTGTATAGCCTATTTTGCAATACAATTAAATAGCCTTTCTGTTCGGATGGACTATATTTTATTTTATTTCATTTTGGCGGACACGGACACTTATTGCTGTATAGAAGAAAATAATAAAAATATACAATAGTATAAAAATTATTACAATTGCAATTTTTAATCATTTTTTCATTTGTTTCTTTTAACATGTTCCTCCTACACACACACGTTACATATTAATTTCGGTCAGATGTATATAAATCAGGACTTTACATAATGATTTTATACTGTACAAACTGCATTCTATCCCCTAACCATAAACCTACCCATCACAGAAAACTTTCTGTATTTTTACATTACATGTATTTTCAAAAGACATCACTTAGTCCGATGTATAAGATGTTTTCCTCATGGGGATCAAAAAATATCCCCACAAAGACAAGGATTTTGGATATTGCCATCTTTTTGGGGGCCATTTTGTCCCCATAATGTAGGGTTTACCAGCAGACAGACACACACACACACACACACACACACACACACACGAGATGTCCTGATAATATAATAGGTCAAATATGGTGGTAGCCACTGAAGGCCCATATATTAACAGACTATTGCCTACAGTTAAATTATGCATTATACAGATGGCCACTGTATGTGTGCACTCACACAAAAAAAGGCATAAGATAAGGCTTGTATGTATCCTCATCATTGAGTTTTTATGGTAAAATTCATAGTTGCCATTTTTTCCTTTGTAAATGTATGTATGCCTATCAGTCTTATCGTAAATTATGTTTAAGCTATTAAAGGGCTTGACGTCTCAAACCAAACAATCATGAAGGTTATTAGTCAAATAACCTAATTATTGAAACTGTTTAAGCCATATACAATGATTGTGCTATATTATAGGCTAGGCAAGGCAACTGACTTCTAATAACGTAATCACCGGTAATCTTATCATTGAATAATTATAACCCACACCGAATGCGTCACACCTCACGCAGAGAGAAAACACGGTATCTACCTATCAGCATCACGCCGCCTGTGAGCGCGCTCTGCCTATTGTCTGTGAGGAGCAGGGCGTGTGCACTGTGCAGCCAGAGCTGGAGACTGAGAGGAGATGCGCGAGGCACGATGCATGAGCGGAATGTAATGATGGCGTTGGACCAAGATGATCTGCGCTCACTTTTTCATGTGACGGACATACATTTTGCTGCATTCAAACGCGCATTTGTAGCCTGCACATGAATGTGCGTATTTTATTTAATCGTTCGTTGCGTCCATAACATAGCAGAATATTAAAGACGTAAAGACTTTATCATAAAAAAAGATGAAGAGAAATAGCCTATTGCGACCACGCTCCATGTCGATTGGCAAAAAATCAGAGGCGGTTAAGGTGGTGGTGCGGTGCCGCCCTTTAAACAAGAAGGAAGAGGCGATGAATCGAGAAAGAATTGTTGAAGTAGATGTCAGACTGGGACAGGTGAGCGTGCGTAATCCCAAATCATCCGGAAGCCTCGTAAAAACATTCACGTTTGATGCTGTCTATGACGTGGGTTCAAAACAATACGACTTATATGACTATGCATGCAAACCTCTAATTGACTCTGTTTTGCACGGATTCAACGGAACTATATTTGCTTATGGCCAAACTGGCACTGGCAAGACATATACAATGGAAGGTGTGCCCACAAACCCTGAGACGAGGGGAGTCATCCCAAATTCATTTCAGCATATTTTCACTCATATATCTAGATCTCAGAACCAACAGTATCTCGTGAGAGTGTCTTACTTCGAAATATATCAAGAAGAGATACGAGACCTCCTCTGCAAGGACAACAATAAAAAAATGGAGATCAAGGAAAATCCAGACTTGGGCGTCTATGTCAAAGATCTCTCGTGTGTGGTGACTAAGAACATAAAGGAGATTGAACATGTCATGAACTTGGGGAACCAATCAAGATCCGTCGGATTCACCAAAATGAACGAGCGTAGCTCCAGATCTCATGCGATTTTTGTCATAACCATTGAATGCAGCGAAATGGGCATTGATGGTAAGGACCACATTCGTGTCGGAAAGTTAAACATGGTGGACCTTGCGGGCAGTGAGCGGCAAAGCAAAACAGGTGTGCAGGGACAAAGGTTTAAAGAGGCTACGAAGATAAACTTGTCCCTTTCCGCTCTTGGAAATGTTATTTCGGCTTTGGTGGATGAGAAGAGTACCCATGTTCCCTATCGGGATTCCAAACTCACCCGGCTGTTGCAGGACTCCCTCGGAGGCAACGCTAAAACTGTTATGGTGGCCACCATTGGACCAGCTTCGTGCCACTACGATGAGACTCTCACCACACTGAGGTACGCCAACAGAGCAAAGAACATCAGGAACAAGCCAAAGATCAACGAGGACCCCAAAGACGCCCTGCTCCGTGAGTTCCAAGAGGAAATAGCCCGCCTAAAGGAGCAGCTCGAGGAACGAGGGATGCTGGCAAAAGAAAGGAGGAGAAAGAGGAGAAACAGTATGAGGATTACGAGGAGTATGAGTAGCGGAGAGGTGGAAACTCCGAGAGATGGAGAGGTGGGGGTCGTTGAGACGGTTCGGGAGGAGAGTGTGGAGGAATATTGGTGGAAGCAGCAGATGGCCAAGACCTCTGCCAATTACAAGTCAGATATTAGCAGGAAACTTGGCACGGTAGACAAGAAAGCAAAGACTGTGGAAGAGTTGCTGAAGGAGCAACAAGCTATGGAAATTATTATTGAAAAATACAAGGTTAGTTATTTCCACATGACTTTTTTTAATGAAAATTATACACCATATCATTCATAAATCACATCATTACTGTGTGCCATGGTTTTTTGTAGGTTATGGAAAGTAAGCTTCTGGTTGGAGGGAAAAACATCATTGACCACACCAATGAACAGCAGAGAATGCTGGAACTGACGAGGCAGGAGATTGCTGAACAGGTAACTGTACTAGACATATACATATTTTAGATTATAATACATAGTCATTTAAATATCCTTTAAGGATTAGAATCTCATATGTGTGTGATAAATCCTTCTAGGATAGACAGGAAAGAGAGATGCAGCAGCTGATGTTTGATCAAGATGAAGAGACGATTGAACTGAAAGAGACGTTCTCCACTCTACAGCAAGAGGTGGAATTTAAGACCAAGAAACTAAGAAAGGTGCGTAAGGTCACAGTTCATCTCCACACTATGGAAGCTCATTTTCACCTCAGAATAAAACTTTTTATCTCACAATTGCGTGATATAAACTCGCGATTGGGAGTTATAAAGTCAGAATTGCAACAACTCGCAATTGTGCAAGTCAGAATTGCGAGTTTATATCTCACAATTCTGACTTGTAATGAATACTCAATCCTGATTAGGCATTCATGGCAATCTGCAGTCATATATCTTTCTAAAATGACTGCTAAACTGTAAACAGACAAACATCTCTTAGACTGTGCTAGTATCTTTCTTATCACTTCATAGTCTGTTTCCTCACATAATTTAATCAATTTGGTTAAAATCATTTTAAACCCAATTATTCATTTATTTGGTAACTTGTCAAGTAACAAATTGGACAATGTACAATAATCGCATCACCCTGGTTCCCTCGACAAAAAGCCAATAGGATTTTTCTGTTGGCTTTTTGAGTGTTGCAGAAAATAAGGTCTGTGACCAACAAAAGTTTATGATTCTTACACGTTTTGTTCATCAAGATAGCCCAAATACAATCGTATTTAGTGAAAAGCTAAAGTAATGCTATAAATGAACTACACCATGGTCACATGACTTCAATGTCACAATCACTAAGCTTCCTACAGCTCTTTCAATCTTTATTTAAGATCTGTAAGTTGAAAAGAATAGTTTGCGAGAGTGTGAGTGTAAACAAAACAAGACTGTAAAAGCAGACTACTGCGTAGATGAGTTTTCCTGTTCGACATGAAGACGTTTAAAGTCCCAGACAACCTCTGTATTCCCATTTAGCCACTTGCTAGCAACCGCCTTCATCACCTTCCATCATCCTAATCACCTTTCTTTCACAAGTGGGGTATTACTTATTTACACACTACTCATTTACATTGATTATGAATAAAAACTATATTTTAAGTTTATTGCAAAATATACAAATATTTCAGTATTTTGAGAGTGTAGAGAGAACAACACGATTACATAATTCGCAGCGCTTCAGTGGGCGGAGCTTACGAGCTATTTTGGCACATGTTGCTTTTTTGACTCTCTGATCTGTTTCATTTTCTGTAGAGCATCATGGGTAATGTAGTTTTTTAAACCAGGAATGCCACTGTTAACATGATTATTTTAAAAATGAGCTGAGACGCTAACCCTAACCCTTCAGCAGAAGCAAATACCATGGATTAGCAACCTCGTAGCTCACAGTAGGTCTGTCTTTAAAGGTTTATAAGTTATCGTTCAAAATCCATTTTCTTATAGAGAAAATGATTGGAGTTTTTAATTCCAGAACCCAACATGGTATGGATCTATATCAGGCATAACATACTTCCTTTAGATTGCTTGTTTAGCTTGTGTTTTATCAGTCAGTTTTTTTTGTCACATTAGCATTTTCAAGGACACAGTTCATTCATTGCATTGTACAGTTTCTAATGCACTTTTTTAACATGATGTTTGTAACATGGCTATATTTGCAGTTCTGTACATACGGAATCTGGGAGTTTTGTTCGACCCCACGCTCTGCTTTCACTCACACATTAGTCAGACTGTCAAATCCTGCTTCTTCCACCTGCGGAATATTGCTCGTATTCGCCCCTCTCTTACCTTTACAGATGCGGAAACTGTTATTCATGCTTTTATCACTTCCAGATTGGACTTCTGTAATTCATTATACAGCGGTCTCCAAATGGTTCAAAACTCGGCTGCACTCACCCTCACATATAATAAAAAATCTGCTCACATCACTCCTATCCTTCACCAACTGCACTGGCTTCCTGTCATACACCGCATCCAATTTAAACTGTTAATCCTAATATTTAAAGCCCTACATGGCCCGGCACCCAAATACCTTGTTGACTTGGTACAGCCATACGTTCCAACTCGGGCCCTCAGATCTAGCACGGAAAACCTTCTCGTGGTACCCCGGGTCAGACTCTCCACGGTGGGCGGTAGGGCTTTTAATGTTGCTGGCCCTACGCTCTGGAATAAGCTGCCCCCGAATCTTCGTGCGAACGACAACATCCGGTCCTTCAAAAAACATCTGAAAACTCATTTCTTCAAGCTTGCCCAATAAATCATTATCCTCATCACTGTTTTCTCTGTTCTACACTTTTCCAACTCTACCTGCTACATACTTTGTCATAATAGCATATTTTTGATAAATAATGCAATATCTCTATCTTTTCATTCAAACCAGTGTATGCTTGTTTCCAACTGTTCTGTCTCTCGTAAGCCGATGGCCTTTGTATTTGTTCGCTTGTTGTTTGTTTGCTATTTGTTTGTTATTTGTATTACATTGTGAAGCGACCTTGGGTTCTTGAAAGGCGCTATAGAAAATAAACATATTATTATTATTATTATTATTGTATAAACCATGTTTAATTTATTACAGCAGCTACTGTATATATCTTATAATTTAGTGAAATATAAGAACTAATGTCTTCATTTTACCCCAGTCAACGCTGAATTGGTTGTTCTTCTCAGTTTTACAGTAAGCTGCAGTTGGTGAGGTCTGAGATTGGCGATATCATCAATGAACATGTCACAATGAGGCAGGAACTGGAGCAGACAATGAATGAGCTGACTAGAGAGATGAAATTCAAGTACGTCCCACCTGTCCTCAGTTTTGTCCTGAAATAAACTACAAAAAAGATAAAGCTCCTCTCCTGATGGTTTCGATTTTGTCACTTGTCTCTTCGAATTTTTCCCAGAAATCTGATCATTGAGAACTTCATTCCTCCTGAGGAAAAGAATAAGATCATAAATCGTCTCCACTTTGATAGCGAGGAAGACCAGTGGAAAGTCTTACCTCTTTTCCCCTCAGAAAAGTAAGTGAAAGAGCAACATTGTTCCAAACATTACAGGACCACGAGGATGATATTCTTATCTTATGATGTTGTGTTTTCTCTCATTCTCCAGTAACTCCCCTCTTGTTCGACGAAGGCCAACTTCTGTAGTGGGATACAAGAGACCAATTAGTCAGTATGCTCAAGTTGCCGTGGCAACCGGGTCTCCTTCTAGATATAGGGTTGGTATTATACAGAGCAACATTTTTAAAACGTTCAATCATTATGAAATAAAATACTAGCATTTTATGGTAATAAAAATATTTTAGTGAATTTAAAAAAGACATTACCAATCAAAAGTTTGGGGTCAGTAAATGTTTTAATGTTTTTCTTATCCTCATCAAGGCTGCATATACTTGATCAAAGTAAAAACAGTAATATTGTGAGGTATTATTACAATTTGAAATAACTGTTTTCTATTTATTATTCCTGTGATGGCAAAGCTGAGCACAGTGTCACGTAATCCTTCAGAAATCATTCTAATATGCTGATTTGGTGCTCAAAACATTTCTTAATATTATGGAAACCGTGATACATTATTTTTTCAGGATTCTTTGATGAATAGAAAGTTCAAAAGAACAGCATTTATTTGAAATGGAACTCTTTTGTAACATGATTGATAAATGTCTTTACTGTCACTGTTGATCAATAAAAAATACAAATGTACGGAACCTAAACTTCTGAACTGTAGTGTATATTAATTTGACTAAAAAAATCTTTTGTTGGCACAGGCTGAGAACATCATGCTTCTGGAGCTGGACATTTCTCCACCCACCATGGTGCCCTTGGATCTTCAGAGGTCAGATATAAGAACCCAAGACTTGATTCGTGACTTTGTCCATTATAGAAAGAAGTCGACTGCATCACGGGTCATGAAAGCTAGATCGTGGTGAGTACCCTGCCTGCATATATTCATAATTATTCAGCTGCTACACAGAAAGCTAAAATTAATTGTCCACATTTAAACCATGCTCTTTTCTTCCTCCTCAAGGTACCAAGGGCCAAGTCAGTCTGCTTCTTCATCAACCAGCTCTGGGGACTATGGGCCCCAATGCCCACCCTCAGCAATGGGAGCTTGTGCAGCAACATACCAACCATGAGCCTGTACAGTGTATTACGCCTGCAAGCATAGAAAGCACACTTAATTATTCTTTGCACTGTTTTCATGAGCTTTAAGCAATGACATTTGTCGGTTTCATCATCTTAAACGGTTAGTTCACCCAAAAATGAAAATTCTGTCATCGTTTACTCATGCTGATCCAAACCCGTAAGACTTTCGTTCATCTTCAGAACACAAATGAAGATCTTTTTAATGAAATCTGAGAGCTTTCTGTCCCTCCATTGACAGCCTACGCAACTACCACTCTCAAGCCCTAGAAAGGTAGTAAAGGCATCATAAAAGTAATTCATGTGACCCAAGTGTTTTAACCTAAATTTTATGAAGCAATGCGAGTGCTTTGTTTGCACAAAAAAAAACATAATTTACCACTTTATTTACAAAATATTCATCTCCAACACCCATTCACAAGAGTTGTGTTGACGAGCAGACGTTGTGTGAACGTGTGTTGGAGATTAATATTTGTATAATAATGGTAAATTATGTTTTTTGCACACGCATTCACGTCTCGTCATAATGTCATGAAACTGCACAAGGAACATGGACAGAGGTGATCCAAACGCAGGCTTTAATGAGAGGAAGATCCAGGGACAGGTACAGGGAAACATGCAGATACAGGCAGGGAGTCCAGGAACCGTGAAACTAGGAAACACTAATGCCGAGTTCAGACTGCACGATTTTAGCCCCGATTTTGGCTCGCCGACAGGTTTTGAGAAATCGCCGACAAATGTCCGAAATCACAGGCAAATCGGTGCTCGTTCACGCGAATGACAATCACGCAGTGTGAATGAGCAAAGACGCGATCTGAGAGAATCGCCGACAAGTCGCCGACGCCCGTGAGATATTTGGCATGCTAAATATCTGGACCTGTCGGCGATTCACAATCCTGCTGTGTGAATGTGTTCTGACTGAAAACTACATCGGCGATGACCTAATATTGGGAGTTATAGACCAGAATATTAGTATTTTAGGCCTATATTAACAATTATATCAAACAGAAACAAAGCACAAACGTTTGCATGACCAGCAGCAACAGCAGGACATTTGCAAAATTATTTATTTACCCCCAACTCTCTTTGCAAAACACAGTCCTTGCTCCCCTCGTCTTCCCAACCATTTCCTGCATAAACTGTTTTTTTCTTTTCTTTTTCATTTTCGCTACAAATCAGTGCACATACAATTTGTAGGCTATCATTTTTAATAACAAATTCAGTGTCGCGCGAGAACTCCGGTCTCACGCACGCGTGACCTTCCGTTATTTCCTATCACTTCTCGCGTTTGTTTGGTTGTGAAACGTAGTTTGCGGACCAGGCAGAAGTTGTCGGCTTTTTTTTCTTTTGTAAAGTCATGCAGTGTGAAACCTCCTGTCGACGATCCATCGTGCAGTGTGAACACAGCAGCAACGGAATGTTACCCCAGATAGTCATGCAGTGTGAAAACAACAGTGACCCGATTATTTTGAAAATCGTGCAGTCTGAACTCGGCATAAAGGAAACAATAAATTAGGAAAGAGTGCCCCCGAGCGGCTCAAGCAGGCACTCCAGCCGCAGATCGTCACACATAAAATTTCTTAATTCAAATGGATTAGTTTTACGATCTCTTTATGAACTTTTTGAAGCGTCAAAGTGGTAGTTGCATAGCTGTCAATGGAGGGACGGAAAGCTCTTAAGTTAAGTTTCATCATAAAGATGAAAGGGTTTGTAAGTGAGTAAATTATTTTTGGGTGAACTAACCCTTTAATTTGTTAGCATCAAAGCTTAGTTATTTTAAGCACAATTGTCTCCTGTATACTTGAAAAAAGCTAGTGTATCCTCTTTAAGCTTGTGATGTCATTCTTAAACAGAAATGCAAACAATAAATGTATCATAATCAACGGGTCTTTCAATATTTATCACATAACAAGTATCGATTAGAAGTAGCTGAGGTCTTATAGTACGAAGACATGCAGAAATAAGTATAAATAAAACCCTGAACTGTACAAACCTGAATATCAAACCATGACTCCATATGAAAAGAAAAACAAAAGAAAAGGCACAAAAGGGGTTTGATTAATAAGACCATTATACCATAGCTCATATGACTGTATATTACAGCTCTGGGAGGTTAATCACAAGTTTAGATTATAGGCAAAAGAGCAAGTGTTAACCTTTTTCACACATGCTTACCGTATGTATTATGTGATTTTGTACACTTAAGGTGAACATGAAATCAAAACTGACCTTGTTTACTTTATTAATACATGTTTATGTTCATGTTCTTATAGTGATGAAACAGGAAAAAAAAGGTTAGCTTGACAATCGTAAACTTAAACGTTTAAGAATTTAATTGCATTAGAACAAAATATCAAACCAAATAACAACTCTAAACAAATGCTAAACCTCTTATCAAAACTAATTTCACTTTTCATAGCTTATATATTTATATTAGCAAATTTATGATTACCCAACTGGTCCTGGGATTTTTTTAGTCAGTTACCCTCAAGTTCACAACATGATGTCACTACGTAATAACCACAGGTGCAGTTTATTACATTAAAGGTGTTCATTATATGTTTGTGTTTATGTTTCATGGGGGCCATATACTCAAAAGACAGGAATGGAAGTGTATGTATTCAATATAAGTTAATTTATGTTCTCCAGCTTGCACAGTGGTGTTTTCTGCTGTTCAATTTGTTTTTGCTTTTGCACCTGTCGCTGGTGAAAGTCTGTTGGTCCCTTTCGTCTTTGGGAATGAGAACTCGATGTCTATTTTCTCCCAAAAACAAGCTGAAACATGGACTCATCCGACCACAGCAGACATTTCCACTTTCTTCTAGACCATCTGAGATGAGCTCAGGCCCAGAGAACTCACCAGCATCTCCACATAGAACTGATGTAAAGCTTTCTCCTTGCGTAACAGAGATTCAAGTGGCATTTCTTGATGCAGCGTCAGACTGTGTTCAGTGAAAATGATTTTCCAAATTACTCCTGTCCTGAGCACAAGTGGCTGTATTTGACAGAGTAGCATGATGGTATCTTGTGCAATGCCATCTGAGGGCTCAAAGGTCACGTACATTCAACAGGTCTACTGCCAACACAGACTGAGATTTCTCTGGATTCCCTGAATCTTGTGACAATATTATGTATGGAAGATGATGAAAGGCATAAATGCTTTGCAATCTTGCATTGAGAAATGTGATTTTTTAATTGTTTGAAAATTCTCTCAAGATATTTGGCACAAAGTGATGAGCCATCATGACCCATCTTTGCTTTAAAAGACTGAGAAGCACTTTTAGACCCAAACATGATACCCTCAAATATTACCAATTCACCTGCTCATTGTGGACTGTTTCAAAATAGTTGGATAATCTAATTTGGATAATCTTTTCACTTTTATTTGGTCTCTGTCCCAACTTTTTTTGGGGTGTGTTGCAGCCATTAAAATCAAAATGTGTTCATATTTACAAAATACAATTATGTTGGTCAAAATACAAAAACGTTTCTTTGTACTTTTGTCAGCTAATAAAATGTTAAATAGAATGAACAAATCACAGATTCTTGATTTTATTGCATTTTACAAAATGTCCCAACTTTTTCTGATTTGAGGTTGTAGTTCTCTTGAAACTCAGGTTAGTGTTTGTGTAAAAACAACAATGCTTAATTCACTGTCAATACATTAAAATAAATGGTCTCAATTAATCTCACATTTAGAATTTCCAGCAATTTGCCTGAAATATATGTTCATTTGTCCATTAATTTTTAAGCATTTGGGTAGTTTCTGCTTTATGAAAACACGTAACATGGCTGGTCATGTGGTGTCAACATGGCACCGCCCATCAGGGGGCGACCTGCACCAATGTATTTATTTATTTTTTATTTGTAGAATTTTTTTAAGACTAATATGAGTTGAGTATTCATATCTCTCGATGTTTGCCAATATCATTTTACTCGTACTTATTCAAAAATGCTATTTAATGTGTAAAAACCTATTTGCTCGCAAAAACTGCACATTGGCTTTAATCTTAAACATCACTACAAGAAAGTGTCCAAATAGTTTTTTCCCCCTATTGCAGTGTATCTGTTGTTTTATAATTTGTACCCTCACAAACTAGTTTTTGTGAAAGGTTTGCTTAAAACGTATGCTTGATGTTTTTGTTACAAAAATAACTGCCACTTGCTTTATTTTGTTATTTAGTGAAATTACAGCATGTACATTATAAAGTGAAGTTTAAAAATAGATTTTATAAATACATAGGCTAACCTTTAAATATATTTTCCTTCTGTTGACCACTGTAATCTAACATGTGAAAATAAAGCTTTGTTGTAAACCCATGATGATATAGCATCTGCTAAATGCCTTGAATGTAATTTAACCGGTATGAAAGCTTAAAATGTATACTATGTTCAAGCGTGTGTGTTTGTTTGGAGTTTGAAACGTTTATACAAATGAAAACAATGGAGAGAGAGTACTAGCCTTAGGTAGGTGGTTTCCCCTGAACTGTCATCGTACAGTAAGATGACGTTTCCCAGAGGGTCACATGATTTGTCTCTTACAGTAAAAACCCAATATGGCAGAGATGGCAGGTCTTGCACGGTAACTAAAGCAACATCAACACTTTCTACAGCACCCTGGTCGATTTTTCGCGACCGACCGCCGACATGAGGGAGAGACAGAAGAAGAAAAAGGGGAGGACGTGGGCAGAGGCCGCCAAAACGGTAAAACAGAAGACTTCTTGAAAGCTTGTTTAGCTTGTTTTCGCCTTGTGCTCCCACTTGTACAACTGTGTTTATGAGTTCATGACCCGCTGGTGTAGGCGAAGTATTGCGTATGCATTTCGGGGCCTGGTTGTTTCGGTTGATGTTGCCAAAGTGCATTTAGATCCATACACTATAAAGCATGACATAACGCATGCATGAACTGGTTTTATCCATATTTACGTAACATTTGGGAACTTTTTTGATCCGGGAAGTGATTCGATGAAACGCCTGTAGCATGACGTTCTTGTCAGTTGCTAGCAAGCGCGAGGCAGCTTAGCGCGCTTATGTAGACTAGTGACACTTCGCTGGTTAGCCAGTTAGCTTAGCTCAGCTCACCTAACCCACAAAATAACCCAGTAATTTCATTAACCTATCAAGGACACTGATATATTACTTTTTGCTTATGAATTCTTCAGTGTTTTGTGCTGTAAACGGTTAGAAACACCGCCCGCTTAAACATGTTGTGTCTTTAGAGACCGCGAGTTTGTCAAACAGAGCTTGTTTACTTTTTGACGTCGTTAAAATTGTTGTTTTGATATGGTATTTTGAATTCAGACGAACTTTCCGCATTGCTGTTGCATTTAACTTTAGACCCAGTTTGTAATATGCGAAACACTGAAACTTAACTTGTCTTCTGTGATACAAGTGTCCCTTCAGGACTTCAAACTGAAGTTTCACAGCTTTTGATTATGCACCTGTTTGTCTTCAATCGGATATTTTGGATGAATCGGTTAACGAATCTGACTGAACTATTTATTTTCGAATTAACGTTAGTCTGAATCAGTCAGCGGTTCTCGAACGAGTGGATTTGTACATCTCCAAATCGCAGTGTCCGGGTCAACAGCTCAACCAGACATTTGACCAAGAACTGTCTCTCTTTGTCCAAATGTTAATGATCGAAAGGAGTTACAGCAGAAATGCTGTAAATGCTTATGACTTGACTGGGGGTATTCCAGAAAGCAGGTTATGTGACATGCCCGGGTATGTTTAAGGGTAAGCGGATAACCGCAACTTTCAGGTCCAAAACGGAGGTAACTTTCAGGATTTGTAAAAGTAGCCAACTAGCCATAGCTACTTAGTAACGTTACTATCTTTACATAACCTGCTCCGGAGCAAGTTCTTTTCCAGGGTTAGTTTAATTCATGCGTGCCTTATTGATGATGCACCGTGGGTGTGAGAGAATGTGCACAATATTATATAGTAAGTTATATCAATGTAAAGCAATATTAAAACAAGGTGATGTTGTTTATTTTATTCTAATATATTTATATATGATAGGGTTGGGAAGTAACGGAATACATGTAACAACATTATGTAATCAGGACAGGATACAAAAACCTGGTAACTAATTAGTTACAGTTACATCAAAAAACAAAGTAATCAGATTATAGTTAGGCCAACATTTTGTAAAAAGTTGGGAATACTATCAGGATTTCGGTTTCACTTAAAACTAAATAAATTAGTATTTTGACATAATAATGCTATGTTGACTGACCGTAGTGATGTGCGGATCCAAAATAAATCAGAATAGGCTACATTACTTTCATATTGTGGTGCTTGGATTACGTTACTGAATACTTTTTTATGATGTAATTTGTAACTGTAACGGAATACATTTTTAAAATAAGTAATTGGCATCAAACAAACAATATTTTTCTTATTCACTCACAGTTAGTAAAGATTAGCCTATTAAACGAAAAGATTGAAAAATGTTTGACAGTAAGATAACCTTGCTTTCTGGAATAGCCCCTGGTTTGAAGTACAATGAACTGGGACACATGCAATTACAATAAAACCCATTTATAAAACATAAAAGCATGAAATGAAAATTCACTCTTTCTGTTTTCTAAATGCATGTTATAAATCTTATTATTCATCATTATTATTATTCTGTGACATACTTATTTAGGTGACAAATTATTATTCTGTGACATATTCTCTGGCCAACAAACAAACACGGTGTGATTATGATTCAGGCTGCATCACAAGTCAGAATTCAGATCAGGATCGGTAGCATTCAAATATTCATCTAGTTCCTTTTGCTTGAAGATCAGATTCATCACGCCGGTATGGAGCCGAAGCTGGCCATAGGGTCTGTGCGGTGGACCTGTCTGGTTCTTGTGGTCTTTGCTGAGGATCTGTGCCGATGGCTGTCATGTCGACGAGGCCTTCACAGGGGATTGTCTAGTAGACACGGTCTGTGCTGACATTCAGGGCTGCGTTTTGGTCGTGTCTAGGTGCAGGTCCACCATCTGATCTGGATATGGACCGGATCCGGCTGACTACGGTAACAGGATAAGACAGACAGACTAATATTAGCGCAGATGCCATTCTTCTTACGATGTAACAAGTACATCGGGTGTTATAGGAAGTGTTCCCGGTGCCGGTTGACGTAATTTATGCAGCCTAACAATCATTTAACTGATTTGAATAATAGAATTTGATAATGTGATAATGTGTTGTGTATGCCAGGTTAAAGAGATGTGTTTTTAGTCTAGATTTAAACTGACAGAATGTCTCTGTTTTCTGAACAAAGCTAGGAAGACTATTCCAGAGTTTGGGTGCTAAATAGGAAAGGATCTACCACCTGCAGTTTATTTTGATATTCTAGGTATTCTCTTTTTTTACCATCTACCTGCCAGGGACCACAGATGAAAATTAGCCTGTATGACTTAATCTCGCACATTTACAGGATGGACTTGATTGCTCATGTTAATTAATGTGCATTGTCCCCTTTAAAATAAAATAAAGAATAGAAAATAATTTTCAGCTGGCCAAAACTTTTAGATGAATGAAGGACTATAATGCGTGAAGAGCTCGCTCAGGTACTGAGGGGCTAAACCATTTAGTGCTTTGTAAGTAATTAGCAAGATTTTAAAATGTATGCGATGTTTAATAGGGAACCAATGCAGTGTTGACAGAATCGGGCTAGTAAGAACTCGAGCTGCTGCGTTTTGAACCAGCTGGAGTTTATTAAGCGTGCAGGGCAAACACCCAGTAGAGCATTACAATAATCTAGCCTTGAGGTCATGATGCATGAACTAACTTTTCTGCATTTGTCATTGATAGAATATGTCATAATTTAGATATTTTTAAGATGTAAAAATGCGGTTTTACAGATGCTAGAAATGTGGCTTTCAAATGAAATATTGGTATCAACGAGCACACCCAGGTTCCTAATTGACGGCGAAGACTTGACAGAGCAGCCATCAAGTGTTAGACAGTATTCTAGGTTATTGGGTTCAGAGGTTTTTGGTCCAATAATTAGAATCTCTGTTTTTTTTCGTCAGAATTAAGTAATAGGAAATTACTAGTCATCCCATTTTTTTATATCAATGATGCTGTTTAGAATGATGTTTCGTCTGGGCGCAAAGAAATATAGAGCTGAGTATCATCAGCATAACGGTAAAAACTAACGCCATGCTCCCTAATGATATCTTACAAGGGTAGCTTTTACAGAAATAAAAGCAACGGTCCTAATACTGAGCCTTGCGGTTCTCCATACTGAACTTGTGATCGATATGACACAAGTTTAGTATGAAGTACCGCATTAGATGGTCTGTTTGCGTTTCCCATACTCTCAAAATATAACCACTTTTGAATGTAGTTCAAAGTATCTCACCCAAACTAACATGTTTCTCTGACTCAATAATAAGAACTACCGGTAGGTTAGTTTCACAGAACGGCATTGTCTGCTTCACTGAGGTCAATTAATGATAGAATTCAAAAGCATTCCTGTCTAACAAACCTCCTTTTAGACTGACCATCCGTTCCATCTACTTCATTCTTTCTCTGCGGTTACTGCTATAGTGAGTCATTGCTGAATTGCTCACTTGTTCCCGTAATACTGTTCGCAGGTGCTCGAGAAGTACCCCAACACACCGATGAGTCATAAAGAGATCCTGCAAGTAATTCAGAGAGAAAGGCTTAAGGAGATAAGGTGAGGTCATTCTCCAGATGTTTGTTGAGTATTTCTTTATTAAAATAGCAATATCTTTATCAAACACACATTCTAGTTCAGATTGTGCAGGCTTCCCCTGAACTGTACCAGATCATATACCTTTTATGTTTTGTTTACTCTTTTGTTTTATTTTTCCAAAGCAAAATTTAATGTGGCAAAGTATCTAATTATCACATTTCTTTGTTTTTTTTTTTACTTCTCTGTTGTCTTCCAGAAGGTAAGATTATACAGTAGTGCACCCCCCCCCCAACTAACTTAAATCCATTAGCCAATCCCTATGCATGTTATTAACATGTCCCCATTTGACGGCATGCAAAGGGTCTCTGTAAACCCCAAGAGCGAGGACCTAATGGCCATGGCTTTGACCATAGTGCTTGTCCTCTGAAATGGCTAGTGGCTGGTTGTGCTTCTGGCAGTTTTGCTCCGTTTCAAGATGTTTCATAATGTACTGAATGCTTGTTAAGCCTCCTTAAGCTCATCATTACGATTTATTTATTCCAAAAAATTGCTTTCTAAGAAAGACAAATTATACAAAACAGAACTGTCTACAAGACAGAACTATTAAAGCATTTTTGTTAATTGGAATAAAGCTGAAATAGAATAATAAAATTAGAAATGTTGCCTTGGTTACATTAATTAAGCACTAAAAACATAAACAAAAACTCAACTGAAACCAAAACTGAAATAAAAATAAATTAAACCTAAAACGTAATATAATAAAATTGACAAAAGCATATAAAGAAATGACTAATAATTAAACGGAAATACTAATATTAAAAGGAAAACTGAAAATATAAAAATAAAAGCGAATTCAAGATATTAATAAACTATAATAGTATATACTGTAAATACTACAGAAATCACCCCCTCTCAATATCATTTCAGTGAGCAGCACTGACTCTGAGCTCCATTAAACGCCTCGATTGCAGTCTTGAGGTTTTTTTCCGATAACATGCGTCACAATATTCCTCATTTAAATAATTCCCGCCAAAATTCAAACAATACGTTTTGGCGCTTGTAAATGTGATGTCAGATCTCAGTTCAAGCGGCACGTGAACTGATCATCTGTTACTCTTTACTACTAGTTAAAGGTGCTATATGTATTTTTTAGCGGCCTCTATCGGTGATGTTTCAGATTGCAACCAATTTTTACAAGAGCGCTCGTGCTCGTACACAAGAGCGAGCACTCATGGTACCGGGACTGAGACTTTCAACACACTGGAGAAAGCATCACACAACATGCTGGAAACTCATGTAAACTCCCACTGCAACGTTACAATAATAGGCTGCTTTTATCAGCTTGACGTTGTACTAATGCCTCATGCTCGTACCATGATAACGTTACATTGACTGCATTTAGCCGGCATGTGGTGTTAGCATAAGGCATTTCACTAACTATTCGTGTATCTTTCACAATCAGCAATGTCAACAAAGGTGAATGTATAATATGATAACGAAAACGGTTAGTGACTAGACTGAACAATGTCAGTGTAACAGTAAGACAGTAGGAAGTAACATTACTGTACTGAACGTGTCTGGATATGTGTATTATAAACACTATGATAATAGTGGGATGAGTGACGTTAGACAGTAGATCTAGTACATAAAATAAAAGTTACATCCTAAAGCACCTACTTTTTGTTATCCTGGAACAGTCTTTTGTATTCATTTCTTATCTCATGTATGTTGTAGTTTACCTTGCTATTTCATTACAGTTTACCATTATTTCAGCATATCATTTATCACAATAAAAATAGCGGAGGTCTCTCCATAATTCAAACGCTCTGCCGATGTTGATCCGTGTTTTCGTCCTAAGTCGATCCGAATCACGTTTCGCCTGACGAGCTTCAGCAGATACATTTTTGTTTTGTTTTGTTTTTTATATTTTTGTGGAGTTTGTGTTGGAGTCTGTGTTGTGCTGGAGGCAGGTCGTTTTTGGGTGTTATCAGACTCCATGTCGTCAGCTGCAGTGCCGTCGCATAGACTGTATATAAAAAGGAGAGAGGCTCGGGAGCGTGCGCGCACGTCACATCCGATGGATTTCGCAGTAAATCCGACCCGGAGACTTCACATAGAAATAGGAATACTGGCCTTCAGAGGTAATAGCAAAACCCGACAAGTGGATCATTGTAATGTGTGATTACAACCCCTTCACACACAGGCAATAAAAAAAGGATTCATTTTAGAAGAAAAGTTACATATAGCACCTTTAATAGTAAATATAAACACGAATGATCAATAGGTAATTTGAAAGATACAGTATAACTTAACGAAATGTAATCAATCCGTGTTTTTTTTTTTTAGTTCGTTTTAACCTTTAATAATAATACCAGCTGACAGGGCTCTGAATGTTTGCAGCATTAGGTGATTTAAAAAAAAAAAAATTTGGAGAACAATTAACAACACTAACGTATCTACTGTACCCAATATTTATCCAAATGAATTGATATTGAATCAAGATCAGAATCAAATCACAAGAATTGAATTGAAATTGTGAAATTTGTGTCAAGCAATAATAAAAACAGTAGCATGCCAGTCACTGTACCATGTAAACATTGTGTTTACATGGTTAATAAACTTAATAAACTTATGTTTAGTTACCAAATGTTTTGACAATCACAATAAACTTATTGTGATGCAAGTGTTTTTTTTTTTTTTACACATCCCTCCAATCCCAATCCACCCATTTTGTTATGTTACATTTTCGCTGTTTACAAAGACAGGGCCTGCCCTCTTGTCTTTTTGGCTTGTTGTTTCTGAAAGCACTTTAACCCCAAGGGGGGAATCCAGATCAAATCCCAGAAGGGAATATCAAAACAAAATAAAGTTAAAACTTGTTTTGAACAATTTCTTTGTCATCTGCAGATTGATTTTAAGTAGGGAGGGAAAAAATCGTTTTAAAGGAGAACTCCGGCGCAAAATGAACCTTTGGTCTAATTACACATTGTTACCTAGTCAACCGTTATCTGAGATTTGTTTTCATGAATATCGAATGTAAATAGTTTTATCTCTAAAAACAGTTTAGCCTATAAAGCTAGTATAATGCTAGTATATTGGGCATCGAGTAATGACAAATAAAAATCGCTTGTTAATACCACTAACAAGGCTCAAAATAGCCCCACACTAGCACGGTAGCATAATGAGGGTCCCTACCTTCAAACCGAAGCATTGAGAACTTTGTCAGTGTCCAGACAGTTTAATAAGAAGATATTTAATACATACAGTCAACTTCGCGTATACAGACAGAAGCCATCTTTGAAAAGCAGTCTTTACCAGTCGATCTACGAACGCCGATCCAAGCCTGCTGTTTGCGCTCACCTTATCACAACTTATAGCTCGTTCACATCTCACCAGCGCACTTGGATCGGCGTTCGTAGATCAACTGGTAGAGACTCTTTTTCAAAGATGGCTTCTGTCTGTATACGCGAAGTTGACTGTATGTATTAAATATCTTCTTATTAAACTGTCTGGACACTGACAAAGTTCTCAATGCTTCGGTTTGAAGGTAGGGACCCTCATTATGCTACCGTGCTAGTGTGGGGCTATTTTGAGCCTTGTTAGTGGTATTAACAAGCGATTTTTATTTGTCATTACTCGATGCCCAATATACTAGCATTATACTAGCTTTATAGGCTAAACTGTTTTTAGAGATAAAACTATTTACATTCGATATTCATGAAAACAAATCTCAGATAACGGTTGACTAGGTAACAATGTGTAATTAGACCAAAGGTTCATTTTGCGCCGGAGTTCTCCTTTAAATCGTAAATCGGATTTTTGGTGAAAAAATGGGGGATTTTTTTTTTAGGCCATATAGCCCAGCCCTAGTTAGTAGTGTTGAAACTCATGGTTATGGTAAGGTGTGTGACATTTCCAAAACACACAAAGCATTTGACTAATCACAACACACTGAGCCGACAACACACTGAGTACTCCAGCCAAACAATCAGAGCTCATTGCACTTTTCAGAAGGAGGGGCTTCATAGAGACAGGTACTAAATAGAGCGTTACTGACAGGCTGGGAAAAGAGGTGCTGCAACAATGTAAAATGTGAAAAATAATGTGTTTGAATATTCAAGCATAAAAACCTATCCTAGTAGACCCCCCCCCCCCCCCCCCCCTCCAGAAAAAAATCAAGACTTTGTAAAAGGGCATAATATGGCCCTTTAATTTAAATTTATATTCAGATTCATGCACAAATATCTGTAAACCAACCACTGAACTGTGATCTTTGTTGCAGCTTTTCAGTTGTGTAAAGATGGTGACTGATTTAATTTGCTGAATATTTTTTTTAGTGGGACTTCCCCTCTTGCCTGTCTCAATGCCATGCTCCATACAAACTCACGTGGAGATGAAGGGATCTTCTACAAGGTCCCCGGTCGAATGGGAGTCTATACACTGAAGGTAATATGAATGAATGAATGAATGAGGTACTTGATTAGCGCTTTCATATGTACTACATACGGTTTACATACATTATAGGTGTATATTAATAACATGTATACCTTTAATGCACCGTAAGTTGCATTTGATAAAAGTGCCTGCCAAATGATGAATAAAAGTAAATATAAATGCCGGTTTCCTATTGCTTGTCTGTTTTCTGAAGTTACTACGGCTCTCTGTTGAATGGCATGAATATTTACTGTACCATTTGCTGTTATAATTAATTAATGCTCTGTTAATGTTAGTAAAACAAGCCACACTTGTCAATGATGTGGTTTTGTTTAATTGAAAATGTAAAAACTAGCAAATTTCTATATATTTATGCTCTACACATTCCTAATGATTTATTAAATGTATAAATTAACATTAACTGTTTGATCAGATTCAAGTGAGCTGTTTTATGAACATTAGTGTTTGGCATCTGATGAGTATGGTTTGTATTTGTATGTGAGCAGAAGGACATTGGAGATGTGATGAAGGAACTGTCAGAAGAGGATTCAGAGGACAGCAGTGATAACATGTCTGATACCCGATGCTCAGAAAATACCAGCACCACTACCTACAGCAAAGATGGACGCAGAGGAAGGTGGAAGAGGAGAGGTACCACATTTTTATGAGCTCTGAATAGCCAACTCTGAAGTGTGTCATTTCTGCACCATGAACGTTCCCCCTGTCTGTCATTGGTCAGATAGGCCTAGTTTCACTCCAGAATCATGCCACTGGATAGGCCTGTCTTGGATCACTAAAACAGAAAAATGTTTTGATATATTTCCATTTGTAGCACTTCCACCTTTATGAATTACCATACAAAAAGCTTGTTCTTGTATATTAAACTGGAATAGGACAAAGGATTTTAACCTTTAACATAAATCTACATACTTTAAATGCAACATACACTACCGTTCAAAAGTTTGGGTTCCCTAAGATTTTTAAAAATGTTTTTGAAAGAAGTCTCTTATACTCACCTAGGCTATTTGATCAAAAACAGTAATATTGTGAAATATCATTGGAATTTAAAATAACTGTTTTCTGTTATTAATATTTTACAATGTAATTTATAATATAATATTGATGACAAAGCTGAATTTTCAGCTTCATTACCCCAGTCTTCAGCGTAGCCTAATCCTTCAAAAATCATTCTAATATGCTGATTTGTTGCTCAAGAACATTTCTTATTATCAATGTTGATAACGGTTCTGACTCATATTTTGGTGGAAACCGTGAAACATTTTTTCAGAATTCTTTGATAAATAGAAAGTTCAAAAGAACAGCATTTATTTGAAAAAGAAATCTTGTGTCCTTACTTTAATGCATCCAAAGTATTATTTTTTTTTTAAATGGTTTACTGATCCCAAACTTTTTAATGGTAGTGTACATGTAAATATTTATTTACAAATATATTCAAATATAAATGCTCTACTGCTAACATACTGTACAGGATGAGCAGGTCAGAAATGATTGTTAAACAAAGGCAGGGAAAAGGCCATTTCCTTTAATAAATAAACAGCCATATATTGCATTTTAATAAAAGCTGCAGAGGAGAGGCTTTCAGTGTAAGAATGAGCACACAAAAGCATGTTAACCAGACTAGCATGCTAAGCTAGATTAATGCTAATGTAGCTTATGGTTAGCCTGATAGCTGAAGAGCCACATTAGAAAGAATGGCATCTGGTTAGCATGCTAACCAATTATTATGCTAAGCTAACTAGCATAAGGTTACAAATACAGGCAAGGTCAACTTTGGAGACGAATATCTCGGGAACGGTAGCGAATATCAAAAATCCATTCAGTCATTTATGTGCGGCTCGGCCCAAAGATCATCTGATCAAATTTTGGGCCAAATTTAGCAAGATGTGAAGGAGGAGTAGCGAAAAAACTGTACTTTTCAAAATGGCCACTACTATAATGGGCGGAGTCTTAATGTAAGATATTGATTGTGATCACCATAACGAGTGGAATCAGGTGTACTAAGTTTAATTTTTCTAGATTAAAGGGTTCAAAAGTTATAACCATTTCAATGTTTAAATTTTGAACTGGGGGTGGCGCTATAGAGTTGGTCCTAGAGACTCAAAAATTAGTCCAATTACTATTCATTACCATCACTACAATTGTGCCAAATTTCATAATTTTCCTATGTTCCGTTGATAGGGCTGCCATTGACTCCCATTCGGGAAAAATAATAAGAAAACTAACAGATACAATAGGGGCTGTCCCCTTCGGGGCTTGGCCCCTAATAATAATAATAATTTTAAACAGCATTTACACTCAACAAAAAAACCTGTCAGTAGATTTTGAAACTGACACCAGGTTGCTAAAATATATCGGTCTGACATTTATATTTTAAAGATTTGAAAAAATATAAAATTGTAGTTAAATTTGTACAGTAAATTTGTGTATGTATAAATGGTTTACTGCATGTAAATGTATCAGTAACCTATGGTCCCATGATCACTGTTAGATATCAAGACTCATGTGTTATGGGATGTAGATGAATATGTAGATGACATTCTGAACCATGAATGTGTAATACGCTGATTTTGATATATGTGTAAATGACCTTACAATGTAGGTTTGCTCCTTTCAAGTCAAAATATTCTTTGAATGCAAAACACCCTTTAAACAGGAAATTCTACTTTTTTTCTCTTTCTTTTTTTTTTGCTAGATTGATACCACTTCCTCATATATTTGAGAGCTACGAAGTTATCTAGACAAACACAGGCTTTACCTCAAGCTGTCTTGTAGAAACTTTAAAAAGTATTTGAGAATAATGCACTCTAATAGAGCGAATTCCTGTAGAACCAAGTACTGTAAGTAACACTTTTTAATCTTAATATGCTGATGAAACTTTAATGTTGTGAATTGAGAAGATGAGGATTGTTGTGTCAGAGAGAGAGAGAAACTAACTCAGCAAAGACCAGGAAATAATTACCGCAGCAGTAGCATATAATTCATGAGAGTTAGTTTGATCAAGTATTTTTTGAAAACACTCATCTTTTTATAAATGTGCTTTAGTTGACTCTATGGATCTATTAGTCAAAGTGAACGTTTATTTATATTACACCATTTATAATATTACAGTGAAATTTTTATTTTTATTTTTTGGGGGTTCGGTTCTGACTTTTACTTTGACTTTCTGACCAGTACTTTGTTGCCACTACATCTTACTTTGCTGAAAATATTTGTATGCCTTGCCGACTTAAACATTAGTTTTTTTGTGATGTTTGAGAAGTTTTTGTTGTTGAGAATTCTGCTGATTTAAATGTGTCACAAGGTCAAGTTATCTAGCTGGCTGGATAGATGACTTGTGAGAATGACTTGTGATAGTCTTGGAAAAAATTAGGAAGGAAAGATTGCAGTTGGCATTTATAAACAAATCATCACACAGTATGTATTTGTTTTCCAGCAAAAGTGTATTAATGAATTTATAGCGGTCATGGAAAAGCAGTGTTTACTGCAAGATAACAACTCAACTTATAATGAAAAATATATATTATAATAATTCTGACATTTTTAAAAGTAATAATTTACTTATAGTGTACCTTTCGTGTACTTTTCGATGTATTTGCAAACTTGTGTATTTGTTTTAAAATGACCTTGAATGAGTTGTCATAGAGTGAAATTAAGTTTTTGCATTTGCCTGTTTATTTGTGTTTGTGGTACAGATGTCCAAATATGCCCAATGTATTGCTTTCCAATCATTCGCAGTGCCAACAAAACTGCAGTCTCAGCCGTCCTCCCCACAGTCTCGCTGTTCGTCTCCGTCAGTCTCCAGCAGCAAACTCATGTCCCCATCACAGAAACACAGCAAGAAGGCCCTCAAACAGGTGCTGCCATTTACATCTCTTATTACTGGTTATCTCTCAAGTTATAAATAACAATTGCTGCAAATAACATAGGGGGTCTTATTTTCATGGTATTTTTTATGTTACGATAACGGTATATCACATTATGTTAATTTTCGCTTGAAATCAACATAAAAATGCTTTATATATTGAATAACCATGTGGTAATGCCTATTTGGATAATTAATTAAAAATAAATTAGAAGTACTTTATATATATATATATATATATATTTTTTTTAATTTCAACTTAATTGTTGGAAAACCGAAGAAAATTCATTAAAAGGTAAACTATATAAACCCACTATGATATTAACCACTGCTCACTGGTTTAAACCTTATGCTGTTGAGGGACCCTCTATGCTCTTTGTTGGCAACACAGAAATAACTTATGTTCGGTAATCTGTGGGTTTATGGACATTCTCCATTTCTTCATTTATAGGCACTGAAACAGCAGCAGCAGAGGAATCAACGCCGGCAATGTGGAATCCCCAACGCCTCAAGCCCACGGCTGCTCCTCAAGACCGTCAAAGACATGGCTCGTGACTCCTCCAAATCCTGTACATACTGTTTTTGTTACTACAGCATTTTTACAGTTTCACTAGGCACCTAGGCAGTAGGCACTATTTTTCATTGTGAATTTTACCTTTCTGATTGTGATGTAATGGTGATGATACACAGGGCAACTTTTTGAGCAATGTTGCTGGACAATGTTGCCGTCAATGGGCAACCAGATGAGACACAGGGCCCACGACTGATCTAAATTATCCAGATAGAAATGTATTGCCCATTTTCAATGGGAAAGTACCCAAGCAACAATCGCTCGGCAAGATTGCCCAGCAACATTGCTCAAAAAGTTGCCCTGTGTATCATCACCTTGAGAAATAAAAGCATGTTCTTCAGGTGTGTCCAAACCTTTGATGGTGCTATATATTTTTGTAAATGCAAAAGAGATATAAAACCGTATGTCTGTTTGCTGTAGCCTGGGAGCTGAAACAGACAGAGTGCCGCCCTGCCAGTCCACAGAACTCTACCTCCAGCTCGTCCTCCTCTGTCAAAGCAGATGTGTGCCACGCGGCTGGTGCCCGAAAGGTGTCTCAGCGCTCCAGTCGGCTCAGTGCCAGTGAGTATCGTCACAGATTGATGTAATTTGTGTCAGCACATGAGATGCTGTAACTGATCCCGCCGCTTTGGCTTTTCAGGACAACTGAGGCGTACCAAGTGTGAGATAGATGTTGAGACACCAGATTCCATCCTTGTCAACACCAACTTGCGAGCACTAATCAACAAGCACACATTCTCACTGTTGCCTACAGAGTGTCAACAGAAGCTTCTTAAGATGCTCCCAGATGTTGACCAGCAGGTAGTGAAATGCAGAAGAACCCTGCTGTGTTCAACATACAGTATGATTTTGTGGATCATGAATCACTGATTGTTATTGATGAACCAATTATGGTGCTGAGTGGTCACTCTTTGTTGCAGGTTAGTATAGATGGAGCATTGAAGGTGACCAGCTCTGCCTTGAACAATGAATTCTTCACATCAGCAGCACAATCTTGGAAGGAGAGGTTGTCAGAGGGTCAGTTATTGTCCTTGTGTCTTAAACGTGTACTAAGTACATTTTTGATACAATTTCATTGCCTGATACATCATTGGTCTTGACATTTTTTTACTCTCAGTGTGGATACAGCATCACACAGAAGCAAATGTTTTTAGTCACAATTATAGAAATACCCTATTTGGAGGTATTCTTTTCACTCCCATTTAATTTATTCCACACCACAACCGAAAGTGTCCAGCAAATGAGTGGTTATCGAGATAAAATAAGTAGTATTTGACAAGTCATGTGATCTCAACATGGCAGCCCCCATAAGGAGGCAATATCAAAGGAGACTTAATTTAACGTGAATGTACTTACTCTTAAGCATTTTTCAAAACACATATAAAAAAAGTAAAACTATTTAGGAGTAAACCATTTTACAGAGGAAAAAGTTGCTTGGTGCTAGTTTAAAAAAAAAGTTACTTGGTAACTTGTAATAAGCAGGTTTATCTGCAATATTTGTATGTGGCTTATGCATAACTGTGTTCTCAGGTGAGTTTACCCCAGAGCTGAGACTGAGGATGCGGCAAGAAATTGAGAAGGAAAAGAAGGTGGAACTTTGGAAAGAGCATTTCTTTGAGAGCTACTATGGTGAACAGTAAGTCAGCCACCACACCTTATGGAAATACTGAAAAAAGAAAATCTGAAAAAATCTGAAGGTCAGGGGGTGTACAATTCTGTTACTGAAATATTGCCACTTGATGGTCTGTCACACTCACTGAATTAAGTGCCTCTGACATACCGTATATCATGCACTTAAAAAAAAAAAAATACGGTAAAAAAAACGGCAGCTGTGGTTGCCAGAAATGTACTGTAAAAAAATCCGGTAGCAACACTTTAGGTTTTACAGATTTACCTAAAATTTACCAAATTTACAGTTAAAGAAAAAAAAAATATATATATAATGTTAATATACCAACCTATTGAAGTACTAATATCTGTTTTGTACCTTTTGTAATACACTGACAACCACCAAAAACAGGTGGTGATGAGAATGTAACATGATGAATCAAAGCTCATCACAAGCAGCTTTTCCACAAGCTAAGAAGGTAAATACTAATAAATATAAAAGGTGCACAGTGTCGTTCACATAAGCACAAAACACCATCATGGTAACACGTGACACTAAAGTAATGCAATAAACATTAATTCAACAACGTTAGATATAACTTAAAACCCTAATATACATAACTGATTATAAAAACCTAAGACATACACTAGTTATTTCAACAAAAATACATCATATGTGAAGTGTCACGCAGGGAATCCGTCAATTAACGTTTTTTCACTGTAAATTATACAATGACTTGTTCTTTTTCACTTCCAAAAACTGTAAATTTAACAGTATTTTACAGGTTAGATATATTACAGTTATTCACTGTATATTATAAGGAAAACCTTTACAGTTTAAAGATAATTCTTTACAGTGTGATTCCTGTCATGAAGTTCTATGCCTTATTTTGGTATCCAATCAATGTGAGGCCGGAAAATTGAGTAGTGGGTCATTAGTTTAATGTATGACCTGAAGATTAAAAAACACCTGTGATGTTTTGTTTTTGATATTCTTTTTGCTAATCTTCAGTCTTTTCTTGCTTTTCAGTTCTGGACTGAGTATAGAGGAATCCAAAGAGCTGACAGAATCCATGGACATTCCTGAACCAGCTAAAAGCTCAGTCCTATCAGTAAAGCCAGAGATTGTCAAAGAGTCTCAGAAGATAAACCCTGTGACAGAGGTCATCCACATGGAGTTAAGATCCAGAGATGTGAAATCAACAGTAACGCATGCCTCCCCTGAAGAGCCAGTCAAACCTCCTGCTTCAGAGCAATCACGTTTATCTTTAGACATAAGGAAGGATACACAGGAAGAATTGATTTCAGAGTCCTCTGTTCAAAAAGCAGTGGATCCCAAACCTTGCAGTGAGAAAACGCTGGAGATTAAGATCACATGTAAGCCCCCAGCATCTCCTTTGGAAGCGGTAGTCACCTGTTTGAAAGGAAAGGAGACACAGACCACTAAAGAGGAAAGTCCTGTGGGTGATGCTGAACAGATAACGGAGAGCGATAAGGTTGGATCTCCAATAACTGCTGTCACATCTGAGCCTCTGAAGAGAAAATTCTCTACTGAACTGGATACAGAGCTAAGGACAGAGAAGAAGCCCCGTGTCTCTTCATCAGAAACGTCATCCACTGTGACAGATAAAGAAAAAGTAGAACAGAGAGTACCTCCTCTCAAAGTAAGTTTTAGGTTTATTTCTTTTGAAAAAAAAAGAAAAACCACACTAAATTCACCCTAAGTATTAAACTGCAGTGTCTTACACCCTGTTTACACCAGATGAGAGTGATGATGCAAAGCATCAAAAGCCAGTAGAACCCATTATAATCATTGATACTGTCTACACTATAAGGTGCAATGTGATGAGTTACTGACAGCTTTAAGCAGTTGACAAGGGTCACGCCCAGTGTATACATAAGTGTCATTTGTGCTACTTTATTTGCAACTCATATTGTGTGTGTGACTTGTTGAGGAGAGATTTTCAAAGCAACACTCCTGCAACTGCCTTGGAATGCACTAGCATCTATCGAGAACACTCTAGCAATAATAACAGCATGCTAAAACCGGTTCAGAACCATTTAGCAACCACAATAGCAATGTCCTGGCAACCACCCACAACACCCTCTTATGGTGGTATGGAGTTTTTCCACAGAAAGAACTTTTTTGACATTAACCCTTTAGAACCGGCTGTGTCGTCGCCGACACAGACCAGCATGCTGTATTCATTGTACCGTAACTCTTCAACCGTTTGCACTATCAAAACCATTCAAATTGCCCGACCGTAGACAACATGCGCTTTTCGGCAATATACGGCTTATTACGGTAATTCCGTCAGCAAATGACAGCAGCTTTGAGCGGGAAGGAAGGATTTGAACAGAGATACGAAGCGCGGCAGGTTAGAGTGTTTTGGATTGCATAAAATAGTAAAAGAAACTTACAAATACATCGCGAAAGAAGTGGTAGACAGCAGAAGAGGGGATTGGGATGATTTTTAATTAAACTTGGGAGGCGGATGGCCGTTACTCTTTCACGTATCTATGCATGTGTATGTGTGCGTGCCTATGAATGGACGCATTTGTATGTGTGCGTGTATGAAAAAAAGTGTCCTAAATGAAAACTTTGCAACCCAATGTCACAAAAAAGACTTGTATCTGATGTATTATACTTCATTTTTCAACTTTAAAGTGTTAGTTCCTTTCGTTTGTGATTTTCCTTTTTTTTTCTAAATAAAAATCAGAAAATGTATTCTCGTTTTTAATTTTTTTGTCTTTTTAAATTCTATTTACAAACTCACCACACGCAATAATGGTCAATAACTGTAATTTGTTGAAAGCTTATCTTTTTCTGAAAAAGATGACACCTTGCACATCAGGTTAGCACATTATTTTAGAATTTTACAGTCAAAAAATCAAAATGTGTGAAAAACACCTATTTTAGCTTCAGGTTCTAAAGGGTTAAATGTTTACTTTAGTGGAATTTTGGCTCTGATAGTAACACTTAAAACTCTCTCTTTGCAGATCCCAGTGTCAAGAATTCTCTCTGCCCCTGCCTCTATTGGGCAGGTATCTCCAAGGACTCCTGTTCCCTTGACACCCCCTAGCATTCGGCCTGGTCGCACCGGTGCACGCACTCTAGCTGACATCAAGGCAAAAGCCCAGTTAGCCCGTGCACAGCGTGCTGCTGCAGCAGCAGCCGGGTCATCTTCCTCGAGAGGAACCGGCTCAGTTGGAAGTACCTCAACACCCTCTCCAGCTCGGTCCCTGTCTGAAGATTTTTCACCAGCAAGCAGCAGAAGTCAATCTGTGTCGCCTATAAAGCTAAGCTCTGAATCTCCGGCCCCTGAAGGCACAGTGACTCTCTCACAAACCTCTCCTTCCTCAGGTTTTACTGGACACACAGACCCCGGTTTTGTACTGGACTTCACTGCACAGGGTTTTTTAAAAGAAAATCGCTCTTTGATGGGGTCGCAAACCACTCAGTGCGCATTGAACCCAACGGGCAAGGATCAACGTAACCTCCTCAGTCCTGGAGGGACACCAGCACCTTCAAGTCAGGCAGGAAACTTAACTGTGTCAAACACAATTGCACAAAACCAGAGACAACAGCAGACACCTTTTTCAGGAGCGTTAGTGACCAAACCTAGCTCTTCAATCCCAGCAAACAATCCTCTGGTCACCCAGCTTCTTCAAGGTAAAGAGGTTCCATTAGAAAAGATCCTCCCAAAGCCACTAGCCAAGGTGGAGGTTCAGTCTATGGCCATATCTGCCAAAGATAAAGGGAACCTTGGTACCACCACTGCGGGGTTTCAAAAAGATAGCTCAACAAACCAAGATGATGTCAGTAAATTGGGGAACCAAATTCCTTTTTGTTCATCTGTGATGCAAGTCAGAAGTATGGACAAGTTGGTCAAAGTTGGCACTCAGGACCAGATTCTCCATTCACTAAGGCTCAAATGTGAGCAGAAGCACACCAATTCAGACTGTCAACCCTCTCAATTTCAATCCTGTCAGTTAGGTCACATTGAGAGCAGCCTAGACCAGAGTGTCCATCTAGGAATCTTTGGACGGAAGAGGCTATCTAAGCCAGCTATGACAGGACACTACCTCCTCAATGTCTCCACATACGGTAGAGTATCCGAGAGCAGCAAACGGCCGCACCTAGCTAGTAATACAAGCTCTGCCCTTGCTAACCTGAAGAAAGAGAAAATTGAAGCAGAGGAGAGTGTGAAAGGGAAGACAGAATCACTTGCAGGGTCTCATACCACCTCTCAAGGGCACCTGAATTTCTCAAGGGTCAAAGTGGAACAGCAGGGTTGTTTCATCAATAAACCAGATGATGGTTTGGCATCCCAACCCTGTTCTGATATAAAGTCTGAATCTCCATCAGTGAGCTGTTTATCCAGCAAAGAAGGAGGCAGCACTTCTACTAGAACCAAAGAAATATGCTCAAGAACACAGCTTGACATGTGCAGCAGTATACAGGATAAAACAGAGCGATATCAGTTAAGTGACTGTCACCAACGCACGTTTTTGTCTCAGAATGGACCTCAGTATGGTGGCACTATCAGCATGTCTGTCCCTAATGCACTGAACCACAGCATGGCTGACACTCCAACTTCTCCTACTGTGTCTTGCAGTGGTGATGGTGAAACGGCTAGTGGAGGTATGATGTCTTTTTCAGTCACTGTCACTGCCATACCTGCAGGTCACCTACTGGATCAGAGCAGTCAGGGTGAGACCTCACCTGAGCAAGCCTACATAGAAACCTCTGGGATGGAGGACGTCCAATCAAAGTGCTACTGTCGGCTGAAGGCCATGATTATGTGCAAGGGATGTGGCGCATTCTGTCATGATGATTGCATTGGTCCATCCAATCTATGTGTCTCATGTTTGTTGGTACTATAATGGTCATTAAGATAAACTGCAACACGTTCATTAATTTAAAAAAACAAAACAATCACTGCAGTGAGGGTAGCAGAAATGTTACAACAGTACAGCAGTGACGCTCTCGCTGTGGGAACCTATTCATCTGTCCATTGTCATTTGAGACAGGCTGTTGTGCTGTTATTCTTTTGGGGGGAATTCACTAAGAATGAATTGCACCTGCTAATAGTGCTGCTTATTTGCACGTACATTCTGCTTTATTTTAGTGGCCGATTCAAGAAAGGAATTATGCATATCAAGTAATGTTGCTTGTAAACATGGCCAGCTACAAGTGCTGTTCTTGTAAGTCAGTTCTGAGTAGAGGTCTTCTCGGGTCCTAAAATCTGTACCCGACCCGAATCACTTCTTACCCGAACCCGACTTGCATGAATTAATTTGTTTAAAAGAAAACCCTGACCCGAGTCAGACCAGATAAAATTAGACCCGAGTCCAACCCTACAGCCTTTATTTTCATACCCGAATGTAAACGGCATTGATGTGTCACAGTCTGCAGCCCCGCAGTCAGTCAGGAAAAATGGTGTCCTGCTGACTGATTTGGCCGCGGCTCCATTACTTTTATTTATTTACTTATTTATTATTACTTTATATTATTGGTTAAACAGAAACCTAAACGTATAATACTATAAACTGTCACAAACGAAGCTTGTTAGCTTGAGAATACTTGCCCTCAAACTTGTCGACATAACTCGAAACATCCGATTTAAAGCCTTTCTCCTTGTTACTAGAGGGTGTGAGAGGTGGCACTTCAATTGACATTGTTCACCGTAATCCATGGAAGATCTTGCAAGCAGTGAGTCTAAAATCCATGCTGACGGTGCTCGTTAAAACGGTAGGCAAATATTTGGAGCAACTGTGCATAGAATCCATTGCACATAGAAGCGTCAGACAGATCTTAGAAAAAGTGAGTCTTGTCATAGAATTGTTTTAAATAATACAATTATGTTAAATACCCGACATAGTTTAAAATAATTCAGGTCTTCTCGGGTCCATTCTGAAAAAGCATATTTATTTTAAATTACCCAAGACCCGAGGCCACTAATACCGAACCCGATCCGTGTCCGAGGCACCCGTCAAAGTTTTGGACCTGTAGCGGCTCGGGTCGGACCTTGGGTTTCTGGATCCAAGTGGACCCGTGAAGACCTCTAGTTCTGAGTACTTAGTTGTGGAGAATGCAGCAGACTTCCGTGATATGGCAAGCTTTACTTGGTCTGTTCAGTATGGCTGCACTACTGAAATCCAGACACCCGTTTCAGTGCTTTAAGCGCCTGGTTAAACTGGATTGCGAATGGCTAGTAAAAAAAGATGCAGGTTTTTGCGCTCAAAAGTGGCGCGACTGTTTAGTGAATTTGCCCCATTGTGCCCCATTTCTTTACAGCACAAACACAATTAGAATAGTAGAATATGAGGCATGCAAAATGTGCAATGCCGAATAATTCTTCCTCTCATTCATTGAGCACCTTTCTTTAGACTCAAGACTCAATATTGAAAAGTGGCAATATTTAAAGCTCGTTTCGTTTCTTTAATATTTTTGTAACAATTTCAGAAATTGAAATCAATATACTACTATTTTTGTAGATGTTAAAAATTTTGACCCCCTAACCCCCCCATCCTCCCACCCCTCAGATTATGGATCTTTTACACACAATTCGCACTAGTTTGCTGGATTAGAAACATATAACATCAATATTTAGTGTTTGCTTATCCTGCTAAACTATTTTTCGGTTGGTTTCAGCCTTTGTTGTGACTCAAGCAAAGAACCACACAACTGAAATACCAATTACTTTCCAGAATTACTGTGAATATGTAAACCTAATATATTAACCTGCCTTGTTACTAGGTTTATATGGTACTGTTAAAAGTTATTTATGGGAGAGAAGGGAGTTTTGTCAAATACGTTAACAGGCTAGCACTTCTCTTACATGGGTTTCACTTAGGCAATAATGGCAATAATTTGTATATTTATAAAATTAAGAGCATTAGCCCCTTACATCATCAGAAAAAATAGGATTTATTAGGGTTGCACTTTTTTATGTTCAGAAAATGACTTTACCTTTGCTATACCTTCAAAAAATGACTTGTAAGGATAAAGAGAATTAAAGCACTTCTTAATCAGATAATCTATTGTACCCTCTCAGGAGAAAAAAAAAACAGGTCTCAATCATTTCAATAGCCTGTGTCTAATCATTTGAGTTGTTTACGTCACATGAATGACATTGCCAATAATTGGAATAGTACGTATTCCCAGTAACCTTAGTTTTTAGGGATAAACTATATGAGCAATGAAGTTAAACACTCAGAAGGGAGATTATATGAAGTTTTTTTGTTTTGTTTTATATTGTAAATACTGACTTTCTTTGAGATGTACAAACATTTTCTACAAAGCATTCTTGTATCTTGCCTACACATATCCGTTTGTCTGATTGGGTTTTTGTTTGAGAAATACTGTCCAACACAAATCATAATTTTAATCATATTGCAACATTAAATGTTGTTCAATTTCTTTCCTGAAACAATTCTGCTAAACATATACATTTTGATACCAATAGTTCTATGTACTGTATGTTAAAAAAAAAATGTCTCGTTGCATCTTTGAATTAGTCTTTTTTTTTTTTATCGTCTGCCTTCCAGGCAATAGAAAAGTAAACGAATTTTAGATAAGATTTGCTTGGTAATATACCAAAGTCAATTTATGGTAACTAGATAATCAATTTTTGTTTTTAATGTCTGCCTAGTTAAGCAAAGTAATATATTTTAAGTAATATATTTTAATAAAAAGAAGTCTATATACAAATCATTTTACGAAACATTTAAGAAACAGGGTATTTACTATATCTTTATATTGGCTGTCCCATTTTGGTATACCTTTGTCTGAACTAAGTGTACAAACTTTTTACACATTTTTTTGTACCAGGGCCCTTGTGATAGTCTTTTTGTGTGGCTAGTTTTGCCTGCAATGAATTGATGTTCCCTCACAGTTTTTTTTTTAATTGACTAATAATATCTGTGTGACACTTACAGCTCACTTTATTGATCACTCGAAGTCTAGCTTATTACAGAAAGAAAAAAATCCATCAGGTTATAGTGTTAGTGTTGTATGAATAACATTTACTAGCGTGGTGGTTGGGTTGTGCTGAATGTCTTTGGGTGTGAGATTGTTTTTCGGGTAACTGGCTTTCAATGGGAAATTATCGCTTTCATTTACATATATATACATATGCAGCATATAAACATTCAAGAGACTCATAGAATATAACTGTGATACTTCCATTTATATTAGGCCTTAGAACTGATTTGAATCTTTGATATTTGGGTTCTTGGAAATATTTTAATTGGTCAGACCTGAAAACACCAGTGGTTAACTGTCGTTGTTTATTTACTGCTTTCATTTCCTTTGATAGAGTTGCAATGCATGACTTACCACTGCCTCTGTCCCCAACCTTATATGCCTGTGACATTTTACAAAACACTTGGATTTTTAATTAATGAGTCAATGTTTTCCCCTGCGGAACCGTGAAATGATACGATTATGATTCTTAGTGCAGGAGGTGTTGGTATTCCAGAACACAATGTGTGTTATTTTTATGTTTTAAAAGTCAAATATTTTATGTAAAATAAAGGTGAATGTAAGATAGTAATTGTAATCAGCACTTGTAAGCAAAGTGTATTTTATCAAGAAACAATATGAATAAAATGCTGTAAAACAAATGCAGTGATGGGGGTGTTTTTGATGTAATTCAGCTGATTTTCAATATGGTACGGCTTTTATTGCTTTTACTACGTAATTATTAAAAATATTAAGAACACAAATTTTCACTAAAACATTATTTTAATTAGCAAATTAATTAAGTACCAGGTGAAATGGTGACCAGGTGTTTCTCTGGATTTTTAGCATTGGAACACTGAATTGACCAACCTCATCAACATTGCATGTCATCAAAACATGACATTACATAAAAGCTTCACATGCAGTTATTATGCCATTAATAATAGGCTAAATTCACTGTAAAAATGATAAAGTTGACTTAACTTAAAAAAGTGAGGAAATCTGTTGCCTTAAAATTAAATAAACTTAATGCGTAATTGAAAAAAAGGTTATGTGGAATTGTCAAGTTCACATAACTTAATTGTCTTAATACACATGAAGTTTATTTACTTATTCATTTTAAGGCAACAGGTTTCCTCATTTTTTTAAAGTTAAGTCAACTGATCACTGTTATGATTTTTACCATATTTTCCACCAAAAGAGCATCAATTTTATGCCTGGGTTAGAGGACTTTTATTCTGTTTTGTTTAGCACTATATTAAGGCCCTTTAGATATATAAACATCTTTATGTGTCTGACGTAGACATAATAAGCATACATGCAGAATACAGCTGCTCAATATTTGAGCAAGCACATTGCACACCATTGCCCATATGCATAAAACTAACGGTCGGCTAATGGCTTTGTAATAATCGTGCATATGAAGAGCAATAGTGATGCACCAGTAATGGGAAAGGCAGGAGTGCTCTGCTGTCCTCTGCTGTTGGCTGATGCTCAGAGAAGCGCTCGCGCAGCCTGTGCTGCAGTTCCTACAAGACCGAATCAAACGGAACGAACGGTAACCACGGCACAAATGTGACGATGGGGAAGCGCAGCGCTGCCAAATTGCGTATTATTAGGTCGGTGATTGTAAGTCTATATTAAAAAAACAACAAAAAAAAGTGAAACGAAAGACAGCTATGATGAAGATGATGATGATACGCCAGGAATCGAGTGCGAGACCGTTGATCGCTCTCATCAGATGCTGATGATGGTCGCGCGACCTGCGTGATTTCCTCTCGCTGGTAAGATCATCCGCTTATGATTCTTTCACATTCAGACGCAAATACAAACAGGGCACACGACCAAACGCGTCCTCAGAATATCATCTTGTGGATCTATATGTATTTATGCACCTGATAGCATCTTATTTATTTAACATTCAATACAGAGTTAAACATTTTGATATGGCAGTATGCATTATGCTTAGACGGTGTCATTGTGGGTGTATTGCTATTTTAAATAGGCTATGAGTGTTTGTACAGAGTGTATTTCCGATGGTAATGAAAAATCCTCACGTTGAGTCACGTCAAAGCGCGAGTCATTGTAGAGGTGCGGTGTATTACTTCTATCTTCTACAGTGGGCCTTACATTCACTCACTCAGTAGTAGCACTGCAAGATGCGATTAGACTAGCAAAACGGGACGGGATGATTTGAAGCCAGAAGTCATAACGTCAGCAGTGTCTTTTACGGTCAGGAATGACATAATGCTTTCTAGTGGTGTTTTTGAACGAATCGGTGCCTTTGAGCGAATCTTTTCAGTGAACGAATCCGGTTCACTTCCATGCACTGACTCATATATTTTTATTTCACTGAAGTTTCTGTCACTAAAGTCAACATGAAATCAAAATGGACAATTCTTTTTTTTTTTTAAATGGAATATTGCAATATTATAAATGATTTATCTGTGCATATCATTATTTTCTTTTTCATATCTTTAATCAAAAATAACTTTCCTTCGTCTCTTCTCTTCTCTGATGACATGTTTACTGGCGTGAGGGCGGGACAACCAGGTTGTCACTCTCATGAGATCACAGCAATAGCAAATGTAGTGTTGTCAAAAAAATATAGATTTTTCGATACATATCGATACTAAAATATATGAAACATTTCCAATACTCATTTTATACAGAATAGACACGATACCATCTGCGCTTTATTGCGCTCTCATCTCTCCGACAGCGACACACAAACCCGCCTCCCCTCACTCACTCATTTAATTTGCTCCGCATGAATATTGTTGATGTTTCAGGGCTTGAATGTTGTCGATTGTGCGTATTGCGCATAATTTTAGTCATTCCTGCAGATTTTGTGCTCACACCCAAAGTGCTCGCACGCACATAAAGCCGCCTCTCAAAACTGAAGTGAGTTCTTTTTAGCTGCTTATTGCGCTTAAACAGTCAAACACACACAAAATAATATCAAAATGCCGGTCTTGGCAAGTATTCCTGTAAACACAGTCAGTTATGTTTTACGTGAGCATAAATAGTTGAAAAAGAAAACGCATGTGTAATAATGGATCTGTGCGTCGGGTTTTAAAGTGACTGCAGCCTAATATACCTGCTGCCTAATTATCAGATAATATTAAAAATATCTATATGGCAGTTTTTCCCCATGGTATCAATGTGAAAATGCTGAGTGGCTAATTACTTTGAAAAAGCCCTGTATATAAATATATGATACATAAAGATTTGGCAGAAATAGTAGACCTAAAATAAAAAATAGAAATATGCTATTCTGAATTCAGTCGCTGTTTTGAAGACTCGCAGCTGAACAGGACAAAACATTTTGTTATGAATCAACTTGATCGTGGATGAACTGAATGAATCGCATGATTTCAGTTTTGCTCTGCAGTTTTGGGAAAAGAAATCTGCATTTTTGTCACTTTTAGAAACGCTTATATTTAAACACTCTCTTAGATTATACACATTTTTTAATTATAAAAAGTCTTGTTTACAAAGGTTGTGAACGGTTGAGTGAACGATTAATGAATCACTCACACAACTTGTAACCTGCAGAAATGGTCACTGAATTAGTGAATGAATGAGAACAAATGTTTTTGTTAAAGTTTTGAGTCAGTTGAATTAAAAAAAAAATCCCTTCCACTTTAAAAATTAAGTAAATGTGACTTGACAGCTGATGTAATGCTTTGTTGATGATGTAAGAAGAACTAGTTACATGAGAGCAATAATAACTGCATATTACTTAAATATTATATACTGTATATACACACACTGTCATTAAGTTGTTCTTGTCTCTGCACATTACTTTTATTCACCGCAAATGCTAATCTACAATATAATATAGTAATCCTTTTCACAGTCATTATAGTAAGAATTCTTCCTTCATTGCTGATGTGTTCTCTGCCTGTCACTAAAGTGGCTCCTTAGCGGCTCTTGTTTCATTAGCTCACAGGATGCAGCCTGTACACACACTATTGTCATACATAATCAGCACTTGCATAGAGGCAAGAGAACTCAAATGCCCTTTTGTGAACGGGGGATTTATTCCAGGGTTTATTTTTGTATCTGTGTGTGGGTTGGATTAGGCGGAGGGGTATTTCCCCAGATGTCAACATCAAAATGTTTTTCCTTTTGTAGGAGCTTCCTGGTTCCTTTGCATCACCTTCTCTGAGTCCCAGCCAACCTGACAGGTGAGTAATAGAGTGTTCAGGAGTTTCCATGGACTGAAGAAATACATGAGTTGGCAAAATCACAGTGACTGGCTGGTTTTTAGCAAAGTTAAAACATGTTCCTGTCCGAACAACATTCCTATCAGAAAATGTAGTGCTAACCACTGATAGAGAGCTGGGTTTCTCATGGCGTCATAAACAAAGTGAAGCCACTGTATTCCCTCACATTCTATTGAATTAATAGGAAATCATTTGATTTGAATGGGAAAACATTACCTAAAGAGTCAGCGTTTTCATATCTGAGATCTCCCGGTATATTCTTACAACGCAAACGTCCTAAACATTTGTTTAAAGCCGGGAATTTCCCCTGCTTATTAAAAGTCACGTTCATCTTCATTACAGTAGCGAATATTAGCTGACGGACGAGACACCTCAACATTTTGTATTACAAATGTCGAAATAATTCTTCTGAAATCTGGATACAGATTTATGCTTTGTAAGGCATGTGCATACAACTTAATTCGTCATGTTGGCTTCACTGTGGTTATGAAATTATTTTGTGTTATAGCTATAATATTGTTTTTATTCTTACAGTAACTAAATGATTCTACAGTGTTTTAATTAACAGCATGTATTTCGAAGCAGTAAAGATAACGACTTAAACGTTGGATAAATGAATAATTAGCTCAATAATAAATACAAATAACACTTAATTTATATGCAAACTGTCATGCTAGTAAAAAGCCATAGAATCTCAGCTGATTGGTTGATTGGAATGTTGATCCAGGAATATGAATGTGGAATATAGATTGACTCTTGCTTAAAGTCTTGATTAAAACTATTAATTTAATAGCTGTATTGCTGTTGTTTCTTTTTAGCTGTATTGACATGTCTTTGTAAATTATTTATGAAATACATTTAAAATATTTGCAGACACGTATTCAAATGCTATCTTGTGATTTTTGTTGTAAGTGTGAGTTGCGTGTTCGTAATGAGGCTGTGGTATTAAATGGACTGTTTGTGTTGTGTAGAATGATTGAAGAGGGAAGTAAAAGCAGCAAGTCCATGGTGGAGAAGAGACAGCTCTTCATGGAGATGAGTGAGTTGCTTTCAGAGTTAACAACATTTCCTGCACAATTCACCACACACACATACACAGAGGCCTTGTCGAATCCTATTCACCCTTCACTGCCACAGGGCAATAGACTGGCACAATCTAGCATCTCTGGTTGGAAGGCAAAACTGATTTTGAGAAAACACCAGAACCAGGTTGATGGACACATTAAAACTATGCAGTACAAATATTACATAGCTGCTTTATTGTATATATTCACAAAGTACGAGAGTATTTTTGTGCATATCATAGAATACACATTTCTGAAAAGATAGATCTCCCAAAAATAAAATTCTATCATTTAGTCGAACCACACCAGAGTTCGTTTGCAAGTGGACTGAGACCATTAGTCTCGGTCCGCTTGTTTGGTGCTCACCAGGGTTTGGATGGCAGTGTTCACACTTATTCGAATGAACCGCACTAACAGAGCAGTCGCACCAGTAAGACTTTCTTTCATCTTCGAAACACAAATGAAGATTATATTTTTGATGAAATCTTTCTGTCCCTCCATTGAACTCTCCAGACAGTCTCTAGGCAACTACGACTTTGACACTTTAAAAAGGGGCTTAGTCCATATTTTCTGAAGAGACTCGATCATTTTATATGATAAACAGATTAAATTTAGGTTTTTATTCACATTTAAACATTGATCGGTGAACATAAACAGAAGCTCAACCGAACCTGCTTGACGTGCGAGAACAAACCTCTTGCAGAAGCTCAAACGTGCTGCGTAACACGAGAATGAACCTCATTGGTTCTTACGGAAGGTCAAACGTGCTGTGTGTGTAACTCGAGAATGAACCTCATTGGTTCTTGCAGAAGCTCAAACGTGCAGCGTAACAAGTATGAACCTCATTGGTTCTTGCAGAATCTCAAACGTGCTGCGTAACACGAGAATGAACCTCATTGGTTCTTGCAGAATCTCAAACGTGCTGCGTAACACGAGAATGAACCTCATTGGTTCTTGCGGAAGCTCAAACGTGCTGCGTAACACGAGAATGAACCTCATTGGTTCTTGCGGAAGCTCAAACGTGCTGCGTAACACGAGAATGAACCTCATTGGTTCTTGCGGAAGCTCAAATGTGCAGCGTAACACGAGAATGAAACTCATTGGTTCTTGCAGAAGCTCAAACGTGTTGCGTAACAAGAATGAACCTCATTGGTTCTTGCAGAATCTCAAACGTGCTGCGTAACACGAGAATGAACCTCATTGGTTCTTGCGGAAGCTCAAACGTGCTGCGTAACACGAGAATGAACCTCATTGGTTCTTGCGGAAGCTCAAACGTGCTGCGTAACACGAGAATGAACCTCATTGGTTCTTGCGGAAGCTCAAATGTGCAGCGTAACACGAGAATGAAACTCATTGGTTCTTGCAGAAGCTCAAACGTGCTGCGTAACAAGAATGAACCTCATTGGTTCTCGCACATCAAGCAAACATGCTTAAGCTTCCATTTACCACAACTGATGTTTGAGTTGAATGTTTATATGTGAATAAAAGCCTAAATTCAATCTGTTCATCATATACAGCGATCGTGTCTCGTCAGAAAATTTTGACCAAACCGTTCAATTCATATGGATTAGTTTTACGATCTCTTTATAAACCTTTTGAAGAGTCAAAGTGGTTAGTTGCGTAGCTGTCAATGGAGGGACAGAAAGCTCTCAGATTTCATCTAAAAGATCTTCATTTTTGTTCTGAAGATGAACGAAAGTCTTACGGGTTTGAAACGGCATAAGGGTGAGTAATTAATGAATTTTCACTTTTGGGTGAACTATCCCTTTGGCCTTTTTTATGCCTTTATTGGATAGGACAGTGTAGAGATCAGACAGGAAAGTACGGGGTGGAGAGAAGGATACGGGATCGGCAAAGGACCTCGAGCCGGGAATTGAATGTGGGTCGCCAGAGTCACAGTTGTGCTATATATGTCCGGGCACTGCCCATGAAGTTATTGGCTCTTTGTTTGCCCCCAAATTTAGAATTAGAGTTAGAATTGGCTAACGTAACTGGTGGTGGATTTTTGTCATTTTGGAGCTTGACAGCCTGGATCCTTGTTTACTTTATTGTTATGTTCCATAAAAGAAAGAAAGTCATACAGTTTGGAACAACAAGAGGATGAGTAAATAATGACAGATTTTTAATTTGAACAAGGGACTTCTGAAAGTGACAATACTGATGCATGTAATTTTCACCAGGGGCACAAAACTTTGATGTAATTCGCCTCTCAACATATAGGACGGCGTGTAAGCTACGATTTGTCCAGAAACGATGCAACCGTAAGTCCCGTTTACAAGTTCTCTTTACTTTAAAATGCCATATTTATGTATTTTGTGATGTATGAAGTCGCTTTGGTTGTATATCAAGTACATTTGTTCTACTACGGGAAAAACAACAAAATTCTTATTTATTATTGATAATCTCATTTGTATGCTTTTCCTGTCGTAGTTCACTTGGTGGACGTGTGGAACATGATCGAAGCTTTCCGTGACAATGGGTTGAGCACATTAGACCACAACGCAGAGATTAATGTGTCACGCCTGGAGACCATTTTGTCCTCCATCTTCTACCAGCTCAACAAGCGGCTGCCCACCACCCACCAGATAAACGTGGAGCAGTCCATCGGCCTGCTGCTAAACTTCATCGTGGCTACTTATGACAGGTGTGTTGTCAGTGAGGGAGATTTGTTTTTCTCTCAGGGGGTCCCTTGTGGCAGTATGTCCCTCCAAACCTGATGGACTGTGAGTCATATGCATCGTGACAAGAGTGAATGTTTGGAAGGCATATGCTCTTTGCCAAAACATAGTGAGCGGAGGCAGGCACCGTTAACACGCTTTCCGACGTGAAGGCTGTTCCAAAAGGTAGATAGCTTAATTACTAAGATATTGCACCTCATTATGGTAACATTTAAAAGATCTGGTCACATTTACTTTTCTTGTTTTTATTTCCTCTTCATGTCATGTGAGGGGCTTTCTACTATAAATAAAAATAAAATGCTAAAATCAAAAATCAATCATTGTAAATGGTGCAGGTTGATGCCTAAATTTAGGTATCACAACATTATAATGTACAGTATGAAAAGTGGATATTTGGATAATCATTTTCACATTTGCAAGATTACATTTAACAGTGTTATTAAATGATCTCAATTAGGGTTGACAGCATTACATTTTAAAGGAACACTCCGACTTTTTGGGACTTTAGCCTATTCACCTTATCCCCCAGAGTTAGAAAAGTCCATACATACCTTTTTCATCTCCGTGCGTGCTATAAGTCTGTTTGACGCACCCACCGCTAGCCTAGCTTAGCACAAAGACTGGATGTAAATGGTTGCAGCTAGCATACTAATCCAAATAAGTGACAAAATAACGCAAACATTGTTCTATTTACATGTTGTGATTTGTATAGTCACAGAGTGTACAAAAAACAAAGTCACATGAGACACATACATATTTTAACCGTATAAATACTGGGAACTATATTCTCTGAAGGCGAAGCACTGCTACTTGGGCGGAGTGATAACCGCAGCACCTGAGACGCGCTCTTAGCTCCTCACCACGGCGCGTCTCAGGTGCTGCGGTTATCACTCCGCCCAAGTAGCAGTGCTTCGCCTTCAGAGAATATAGTCGCCTTCAGAGAATATAGTTCTCAGTATTTATACGGTTAAAATATGTCTGTGTCTCATGTGACTTTGTTTTTTGTACACTCTGTGACTATACAAATCACAACATGTAAATAAAAAAATGTTTGCGTTATTTTGTCACTTATTTGGTTTAGTATGCTAGCTGCAACCATTTACATCCAGTCTTTGTGCTAAGCTAGGCTAGCGGTGGGTGCGTCAAACAGACTTATAGCACGCACGGAGATGAAAAAGGTTATGTATGGACTTTTCTAACTCTGGGGGATAAGGTGAATAGGCTAAAGTCCCAAAAAGTCGGAGTGTTCCTTTAAATCAAATTTAAAATTTACACTAAGCACAACTAACATCTAATAAAAGTTAAAAACTGACAAACAGACATGTTTTTTTTTTAATCACACAAAAAAGTGCTGCTGCTGCATGGACTCAAATGAATTAGTGAGTCGTTTTTGAACCGGTTCATTTACATGAATCATTTAAACGAACCAATTCACTGAAATGAATCAGACTTTTCAACACTACAAATCAGCTAGAGGACATTTTAGCTTGCTTGGTTATAAAGCTGTGTGCGCCGTGATCTGACAAAAAGGGCGATGTAGCTTTTTGTCATGCTGTTGGAAAAAGTAGCTAGCAACTGAAAAAGCTCCACAATAAACAAAAAGAGCTGCTGTTAAGCTACAGAAAAATGTTGTTTGTAGCATTGCTACTTTCAGTTAGGCTACTTATACTTCCCAACACTGGACTGAAAAGTACCAATAAGGTTTTTGGCGGTGGGGTGGGCCTGTTCTAACACTATTAACATGTAGTCAAACATGTTCTGTTTGCACACATTTTTCCAAAAGATTGGATATAAAGACTAAGAAGATTGGTGTAGTCCAAACATTGACTGGAATTTAAAGAACCCCATGGCTTTGAATTGTTATTAGAATGTCTTCTGATAATAATGTGTTGTTTGTGTTTCAGTGAAGGCCATGGAAAACTCACAGTGTTTGCTATGAAGGCAATGCTAGCTACAATGTGTGGCGGTAAAATACTGGACAAATTACGTTGTGAGTATCATGCCTTTTATACAGCTATTCAACAGTAATAATTTTACAAAGACACTATGGATATTTTCTGGAGTTCATATGCTGTACAGAATGTTATGGATTAGCATTGAATGTATTCAAGTAGTTCAATAGGCTTTATGCACAGCTTCACTACTTCCTGAACTTTAGCCAGCTCCTTTGTTTCCTGTCTGCCATTATTGGACAAACTGATTAATCCAGGTGTGCCTGATTATTGTTACTGAGGCCAGGCACACCTGGATCAATCAGTTTGTCCAATAATGGCAGACAGGAAACAAAGGAGCTGGCTAAAGTTCAGGAAGCAGTGCAGCTGTGCATAAAGCCAATTGCTACATTTCTTTCTACTAAACTGTCAGTATTAATCCATTTTATAGACTAAGCTCATGAAATGTGATTTGATATAAAATAAGTCTATTTTGGGGGCATATACACAAACCTTTCATTTAAAATTATACACGAGGGCTTTTATGCAAGACTTTTCATTGAGAGTTTGGCTCCCTCTTTTGTACATGATGTGTACTGAACTTAAAATTAAATTCCCAAAAGAATTTAGGGATACAGTAGTTCACCCTAAAATGAAAATTCTGTCATAATTTACTCACCCTCAAGTTGTTCCAAAACATGAATGAATTTCTTTTTTGAATTTTGAAGAATATGGTTAACCAAACAGTTGATTGGCCCCATTGACTTCCATAGTATGGAGAAGAAGAAAAAAATACTATGGAAGTCAATCAACTGTTTGATTACTGATGTTCTTCAAAATATTTTCTTTTGTTTTAAGCAGAAGAAAGAAACTCATACAGGTTTGGAACAACTTAAATGATGATTTTTGGGTGAACTATCCCCTTAAATTTTTGCTGAATACTCATTAAAGGTATGAAAAGGCATCGTACCACTAATCTAAAATAAAAAAAGATTTCTTTTCATCATATTATATTATCTTGGAAATTTTTAGTGTGAAATAAAAATGCATTTTTCCCCAAACAAGTTTTCACTTTCATGGACTTTTTGGGGGAAATTCTTTTTTATTAATGGTTATAAATATTTATCCACAACATAGCACGACTTAAAATCACTTCTTTCTCTTTCAGATATATTTTCCCAAATATCAGACTCCAATGGGGTGATGGTCTATGCCAAATTTGACCAGTTCCTGAGGGAGGTGCTGAAGCTCCCCACGGCAGTGTTCGAGGGGCCTTCGTTTGGCTACACCGAGCACTCTGTGAGAACATGCTTCCCTCAGCAGGTGAGTACACTAATCTGTTTCGAATAACAGCTAGAGTCCCTTTAAAACGATCGGGATCTCATTCAACCTGTCTGGAAGTCTTAGAGGCTTTCGCTGAGAGTGTCTTATCTGTGCTTTGCCAGAAGAAGATCTTGCTGAATACGTTTTTGGATGTGTTGATGGCAGATCCACCCCCGCAGTACCTTGTATGGCTACCTCTCATGCACCGACTCGCTAATGTAGAGAATGGTACGTGCTGCGATTGGAGGGTTGTGAGATTGGATGTGGGTTTTTAATGACTTATATTCCCATCGCCCACTACGTCTGGACACCTCACTCACAAAATATGACTAAAACAAGGTTTGCGAATGCCTGAAACCCTTTGTGCTGGTGTCCCACAGTCTTCCATCCAGTGGAATGTTCGTATTGCCGGAGTGAGAGCATGATGGGTTTCCGGTACCGCTGCCAGCAGTGCCATGGCTACCAGCTTTGTCAGAGCTGTTTCTGGCGTGGTCATGCCAGCGGCCCTCATAGCAACCAGCACCAGATGAAGGAGCACTCCTCATGGGTACGTACCGTCACTTTCAAAGGATAGTTCACCCAAAAATGGAAATTCAGCCATCGTTACTCACCCTCATGTCATTATTTTCTTTCTTCCATGAAACACACACAAAAAAAGAGTATATTAACCAAGCTGTTCTTTAGCTTATAATGAAAGTGAATGGTGATTTATATTGCTTTAAAGTTACAATAAACGGTCCATAAAGGTACATAATTATAATACTCTATATTCATAGTGGAAAATGGTTTTGTTAGAGGAATAGAACAAAATTGAAGTCATTAATCACAGAAGCCGTCTTAGGTTCAGCATAGTGCTCCAATGAAAATTATTGGCTGAAACTGTAATTTCTGGACACATAATTAGACTTTATATTTGTCTATTTTGCTTAAAACACTGAATAACTCAAACTGAATTTTGGCTAATGTTAGCAAATTTTTACCCTATATAATGGCAGATTTATTAACAGCTTGAGCCAGCGCAAACCCTCTGTTGGCATTACAAAAAAACTACTGTCAAGATTTACTAAAGACACGCAGTGAAAAATTTGCGCTGAAAAGGCGTTGATACAGTTATTTTTGCCGCTGAACTTATTGCATATGCATCTATAGGAGTTTCCCTTTAAGACACATAATTTATGGGAGGAGAGTATTTTAATGAATTACGCAACGCAATTTACTAAGGTTTACACCCGTCAATTTTCTGGTATTTGCGCCATTATTTAACTCCCAATAAGCATGTCTTAAAACAGATGCTAATTTGCGCTGCTCTTGGTAGATTGCGTTGGTCATTATGGGAATGATTCGGCTGCTTCTGTGTTCTTTAATGTGTGCGTCGTCAGTAGATCACACACAGAACTTTCCACTCCTATCAGTGCTTTTTTGGAATAGGCTTTCATGCTAATTTGCCCTGTTTAGTAAATCTGGCCCATAGTCTTTAAGAATACACAGAAAAGGTAAATTTATGTTTTCCATTTCTAACGGAAAGATGGAAGGTTTGACTTTATTGAAGAAAGAAAATAATACAGGTTTGGAATAATATCGGGGTAAATAAATTATGAAAATTGCTCTATTCCTGTAAGATACCAAGCTTTACACTCATTGATGTTCTCTAAAGCACAGGCATTTTTGAATAGCTTATAACTGCACAAAAGGAACTGAATGAACACGATTTATACTACCGTTCATAATTTTGGGGTTAGTACGATTTTTTTTATGTTTTTGAAATAAGTCTTACTAGGCTACATCTGATCAAGCATACAGTAAAAACAGTACAATTTAAAATAACTTTTCTATTTGAATATATGTTAAAATGTAATGTATTCCTGTGATCAAAGCTGAATTTTCAGCATCATTACTCCAGTCTTCAGTGTCACATAATCCTTCAGAAGTCATTCTAATATGCTGATTTACTGCTCAAGCAACATTTCTTATTATTATCAATGTAAAAAACAGTTGTGCTGCTTAATAATTTTGTGGATACAGTGATACATTTATTTTCAGGATCCTTTGATTAATAGAAAGTTCAATGTCAATGTTTTCTGTTAAACGTCATTCTTCTTAAATTCAGGATTTCAAGGGGGGGGTACATGTTTTTAAGCGAGTGAGTTAAATTGATTACATTTTTAATACTCAAGCGTTGTTCCAAAGCTCAGTCACACTGCTGGAAATTACAGCTTGGGAAACGATTTGCACTGCCTCCCAAATCCAATTATAAGAGTTTTCCCCTCCCTCATTCTTTCCTCCCCGATAAAGATTTTTTTTCTAACCACAGAACAAGGATTTTGCTGAATCAAAGAGAATTTTTCATTAACTTTAAATGAAATAAATAATATATATATTTCTACATTAAATTATATCAAATGTCCCAGCTTCACATGGGAAGTAAGTCTGCGACTTTTTATGTACTAATCAAATATCTATCATTTCACCTTTTATGCCACCAAACTACACATAATTGGATTCCATTAGATTTTTTTTTCCAGAAACATACAGTACTGTATGTAATAGGGCTGTCATGATATCAGATTTTTCACTCTACGGTTTATCATGGCCAAAATAATTCACGGTAACGATATATCGCGATATCTATAGAAACCTTGAAAAATCAGTCAAATGCGTCTTTACTTTGTTTATTTTGATTTTGGTTTCTTTTTTAGCCAACCATTGCATACAACAATTGGGGCTTTCTCTGGCTTCTTTGACACTGCCTAAAAAAACAGGAGAGAGAAAATCCTGTCAAGTTCAACAGTATTTAAATAAGCTTTAACCACACAACTACTACCTTAACCTGTCAACTTGCATCCCCATTTGGAACCCAAATCCAAAAAATGGCATACGCAAATTAAAATACATAGTTCATGAAGCATTTGGACTTCAAACATTGTAGACTCTTTCGAAAGAAGACATTTGACAGCTTGTTGTTATATCGTCAGAATTAATTAAAGAGATAGTTCACCCAAGTTCATCATTTACTAACCATCATGTTGTTCCAAACCTGTATGGATTTCTTTCCTCTGTTGAACACAGAAGAAGATATTTTGAAGAATATGCGTAACTAAACCGTTTCTGGTCCCCATTGACTTCATAGTGAGAAAAAAAAAATACTATGGAAGTCAATGGGACGGCCCCACAACTGTTTGGTTACTGAGATTCTTCAAAATATAATATTTTATGTTCAACAGAAGAAAGAAATTCATACAGGTTTAGAACAACATGAGGGTGAGTAAATAATGGCAGATTATGTTAATTTTTGGATGAACCATCCCTTTGAATGAATGATAAAATTCTGAGATTTATACTTCATTTAGAGTAGACTATAATGCTAACCTTAGCTTAGCACAGTGGCAAATTACAATTTATGAGAATAACGGCATATTTTACTTGTTATAGCATCAGTCGAGTGATTGAAATAACTTCCGTCTGTGAACTGATGTGGCTTCTTATCACAGACCGATTCAGAAATGATTATTTTATTGTATTCTATGTAAGTATTTTGTGGTTGTATTTAGTTTTTTTTTTTTGTTCCCGCTCTTTTTACAGAAGTCTCCAGCAAAGAAGCTCAGCCATGCCATCAGTAAATCTCTGGGCTGCATGCCGATGGGAGAGCCTCCTCACCCCGTGTTCCCAGAGGCGGCGGAAAGACCTCAGGACCTCGCACACACTACGTAAGTTCTCTGGAGTGCTTATCCAATCACATTCCCCTCTGCTTTCTCTACATGCACATCTCATATCATTCATTCACTGCATTTCTGCGTGACTTTGACCAAACAACTCCTCATCGGCTACGGTATACGAATGCCAAGTTGATCCAGACAGGTCTTTCGCTTCGGTTTAGACTTCGCATGAACTTTTTCAAATGTATATATTGCAGTCAGGTCATAATAATTGTAATCACGTCCTCTTGCCTGAAATTTCACAGTATTTGTTTCTTATTTCTATAGCGAGAGAGAATATTGATCTGCAGATCTGTCATGGGAAAGAAATGTAATTAGGAAATGCCAAGAAGAAAGATATTGTGTGTAAAAATATATGGGTACAGTTTTCTCGTTTATTGAATTATAAATATCGGGGAGCTGAATCAATCTTGCCAGACCTTCGCTCTCAGGAACAGGCTCTGGCCTAGAAGTACTTTCATTAACTGACACATGAACTTTTGGGATTGATGAAGACCATAAAACTACAGAACATATGTGCCCTCCACTGGAGGGAAAGTGTAGCAGATTTACTGTGTTCATTTATGTTTCTGATGAAGTACCAGCGTTGTTTGATTATGAACCATGTAAAATACCAGTAGTATCAGCTCTGATAACAATCGCATGATTTTATATCATTATACACACAGTGTTTGAACTGTGGGCGAGGAAAATGAACAGCAGTAAACCAAAATTGTTGAATGTGAATGTAAGACTGTAGCCTGTGATCATTTATTTTAGTCATAATCCTTGTCTTTTTATGAAAATGTTTCATAAAATTTGCAATCATCATATTCATACATTTTTGTCCGTTCTTTTTAATGGCATTTAATTTTAATGAAAATATCCAAAATAATCTAACTTTAACCAAAAATTAGAAAAAAAGAAATTGATCAAAAGGGACAGTAAAGACATTTATAATTTTACGAAAGATTTCTGTTTCTATTAAATGCTGTTGTTTTGAACTTTCTCCAAGAATCCTGAAAAAAATGTTTCAAAGCACAGCTGTTTTCAACATTGATGATAAAAAGAAATGTTACCAAATCAGCATATTAGATTGATTTCTAAAGGAATTTTAAAATATATTAAAATAGAAAAGTGATTTAAATTGTAATAATATTTCACAGTATTTATTTTTAATAAATACAATCTGAATAGTAGTTGTATAATTCATTATTTTATGTGATTTTATACATTGCTAAAAAGTGGTTGTCAGCATTAAAATCTGACCTTGAGGTAGACGTGTCACCAACATCACAGCAGTCAAAACAAAGTGCATAGTGCTGTTTATAAAGTGCAGAAATATGATGTAAAACTAAGATTTACCAGTCCTTAGATGGCAGCCAGGCAGACGGTCTCCTGCGGGGACGAAAATAATAGCTGAAGTGCACAGTCATGCTCCAGTGGCATTTCTGAGTTGGCAGAGAATAGCTGCACTAAAACTGATGGAGTTTTAAATTTAATGGAGGCTGCTGATGTACCTGAGGCAGATCCCCTCGAGGATCCCGCTCTGTATCTTTATAGAGATATATAAGATTTTTAAACCAAATGTTTCTCTCAGACATTCCATTTGACTGCCAACAAGACACTTTTTTCTTTTTTCTTTCTTTTATCTTTTTTTTTTGTCACCTTAATCAATAGCAAAATTGATTTCTTTCTTAATGCACATAACATTCCTGGTCTTATTGAACAATAGATTTTTGCACATTATTTCATTTTTTTTTTTAAAGTTTGTAATCCTTTATATCTAATACTTTTCTCCACCTATGAACTTACTTTTTTAAGGTACACTGTAAAACAATTTTTTAAATGAACAAAATTTTAATAATTAGTCTATACGTCATCAATCCTTCTTCCAAAACGTGTTTTGTCTTACTCTGATTAACTATGGTAAGCCTATTATAAATGTTTTTATTTTAGACCTGTCAGGATGGTTTTCACAGGAAATTGCGTCCCTCACTTGTGCGTGATTCGTCATATCCATAAATAGAGAAAAGTTGCTCCGGCTACTTTGAGTAGCATAGGTTAGTTAGTTGTCAACGAGTGAGAAACCTCCGGGGGAATCACCCGTTTAAGAACAGAGGAGAGTCTGCTGGCAAAACAGGAATGCGACCGAGCTCGTAATAAAACATGAATCAACATTGACTTAGCCTTTCAGGGATGGCAAGAAGAACTGAGGGATTCCAAATGTTGTAAAAGCGACGTGGAGATGGGGTTTTTATTACTCAACAGGCGAGTAAGGTATTTTATTGACCAGAAAAAAATTGCCATATAACTCTCTAACAGAGTTTATTGTAAAGCATTATCTATTGTGAAGGGTCATTTCATTATGGGTTATTGTAGCTCTGTGCTGGAATTTATTTTCAAGGAAATATCGTGTCTATTAATAGGTATAGAGTAACGTCAGCTAGTCAGATTGAAATCTTTTCTATCGAAACTGGTTATATCTCTAAGCCTATTTATTTGCAGGATTACCACGTTCATCCGCACAGTCACGCAGAGCCAAAGCACAAACAAAAAAAATGTCTTCCTCAAAATGCATGCAGTTTTATTTTTTTACCACTAGAGAGTGGTCACATATTGTACATTTAACTGACGAATCATGAACCAGTCCACCAGTCACCATTCTAGTGTATACTGTACTGTAATGCCCACTTTCATAATCCAATTAATTTCTGTTGAATAAAATAAAGTGTGTAATTTTTTTCCTGTTTTACTAATTTTTTGTAACCTTATGGGGAAAAATAGATTGCGAATAGCATATCATGTTGTCTGTAGAGTCAACTATAAACATTATAAGTGTACTAATTAATTTCTGCTTATGAATCATCAGACATATTGACATACTTTATACTGACACCTAGTGGTGTGGATGTAGAATCACGCCAGAACAAAAGTTTGTGATCTGAGTTCGAGTTGCTTACTAGTCAACTAGTTTAGATGTTGTTTAAAAAATATATATATTTCGCTTTAATGTTTTTAGTGTCAATACTCTGAAGGGAATGAATTAGATGCAACTTCTCAGAGAAATTTTTTGAATGTTCAGTACAGAAAAACTACAAAATTGTCTGATTTGTGATTTTATTGTAACCATTATCTGCATAATCTGTATAGGTTTCAATTTTGTGTTAACTTTGATGGTTTTGTACTGTATGAAGCTATATTTTCTGAATATCTTTAAGTTACCCAGTTCAAAGGCTGCACGTGTTTAATCTGCACTTTTAAATATTGGTTTATGTATACATGCATTGCATATGGATGTCTATGGCTTTTTATTTAGCATCTAACTTTTAAAAGCATGTGCATGCTGTTGGTTTCCATACAGAATATAAGATATCTTTAAGATCAAATATGTATTTTTGTACACTCCTGGTAAAAAAAAAGGCTAAACACTAAGCTTTTAATTATCTTAATACAAATTATTTCTCAGGAAATTAGCTAAATTTAAGCAAATGCACTACTTAAGTCATTGCTGTCTCAGAAAAACATCAAAGACAGAATGAAGTATTTGGCAGAATATGGGAAGTTCTGTGTGGAGTCATAATGAATCATAATGAAATACGAGTTGCATATGCTCCAGAGCGGCGTCTTCGAAAATCTGCGGAGAAATATAATTATAAATGCATCTCTAACACAGTGAAGCAGGGAGGAAGAGCTGTCATTGTGTGAGGAGCCTTTTTAGCTGCCGGTATTGGTGAGCTTTACTGTGAAAAGTCATTTAATGGTTTAGAGTACAGGCGAATATTGCAGAATGGCTTGCTTTCCACAATTTAAAAGTTTTTTTTTTACAACAATACAATGCTCCTATTCAAATTGCAAAGACTACCAAGAAGTTGCTTGAGAACAAGTCCATCAGGCTCATGTTTTTTTTGGCATTGGTCAGAGTCCAGATTTGAACCTTATAGTGAAAATTTGGTCTCACGTTAAACTAACTGGGAGACATTTTTCAACTATGAACTGTGTAACATTGAGCGGAACAACACTGACTCTTCTTCCTGTAAAAAGCTGTCTGTAAGTTTACCCACACGGCTTAAAACATTTGAAGAAAAAATAAGGAAAGGCTATTGGATGCTAAGTTACTTTATATACAGTATTTGTACAATTCTTGCTAATTTCCTGACCAGTGATTTGTGATTAAAATGGTTGAGCATTAAAAGACCCCTAATATTTTGCCGTTTTTGGCTTGGCCGTATAAGTTTCCTTAGATCTGTTCTAAATTGTATTCTAAACACAGTTTTGTATGTAAATCAATGACAAAATAATACGTCTTATCGTGTTTAAATTGTACCATCTCATTAACACCTAGAATAGATTCAGGCTTAATGATGACATTGCCTTTGAACTCACTGTGACCAAAGGGCACATTTGCCAGCTCGAGTTCTGCTGCCAGCGTCGTCTATTTATAGTTCACATTCAGATAGCTAAGCAATTAAAACTGCTCTTGAAATATCCCTTTGTACCACTCAAATAGCATCAGCTTCAAATAGTCCTTGTGTGAAAGACTTGTAGCAATTTATTTTCAAATAACCCTTCCTATTTATGGATAAAGAGAGCAAGAGACTTCCGTAATGCTTTCTTCAATTGGCCGTGCGACAATTCGAGATGTGAACGAGTTGAATTGGAATAGATGAATATCAGAGCTTGATTACAATGCAGAGCACATTTTTACACAATTTAAAGACATGAAATAGCATTCACAACCCATTTAACTTCTGTAATGTGACATATTTTGGAATGAATCAGGAATTAAATTAGGAAATTATGTAAGTGACAAGCAAAATTTCAGAGCCGAAGCAAGTTTTGATAAAAGACATACATTTTTCCCCTTCAATGTACAGTTAAAATAAGACAATTAACATGGTCACAGTTTAGATTAGGGTCCAATTCTCACTATTAACTATAGCTTTAGCCTTAATAAACTCCTAATTACTGCTTATTAATTGTTACGGGATGTAGAATATGGTCATGCAATA